ACTCCGCCCCCCCACCCCCTTACACGCCTATTCTGGAATATTCCTTGCAAAACGTGCGGACCAGCCTCTTGCCTGGCACTGTGCTAAAAGCTTTGGTTGAATCTAAATATAAAACAGATCTCCTCTTCAACAAGTTCTTTCAATTCATCAAAGAACTCCAGGAGACTTGTCATCAGAATGTTCCCTGTTAAGAGACGTGCTCTGTCGTTTGGGGAACAGAAGCTTCCTGGTATTTTGTTTCTCGGTTCTTTATTCAATTTGTTCGTAGTCGGATCAGTGCTGGGAATGAAAATGGGATTGTTCGGACCAGCTCCAAACAACTAGTTGATGGAGCCACAGCTGTGAGAGTCGTTGGTTTGTTCTGGACTTTGTTGTTCTGAGCTGACGCTGTACAGGGAGGCTAAATTGGTCTCAGTCTTTCCTAAGTGAGGGAGAGGGAAGCCAGCATATACCCATGACAGCAGTATTGTCTGCATAATTCATCAAAGAATTATTGCTGCCTCGTTTCGCCCATAAAATAGTCAATCCACTTTACAGTATATCCTGTGAAGCGCTTTGAAACATCTCAACAACGTGATAAGGCACTATATCAAATGCAAGTATTATTATTATTAATATTATACCCAGCAGAGCAGTATTGTGCTGTCTGGTGCCTCGCGTATAGTTACTGTCAAGCACTCCGAGATACCGCCCAGCCTGAAGGGCGCTATATAAATGCAAGTTTTAGTTGCTGTTGATGTGTGAGCCTTGGCTGTGAGTGTCAGCAGACCTCGCGACTGTAAAGGGCATCACCGCCAATCAGGTGTGCCGGGGGGGGGGGGGGGGGGGGGAGAGTACCCCAGACAACAACTTGCATTTATATAGCGCCCTCCACACCGGGCTTCGTCCCAGCGTGCTATTACTGCTGTACTGGGTATACACAAACACATTATCGATGTATTGAACAAACATATGTATGGCAGACTGCATGAATAGTAATAATAATCCTTGCATTTGTACTGTGTATTTGTAGGTAAACATAGCGGCTAATTTACATAGCAAAAGTCTCACAAAGAGCCATGAAGTGAGTGACCAATTTTATCTAGAGGGTTGCAGGCCAGGAACCTGGGAGAAACTCCTTTCTCTTTTCATATAGTGCCATGGGATCTTTAAGGTTCACCTGAACCGACAGATGGGACCTTGGTTTAACGTCTCATCTAAAGGATGGCACCTTCAACAATGCAGTGCTTCCCTCAGTACTGAATTGGAACGTAGCCTAAATTCTGAGCTCAAAATATAACAGATTTGACCTGAATAAATGGATCATTGAGTTGGTAGAGATGAGGTGGGAGTTTACATCCACCAGGATGTGATTAGTTTTAACTAACAGAAGTTTCCACTTGATCCTCTCCACAAAATAAGACAGATGGCAAATATCCACAGAAAGCAGTGATAGTGAAGTGAAGAATTAACAGAAATAGCAACATGCAGCCTGGGTCACCAGATCCCCACAGTTCTGAGAATTAAAGGCGGGTAAATTCAGAACAAATCTGCGGAAACACTGCTTCAGTGAGCGAGCAGTAAATGTATGGCACTGGTTCCCTAGCGAGATGGTGCAAGCAGAAAATAATGTTTGTTTCGAGAACAAATGAGATAGATTTCTGTTAGAAAATCATATCTGGGGATACAGTATATAGTTTGCGACACGATATGTCAAGCGACTGCTAGGCTGGTGACAGGCGAGCTCGACGGACCTTGTCTTATTTGCCAGCAAATTCTTAGAATGTCAGCGTCTCATTCACCGCCTACAAATTAATAACTTCCATCTTTATTGTGCTCTGAAATTGCACAATCTCACTTTGTGCACCATACTATCCTTTTTCAAATGGCCCACGGTATTTAGCTACAATGCACTTCCACCACAGAGTTTAGGATATATATAGTCAAGAGAGGCGACCACAGGCGGGACTGAAATTGCACCTAGCTTTAGACTGCATAACCATTTGACTTATAATTTGAGATCCGTGTGGAAAAGGCTGAACCATTTTCAATTTGGAAAGGCTTGTTTTTCACAGCCCTTAGAAAGAACGGACTTCGAGTTTTCAAGCCTGGATTTAAGAATCTTCTACAATTCTGTAATGCTGGTACGTCTTTCAAGTTCTGCCTGAAAACTTTCCTCTTCCACCGTGCTTACGGCCACCTCCCCCTGGCTTGGAGTCAGCCTCTGGCACTGTTCTGTGACATTACTCTGCGTGGAGGGCGCTCTATAAGTGCAAGTTGTTGTTGTGTGGGTATGCCTACAGATGGGCAAAGGATTGAGATTCTGTGTGGGCAAATGGGACAAAATGTACAAATCTGCATATATGACATTTGAGTTTCTTTTTGTACGATTCAGAATAAATTGTCTTCAGAAGCACACCAGGCTATGGAGGTCTGTAGAGAAACAAGGGGTGTAGGCAGATTTAATGGTCAATTAGGAACTGTTTGATGCTAGCTGTAATGGAAAGACTACAATAGGTGCGTGTCCTGGAAGATGAGATCAAATGGGTTGCAAGGCTTTCTCCATCAAACTACTTTTATTTGCGACCCAGACTGGAAATAAAGGGATGAGAAGTTTCACTTACGAGGAGAGACTGGAGAAATTGAGGTAGTTTTACTTACAACAAAGAAGGTTGTGAGAAGATCTCATAATGGCTTTTAAAATTATATGCGATTTGATGACATAAACGGTGAGAAATTGTCCCAATTGGTTGGTGAGTCAGAATCTACAGAGCAGATTTAAGGTAATCATTAAAAGAACAAAGGGAGATCAAATGTTTCTACACAGAGGGTTGTTGGGATGTGGAATTCCAGACCTGTAACTGTGGTTAAGGCAAAATCAATATTACCTTTTAAGGTAGAATATTATAATAATAATCCTTGCATTTGATATAACGCCTTATCACATCTTCGAGACATCTCAAGGTACTTCACAGAACATACCGTATACTGAAATTGACTATATTTTGTGGCGAAACTTGGTAGCCAATTGCGCACAGCAGTGTCCCACAAACAGTCATGGATTGAGTGACCATATTAATGTTATTTATTTATTTGAAGGGATTATTACGTCCAGAAAAACCCCCACATATGAATACAAACAAAAGAACTTTAAAATATTTACCACGTCATTTGCAAGTAGGAAGAAATTGAAACACATGAGTCAATACAGTGATGGTGAACTGTACATTAAATGAATCATTTATTGGAATTTCCACATAATCTTAAATATTACCATAATGCAGTCTGTATGTCGATTGTTGAGCCCCTGTTCACTCACTTCCCTCGACAGGTATTTAAATGTTTTCCTATCGACTCGTTGAGTTTGTGTGTGTTTCAATCGGGAGTTTAGCTCAAATGTAAATGTTGGTTTTGTGAGATCATTGAGTAATAAACAAATTCACCGTCTTTACAAACATTGAAGAAATTTGAAGTAACCGACTAAGAAGCCAAATCTGAGTCCTCACAGGGAGCTAAATCCATTTGAAGAAAACTTGTGCAATATCACAAGAGCTCGATTTCTCAATTTCCTTTTTCAAAACTGAACAGATATAAACTTTCTGAATCTGTCTTTCTGTAATAAAAGTCCTTGCATTTTATATCACACAACAACAGCAAGATTCCATTTATTGAGCGCCTTTCACGTCGGGAGGACGTCCCAAGGCGCTGTACAGTAGGGTCAGGACCTGAGCAGGGGGGAAATGGTCAGGGTGAGGGGAGGGAAGGGAGGGAGCGAGGAGGGGGTAGAGAGTCGAGAGGAGAGCTGAAGGCACGGTCAAAGAAATGGTGCCAGTATGTCAAAGAAATTGTCTCAAAGTGCCTTAAGTGTCTGTTAACCGTAGTGGCTGTAAGAGATCAGACCATTTGATTGCGCAAGGCAACATCCCACAAATATAAATGAAGTGAATGACCAATTTATCTGGAGGATTGTTGACCAGGACACAGTGAGAAAAGACTGATTAAATCAGTGACATGGGATCTTTTAATATCTTCCTGATCAGATGGATTTTCAGTTTAACATTCTTATCTGAAGAACTGCAACTCAGACAATGCCACTGAGATGGAGCATTAGAGTAGGCTGCAGATTCGATGTCTTTTATACGAAGCTTAAACCCACAATCTTCTGAACCAGAGGGGAAGCCAACTGAGCTAAGCTGACACAGACTTTAAGGTGGAGGGAGATAATAATAATAATAATCCTTGCATTTGATATAGCGCTTTTCACGTCGGGAGGACAACCCAAAGCGCTTCACAGAACACACTGTAAGGTGAATTGACTGTATACTTGTGGGCGAACGCGGCAGCCAATTGCGCACAGCAATGTCCCACAAACAGTCGTAGATTGAAAATGACCAATTTATTATTGTTTTGGGTTTTGGAGGATTATTATTAGGCTCTGTGTGGAGTAAGGAAACTTGCCCAAGGTTTCGCCCTCTGCCGGGAATTGAACTCAGGTCTCTCGCTCGCAAAGCGAGTGCTCTAACCACTGAGCTACAGGACTCCGAGATACTGCTATATATAGCAGGAGAGAAGACTGCGTGGGGAGATGGTTGGGAGAGATAAAAACAAATTGAAAGACAAAAATTCAACAACAAATACAAGTGTGGGATTTCTTCTGAACTAAAACATTTTTATTACACTCAGTGTCTGATGAGTTCCTGACATGGTGAAATGCACAGCCTCTCCTGAATCCAACTCTGAGAAATTCTTAAATTTCACAAGATATTACAGATTATTAATAGTAATCCTTGTGTTTGCTACAGGACATAGCATTGAAACGTCTCATTTACTGAAGACAAAATTGCTTCAATGCCACTGTTGTTTCACACATTATAATAATAATAATCCTTGCATTTGACATAACGCCTTATCAAACGTTGAGACATCTCAAAGTGCTTCACAGAATATACTGTAAAGTGAATCGATTTGTGTATTTGTGGGCGAAACTCTGAGATTGTGGTTGTTTTGCCTTTTCCCTCCAGATATAAGGGGCTGGTGACTGGCCGACGAGCCAAGCTGATCATAGCAGTCTTCTGGATCCTCTCCTTTGTGATCGGGCTGATTCCATTGTTTGGCTGGAGCGGATCCAAAGAGTGTCTGAACAAAACCAACCCAGTGACCCCTACAGACAACGGGTCTTGCCAAGTCCAATGCCTCTTCTTGAATGTTATAGACATGGGCTACATGGTCTACTTCAACTTCTTTGGCTGCGTTTTGACTCCGCTGATCATAATGTTGGTGATTTACCTGAAAATCTTCACTGTCGTCAGGAAGCAGCTCCGACAAATCGAACACAGTTCCATCAACTCCGACACCTCCAGGACCTTTTTGCAGAAACAGCTGAATGCGGCAAAGTCGCTCTCCATCATAGTGGGCTTTTTTGCCTTCTGCTGGCTCCCGCTCCACATCCTGAACTGCATCAACCTGCTCCACAACGACTACTTTCGAACATTGCACCACAATTTCATGGACGTCGCCATTGTCCTGTCTCACGCGCATTCCGTTGGGAATCCCGTCATCTATGCCTCCAGGATTCAGGAATTCCGAAAAACTTTCCACCAAATTATTACCAAACACATTCTGAGAGGAAGAGACAAAGTGTTGAAGTCGGACAGGAGTAACACCCAGGACACCTACTTACAAGCCACAAGCTTGTTGACATGATACCTTGTGTTTGAGGTTCTAAGCCTTGGGAGGGGGAGAGAGAGATTCAGGGAACTCAGACTATTTGAGACAAATTATTCACAGATGTCACCTAAGATTTTTTCTTTTGTAGTTTTATTAACCCTGTGAGTCAAGAACACAATTGCACTCGAGAAGAATGTTTACAGCAGAAAGTGGCAAGTGCAAAAATTGCAGAAGGACCAACCTGTTATTGGAATGTCAGCCTCCTTTAGACATCCTATTTTTAACTCTGAAAATAAACAGTAAGACAATGTAAAATGAAGGAAATGTACAACCAACATATCACAAGGTTTTCACTGGCACGAGACACAGAGAGAGAGGGCAGACTGGATAGGATTGGAAATTAAGTAAATGGACCAGAGGCAGAGTTCCAAGTGTGACTTATTACTATACACTCATTTACTCTTTCTTTCACTGTCCGACAGTGTTGTCACTCTTGCCTCTAAGTGAGAAGATTGTGGGTTCAAGCCACAAACCTTCCATGGTGAATTGAGCTCATTGTCAGGCTGGCCCTCCAGTGCAGTAAAGAGGGTGCCCATCATCGTTACAGGAACCGTCCTTTGAATGAGACGTTAAACCAAGGCCCTATCTGCTCGCTGAGATGGAGTTTAAACATTCTGTGGCCAAAGGAAGGGAGTTTCTCCTGTTACCTTAGGTAAATTGGTCATTCATTTCATGGCTGTTTTGGGCCGTTTACCTGCTATGTTTGCCTCCTTGACAGCAATTCCCTGTGAAGTTTTTTGAGACATTTCAATGTTATACACACCATATCAAACTCAGAGATTATTAGTATTACTAGAAAAAAAGAGACAACAGACTGGTCTTTTAAACGTTTTATGTGCAGATAGTTGTCATCCATCGTGTATAACAAGCTACAGTGATATGAGACGAGGCTCCAGATGCCACTTCCAATTCTTTCCTTTACTCATCTATTGTTGAGTGGGTGAATTCTCACCCTGTTCTGGTTCCTGCTCTGAAATGTACCTGTTTATATTGGTTCGGTCTTTTCGCTGAATGCTGTTATGTTTCTACATAAGGAATGTGGCTACTACAGAGGCCACTGACTTGTGGTACTGGCATTGGAGGCTGTGGAGTGCTAGCCTGACATTACCATAAATCTCCCTCGTGCCCAGTGACAGAGGAATGCATTTTACAGATTGTAAAGTCCAACAGTATTGATATTCCACTTGTGTTGAAATGTAAAGGTTACAAAAGGAGACAAAATAAACTAATTATTACTGATGCTACAATCACACCTAACTCTCCCAACTTCATCATTGCCCATTCTGTCTCTGTAAAGTGCTTTGAGACATGCTCCTACACGAAAGCCTGGAGTCCTGTAGTTTAGTGGTTAGAGCACTCGCCTCGTTTGCGAGAGGACCTAGGTTCGAATCCCGGGCAGGGCGAAACGTTGGGATTTGTAGGCTAGAGTGATGATCCTTAAGTTAATCTGCTGGGAGATGGCAGACAGTGAGGCCTGGCGAGGCCTGGGGTGATGGGGTTGAAGTTTGCGGAGGGTAGAGCTGGGCAGGCAGCCGAGGAGGGCAGTGCAGATGGACAGTCTCGAGGTGACTGAGGCAGGGATGAGGTTTGACCACATTGTGCTGAGTAAATCATTTTACAAAATAAACAATCAGTCTCACAATGTTTGAAAATCACCCTGAAACATTCTTGGCCAGCAGAAAATTCAGTTTGCGCAAATGTTGGATGGTATTTAGTTATTGAGGAATATTAATCTTAATCTCAAAGGTCATCAAGAATTTTAGAGACCAGCAATCACAGTTTCTGGAAAAACTTCCTTACTGCTAGGTAAACAGAGGTATGTGGAGTAGGAAACTTGCCTAACATTTCGCCCTGAAATCACACTTTGTCTTGGTGAGACTGATGGAGAGCTTCTGGCTGCTATCATAAACATATTAATGATAGCATCTGGCAGCCAAATGTTCCCGTACTCTTGGGCGGGTCACCAGATCAAATGTTTTTTGTGAGGTCAACCAAAACACACAGTAACGAGCAGGTCGGTAATGCTGTGACAGGAATCCACGCCGAACCTCAGATGGGAATGATCAGTGGTGTTGGCTCTTAAGAGATTTAGAAATGCTCTTGTTAAATAACTTGCCCAGGAATCGGGTTCTATGAGTGTCCTAGTCATCCTTTCCCTTGGGTATTACAGCAACGCCCACAAAATATACAGTTAATTCTGTGAAGCACTTTGAGTCGTCTCGAAGACGTGATAAGGCACTATATCAAATACAAGGATTATTATTATTACCTACGCAGACAAAATATACAATCAATTCACTTTGCAACATATTCTGTGAAGCGCTTTGGGACATCTCAACGATGTGATAAGGCGCTATATCAAATGCAAGGATTATTATTATCTTTAAATTGCTGTGGAACAGTTTCCTGCTTTCACACATTTGGGAAAAGACGGAAAAAATCAGTGAAATTAAAATCTCCATTTGGTCCAGGTTTTTTGCTGCTTTTTATTGAATCAATATCTCTGCAGAGTCACAAAAAGAACAGCAATTTTGGTCTCATCAGAGAGCTGCTGACATCCTCAACTATTTATCAGCATGTACCATGCCCTTCAGGAAAGCATGGAAGCCCCACTAAAGAACTTCCAAATAACTAAGGCTCTTCACAGGAACCCAGCCTGGGTATTGGCTTGCATTTGCACAGAAGTAACTCACCCTAAGTATCCATCTTCCTATGTCAAATTGATACTCTGCTGGCTTTGTGTTTGTAGGAAATTGCATGATTTTGTTTGAATAACTTGTCAATGAGAACCCACCGAAAAGAAAAGCCATTTATTTAGATGCAATAATTCAAAGAGCCACAACGTCACAGGATTCCCAGAAATGTGACACAAACTGTTTATCTGCAAATGAGCTAGCTCACTGTCTTGCTAAACAATGTTGGCTTCATGGAAGCCTTTGTCATAGGATTTCCTGTTGTGTTTTAGGATTTGTTATCCACACTTTTTTTTGAACTGTTAAATGAGAAGTGGTGTAGCAACAGCAACAACTTGCATTTATAGAGGACCTCACGCAGGGTAGTGTCTCAGAGCGCAACAACAACATGCACAGAGCTCCACCTCAACATCAAAGTTAAATTTATACAGTGTCTTTCACATCGGAAAGATGTTCCAAAGCGCTGAACAGTTAAAAGTTTGCAGGTTTGCACCCAAGCTGGGGATTGGAATCAAGAGGGTAGAAGGGTAGGTAGGGGCAGTTGGGAGGGTGGCCAAAGGCACAGTCAAAGAGGAAGGTCTTGAGACGGGTCTTGAAGGCAGGCAGGGCAGGGAGAAACCTTGGGCAAGTTTCCTTACTCCACACGCCTGATAATAATCTCTCCAAAACAAAACAATAATAAATTGATCATTTTCAATCCACGACTGTTTGTGGGACATTGCTGTGTGCAATTGGCTGCCGCGTTTCGCCCACAAATATACGGTCAAATAATTTTACAGTCTATTCTGTGAAGCGCTTTGAGACGTCGAGAAGACGTGAAAAGCGCTATATCAATTGCAAGGATTATTATTATTATTATTGTAGGGAGGGGGCGAGGTGCAGGGGTTCCGGGATAGAGTTCCATAGGGTAGAGGCAGAATAGCTGAAGGCCCGGCCACCAATGGTAGGGCAGGCAGGGGACGTGGAGCGCCCGCCGAGCGGAGATGTCGGTGTGGTGTTGGGATATTGCAGAGGTAGGAAGGAGCAAGACCTTGGAGGGTTTCAAAAGTGAGGGAGAGGATTTCAAACTCGATCCTCTGAGGGAAGGGGAGCCAGTGGAGCCACCTGAGGATGGGGGTGATCGGTTCACGGAGCTTGGTAGGAGAAGGACACGAGCTGCAGAGTTCTGAATACGCAGCTTGTGGAGGGAAGAGTTGGGCAATCCAGCTAACAGGGAGTTAGCATAGTTGAGCCTGGATGGCATAAATGCGTGAATGCGGGTCTCAGTGACCTGAGGGGAGAGACAGTGGTGGAGTAGGGCAATTATACAGAGGTGGAGGACGGCACAACAGGACATGGCCCAAAGTGCTGTTTAAAGGATAGAATACAGCACAATAGGGCCTCTGTAAAACATGAAAGTTGGGCGAGGGGAGGGTTATCTCCTGCGATTGTTGGTTAGTTCTGTTGTATTCACAGGAAATGTGGTACAGGAAATGATATTGATGGAGACTTAATAAGCTAGACGTTGATCACTTTTTAGCATGCGAGAAGCCACATCCATTTTCGAATTTTTGCTAAGTAAATATCAGGGAACAAACTCCAATGGGGCTATAAGCAAACCCATATTATAATGAAGAGCATTACAGCAGGGTTCTACTCTAATACTTAATTTGACATAAGTCAACTTGTTTCCCAAGCTTTATCGAGCATATACTATAATAAACATGAGTGGAAAGCAAAAATTCTAAACCAGTGACATCTGTAACGACTCCTATTAATGCCATTAATAATAAATGTTCAGCCTCTCAGTATGATTAATGGATGAGGTTTACCCTAATCTGAATAAAATTAGAACCCACCAATCAATCAGCAATATTCCTGGCCATGGGAGGTTCTTGTTTAAACTGCAGAACTCACCCCATTGTGCTTTGCTAGCAGTAAGCTAGTGAGTTGCTTGTCAGAAACCTTTTGGTCATGGCACAGTCCCATTGCTTGGCATAGATACGCAGCAAGAATATGTTTGCACTGCAATACAGAAGAAGAAAATGAGAAACAGAATGAAACATCCCTTACGGCAACTGTTGACTATTTTCAATCCAAGTCGTTTCTTTTCTATTATTATTTTGTAGAACACCACACAAAAGAGAACAACACGTAAAGTTACCCAGGTTAAGTGAAGTAAAGTTTGTTTCATCAGCAGCTAAACATTGCTCATTCATTAATCTGTCATCTCAATGTTAAAGACATGAATATATGAATTACAGAAAAGTTAGTCAAACATCAGAACAGTAAAGGGGAAAGTATTCATATAAAGAGGACAGGGGCTAAATGGGTTAATCAGCAATATTTTAGATGTTACGGGGTGTGTGTCACAAATGTGCAGGAATGAATTGAGAAGCTAATTACAGAAGCAGACAAAGGAGTTCACTCTGCATCATTCACTTGGATTTCCAGAAGGGAATGAAAAACTGTACAACTGAAACTTTAATAAAAGGACAAAAAGATACAAAATTGATAGCAGTGCACTATGATCTTCTGGAAGTGAATCACACAGCACCAAACGACTGATTTGTACAGGTATCGATCACTCCATCCTTGCCATAGATAATAATTATAAGTTGTACTGGAGAATCACCAATGAAGGCAGACTCAGAAGCGAGGGTGCGACCGATTAAGGTAGACTGACGCTGAGTGCCATTGTCTGAGTTAAGGAAGTTCTTTTATAGGCTTTATAGGGTATTTCCCAAGATCTTTACTCAATGATACTACTACTAATAATCCTTGCATTTGACATAGCGCTTTTCACGTCTTCTCGACGTCTCAAAGTGCTTCACAGAATATACTGTAGAGTGAATTGACTGTATATTTGTGGGCGAAACGCGGCAGCCAATTGCGCACAGCAATGTCCCACAAACAGTCGTAGAATGAAAATGACCAATTTATTATTGTTTTGTTTTGCAGGAATTATTATTAGGCGTGTGGAGTAAGGAAACTTGCCCAAGGTTTCGCCCGGCCTGGAATTGAACCCAGGTGTCTTGCCTGCAAGGCAAGTGCTCTAACCATTGAGCTACAGGACTCCAATGCACTTTGGATAACTTTGGGAGTGTATTTGGGCGTCAGCAACTCATGCTGTATATGCGGTGTTGTAGCACCGAGTGCTGTGTCTGTGAGAGATAAAGGGATATTAGAAGACGGGGAAAAGCCCTTGTAAATTGAATTTTAAGTTCGTACCAATATATTGTCATTTCTTCGTATCACTGAGTACATGAAGGCTGGACACGAGCAGTAGTGACAGAAAGACAGGCAAATGTATGTTTGCCGAGAGCTTCCCAGAACCTGCAGAACAAAAGGTGTGTAGTCAAACACAAAACATCAAGCACGTCACTGACAGCTTCATAATTGTCTTGTTTAGAGTAAAGTCTGAGAGTGCAGCACTACACTGAGGCAGTCAGTGACACTGCCTGGCAAACAGGTCAAGGAAGTTGTCCCTTTCTATCAGAAATTGTCATATCCGTGTTTAAATAGCTACAAACTGAAAATACAATTGATTGTGCTGCCTTCACATTATATACAAATATGGAGCTTCCTACTTCTTTGGGTTTGAAGGTTGGGAATTCGAGTCCACGTTGTGGGATGCTCCCCGTAGTCCAGGCTGACACTCCAGTTCAGAGATGCCAGCTTTGGGATGAGATGCTAAACCAAGGTGCCATGTGCTGTTCGGGTGGGATGCTGAAGATCCCACAGCGCTATTTGAAATGAGGAATTTCTGCCAGTATCCTGGCAACAACCCCATATATAAAATGGTCATTCATCTCATGGCTGCTTGTGAGATTTTGTTCATAGAAATGACTGCCACATCTGGCTTTAAAAAAATCACTTCACTTGAGACGCTTTCAGACCTTTGACAAAGGCGTTGTAAAAATGCAAGTTCTTTCTTGAAAACCATGATAGCAGTTGATTACCTCAGGCATAACCTTTACATAAGACTTATCTGTGACTTCAAGCACTTAGGGAAAAATCTAAATGACTTTAGAATTTAAATAGAGAACAGATGATAAAGAAGGGAAGTTATAAAAGGGCCCATGACCTCAAGTTGTTTTTGGCCAGTGTATGCACAGTACAATACAAAACAGCTCACACGTGTAGACAGGAAAGACAATACAGAACAGGCTGAACCTTATAGTTCCCCCACACAGGATAGCGAGTGTTACTGGGACAGATTACACATTTCTGGCAATGGACCCAATTGAAGAAGTAACCTGATATACAGTTCATGAACAAAACCTCACCCATTTGCTATTTGTTTCATAGCTAAAGTGTGTGAAACAGTCTCCCATGGCATCTGAGAATAGGAACACCCAATGACATCAATTCAGAGTTATGCAGTTCTCTTGGAGTAGCAGTTATTTGACTGCCTGCTGCTCATTTCTGTTAGTGTTCTGTTAAGATTTCAGGTCAACGCTAAGATGGGACTGACTACAGTTAAATACTAGGGCAGCAACTCCCAATGGACTTGTGGATATAGAAGTACGTAAAGACCAGAATATCGCAGGTCTATTTCCCAGGGTTGATCTCAGTCAGGGCAGCAGTTTAGGCCACAACATCTGGCTTCACAGTCCTTAGGTTAGTGCCTGGATCAATCAGGTTTTCCACGCAAGCATTATCCAGAGATCTGTGGTGGAAAGTGTTTGTGGGCAGGATTGGGCTTGGCCCAGCCCACTACATTATTCATTTGTGAATCATAGCCACTTGGGTAAGTATTTGAGTTCCATGGAACTCTACCCGAGTAGGAGAAAGACAAATCTGAAAGATTCAAAATGTCTTGAAGAGAACAGGAAGGAGAGAAAATTCAAAGAGAAAATCAAAATGAGGGATTGTTAGTAAAGAATCTTAGATGTTCAACTGTGACTATGATAATTGGCCATTGTACAAAAGTGGTTTTGTTAGTTTATCAGTGTACAGGGGATGTGAGTAATTCTTGCACTTTGCTTCAGCTTCCATAAGGTCAGAATGTCTCAAAGAGTTTCTGTAAAGGGCAGCAACTCTGTATTTAGGGAAACGCGACAGTCAGTTTGTACGCAGCAATGTTTCACAAACATTAGTGAAGTGAACAGTCATGTTTAGCTGCAGGATTGTTGGCCAGGAATCCAGGGAAAAACTCCAACTGGGCTTTTTTTAAACAGTGTTGCAGAATAATAGTAATAATAACTATAATCCTTGCATTTATACAGCGCCTTATCACGTTGTTGCGACATCTCAAAGCACTTCACAGAATATACTGTAAAGTGAATTGATTGTGTATTTTGTGGGCGAAACACAGCAGTCGTAATGTGAACGGCAATGTCCCACAAGCAGTTATGGATTGAGTGACCAAATTATTTTTTTTATCATGCCATGCAGATAACTTCTCCCCTACATTATTAATTTTTAACGAAGATGATAAGACAACCAGGTCAGTTTTCTGTCGCGCTAATTGAGTCTTTGATTCACACCGATTGCTAACAAATTCTCGTTAAATATTTCAAAGCGGGGTGCCGGGGGAAAAAAGAGCAAGAAAAACGCCACCCGCGATCTCAATGTCCATCTGCTCTGCCAATACCGACTTTTCGATCCCACTGTGAAATAGTAAGTATTCTAATAAAAATATTCAACTCTCAATCGCTACTTGAAAAGCAATTGCACAAAAAAAAGGAAGGAGCGACTACCTCATTTCCGATTTCCGCAAGTAAGGGAACGGTAAGGTAAGCTGACAACATTTTGCTTAGCCTCAGAAGACATTTAAGTGGTTATATATTGATTGACTCAGTTCCTATACGATGCAGTCTATCACATGTATTTGGAGGGTGTCAATGTCAGGCAGCACGTTGCCACACTTTGGGCAGGCATGTTCTGGAAGGTTTTCAAAATCTCCCGTTACGTTGACTTGTAGCAGCAGCTCTACGTTAATCGGAGCTCTCGAGTCTAACTTCTATGGCGGTGCTGCAGCTCAACCAAATCTTTAACGTCCAGCTGAACAGGCAGACAATATAGCAGTTTGGTTCTTAATTACTCTCTTAATTCTTAATCATTTTAAGAGGAAAATAATTTTAAAAATCGTGGCAGCTGTGAAGAATCATGTAGCAAAATTCCTGCGCTTTTGCCTATTTTGCACGTCCCTATTGAAGAATTTAATAATTTTGCTGCATTTCCCTTTACATCAGATGTAAAGCATACAGAGGAGCTCAGGGAATTATTGAACTTCCATCTACCTGTCTGCAATAAAGTGTAATTAGTGTTACATGGTAGTGTGAATGATGTATTTTCTTTAAAGAGAAAATTATTAGTGAATTATTTCTCCACCCAAGAAGGCTTTTGACTCTTTTTTCCTCCAATTGGAGATGGTTCCATGAATGTCAGTAGTGTGGGGTAGTGTATTAGATTTCGTCCAGTGATTCCTTTGTTTCTATGGCATGCTTTCTAGATATGGGAGTAACCAAATTATGAAGTAACCTGGGTTTCATAGAGTTATTGAGAAGAATAAACGTGCATGAAAGATGAAGCTTCTTCTACAACAGGGAAGTGAGATTCCTTTATCAGATCAGAGAGTGACCAGAATTTCGAAGAAGGACTAAGAGTGGAGTCATGGGTTAGATTTAAGCAAAATGTGAAGGAACTGCTTTTTTAATGAAATAAGATTATTATTTGCAAAAGTGTCATGCTGGTCTTTGGAGATAGATATCAGTGGGTGGAAATAGAAATTTACAAACTACAACACCACATTCCATTAGAGCTCCTGTGAGGTCTGAACTGTTAAAGCTCTGAGGAAACCAGTTGCTGTTTAGACAGCCATCGTTAACAGATTGGCTCAGAAGAAAATCTCTGTTTAGAATCTTCCCACCAGTTGGATCAGACCAGACTTTGGCCCCTTTGCCATTGAGCAGTTTTGAAGTTAAAATAAATAATAATAATTTGGCCACTCAATCCACAACTGTTTGTGGGACACTGCTGTGCCAATTGGCTGCCGCGTTTCGCCCATAAAATATTCAGACGATTCGCTTTACAGTGTATTCTTTGAGATGTCTCAACGACATGATAAGGAGCTATATTAAAATACAAGGATTATTATTATTAAACTGATTTAGCTTTATCTTTATATGCAGACAATAATTTGGACTGGAGTTCATGCATTTCATTGCAATGTAACACAATCCAAGCCAAGCTTACTCAGCACATTCATCAGTCAGTGAATGGTCTACCAGCAGCACTCTTTGGTTTGCAAGATATAAATGGGGAGTCAGGTGTTAGACTAATTTAATGGGCACTTTTAATGGAATGAAAATTAAATTTTTCGATTGTTAAATTTGAAGAGGCTTTATAATAAATGGGTTCAAGCCAAATGAAAATCTGATCTGAACAATTACCTTGATGAGAACAGGCCAGGTCCTGGCAAAGTATTGAATAAATAGCTGTAGTGAACAGCCGAGGATCGTATAAATTCTCAGATGGTATCATCCGGAGATGTTGATAATAATAGGTTTGCCTGCAGCCCTTAGCCACTTTCTGTTGAAAGTCAATGGAATTACATTACCCAGTTTCCCCAGTTGCAGTTGGGGCTGCCAAAGGTTTGGTAACAAGTCGCAAAGTACTAGCCTTGGATACCCTTTGGAATATGCTGGAGGTTTAGCATTAGCTGGTATTTCCTCCTCTGATTTATTCTACCTATAGCTTTCCACTGTGAACCAATATATTTTTCCTTGTGAACCTGTCACTGTCGATATGATGCAGTGATATAGTTAACAATCAGAGAGCAAAGAATGCTTATGAAGGAAGCAATGTAAACAGTGGCTTGACACAATGCTAACTCCTATTATGCAAACAGACAGTAAATCAGATTGCCAAAATATCTATGTTTGAGTGCAGTAAAAGCAGAAGAAAACAGTTAGCAAAAAGCCCCAACCAATCTTGAGGTTTTCCTCACTGGTCACTTACTATTCTTCACACTTGGCTTCAGAAGCTCCAACTGATTGGGTGGTCCTAGCTGGACAAATAGCAGGAAGCTTGCCAGACAGTGCACTCAATGGCAATGCTTTTAGCTGATTAAACTCCAGCAGTACCTCAACACACACTCCTGCCAACCTGCCCTTAATACTCTCCAGAATTAGGTAAGCAGGGTGCATGTGTCCAGAGAGAATCCAGGGACATTCCATGCCAGACACAGGGAAATTTCCATGTGTAGGTGGGATACATATGTGCAACTCTCAGTCCGGTCCAGATACTCTGAAACATAGTGATTGGTTTCTTCATTGTGTGTCTGACCAAAAATAAAAGCACTTTTCATGTAGGTCCCAAGGAAGCTAACAAACTGAAGTCTGAAAGAGACAAGACTGTCTTTAAACTATGGTTTTGAAATCCCTCGTACAGTTCTAGATGGTCTCTGACAACCTAAACCTTTTATTGTGCAATTTGTTTTATTGTGAATATTATGCAACACTTTCAAAAAGCACAGCTTTGTTTTTCCCTGAAATGCTTGACACTAAATTTGTTCTGGATGCTGTGGACCAGGGAAACCAACAAAGAAGCTCTCAGAGAAACTAGAATGCAAGACAATGGCAGAAAGACTCCAACTGCTGCCAAATGGAGTTTGATTCGTGCCTGTGTGCAGCAGAAACTCTGAGCTTCAAATCTGAGGAGGAAATACTAGTAACTGCTAAAAGCTGCTGGGAATTGAGAGAACAGCATGCGATTAACCCCTGACGATGGATATTACAATTTTTCCTTACTTGTATTCACATCTACTATCCTTTCAAAAACAATTATCAGTATTAAGAAGAAGAATTGCATATATCGCGCCTTTCACATCGGCAGGACATCCTAAAGTACTTCACAGGATCCACCAGTGACTGCACATTTATTAAGTGCACCCTGCCCCCAAAATTTCCCCTCCATTTAATGTTCCAAGCGTTCCGAGACGCCCTCCAACGTGAAGGGTGCTATATAAATACAAGTTGTCGTTTTAGAGAAATATTTTCACTCTTAAAAGTCCATAAAAGACTTGCTCTGCCAGTGACGATGAACACACTGGAAGCCATGCTGCCGATCAGCTCACAGCACAACCACCAAGACACATGGAGTTGCCAATGTGCTCTGAATAAGCTACTGATGGCTACAAAATACCAATAAGAAACCACTGTTGGCATCCTGAGGGAGAAAATTGAAATGTCTTTATACTAATGGAGGAGGGGGTGAGATAGCAGTGAAGCACCGTGGCAACACTTTGCTCTTGCTGTGTGCAATGCCAGCTGAAGCTCTGAACAGGAGTATAATTACAACCCACCCACCTGGCCTCCCTCCTCTATGGTCGCTTTGGCTGAGTGTACTGAGTATGATTCATTTAACCAAGTGAACCATCTGAGAAGCTCAGCATCATTAGTCCTGTGAGGTAAACATTCACAAAGATAGGGAAAATGTTGTTTTTATATGTCAAGTACTATACCTGGTACACTGTCCTTCCACTGGGGGAGGAGATGAGTGTTACTGAGCACTGATCAACCAGGTCTAACGCATGAAGGGCAGTTGAGCCAAAGATGAATTTTAACCTAGAAAAGAAACCACACAAAGCTTTAATATGGAACGACCACTTTTTAAAACTAAATGGCGCACACATCACACTAACTATCTCAGTTTAACGTCTCACCCGAAAGATGGCATTCTGACTGACAGCCCAGTGCTCCCCGGGTATTCAGATGTTAAATAAACATTTGATTTAGCAACTTTCACGTTGGGAGGATGTCTCAAAGCACCTCGCAAGAAATACTACAAAGTGACATGACTGAATTTTTTTTGTAGACCAATTTTATTTGATTGTGACTTGCAGAATCCCTGCGTAGGCATATATAGTGAAGCAAACATCTGATACACATCAGGAACTCAATAAATAAACACAGTCCTACACCCGGCAGGAGGAAGGAGTTGGAAACCATCTTACCAGCAAGACTGGAAGCAGATTTCAATAGCAGGCCCACCCACTCAATAAACACCATAATTGCTGGCTGCAAGCTTGGTTTCCATTCAGGCTCAGTGCTTTACCGTAAGGTGAACAACTCAGCACCCATTCAGCCACTAGTTAAGAGAGCGACAGAGCAGGTCAGTCACCAGAGATTGAGGTGGAGAAAATATGAGCTTCTCACTCACAATTTGTGTTAGAGAGCTTCTCTGAGCACACTGCATGCAAGACCTTGGTGTTTATGAGCCGCACACAGCTGCTAGAAATAAGGGCAATGTCCAACTCATGCCTCCTACATAATGGAAGAGAACATCAACATTTTGGGGGCGAGCAATCTCAGCATCAGCAACATCCGCACGTGCACTACTCTTGCACTCCTCATACCCACAGCAGGCCATTATTGTGCCATTATTAAGCTTCTCAATGTGGTCCAACAGGAACCCCCAAACATGCAACAATCAGAAATTAAGGGCTTTATTTAAAGCAAAGGCAAAGGTCAAAATATTCCTCTCCATGTGGTAATAATAATCCTTACATTTGCTATTGTGCCTTTGCCTCTGGGATGACATCCTAAAGTGCTACACAGGATATATTGTAAAATGGATTTGTGGGCGAATGCCCACGGTATTAAGATATCAAAGGACATACAGTATCTCCTCTGATTTTTGTGAATCATTTCCATTCAGTTGAGACCGGCCCTTTTGGGTCTTCACTTGGCATGCTGCAAGGACAGTTTGTGTGTGTATGCGCATGTTCCCAGGTCGGCAATGCTTTCGACAAGCTAGGATGCTGAATTGGAGGAATTAGAGACAGAATGGGTTCCAGGAGGTTCTCACCCAATAGTAACCCTTCCAACTTGGCTACAAAACAGTCACTAACAGAATTAAAAAAAACCTCCAAAGCATTTTCAGATGTTTAAGTACCATGATAAGGAGCAATATCAAAGTTCAGGATTATTATTATTAAAATTGTGGCTATATTTATCTGCTGACACACATTGCCCATCTGTGAAAAAACACACTGCTTTAAAATATTTATGTTTTCTTATCTTTTTCATTCAACTTATCTACAGCAGTAAAATGAGGGAGGCTAGCCAGCAGGGAGGGGATTGCACATTCATCTAGCTCAATAATCTAGTCAGCTACACTTGCTGAGGTGCGCTGAATGGGGAAGACAGACTTTCAGAGCTGTAGAGAAGATTATGTAAAGGCTTTTTGTGGTTTTGATTAGATAGGAAGTAATAAAAATAAGGATGCCATATCAGGGGTTTGTTCAATTTTATGCAATGTTGTAAAGAGTTTTATATGCCTTTTCTATCAGTGAGGAAAAGCTATAAATAATAAACAGCCTTGAAAACAGGGTACACCATTATGCAGTATGTGTGGTAGTATAATGTGTACTATCTAGTTGTCTCAGATAAACATCTAAATCTGATACGTTATAGGTTTTGCCCAACAGATTTCAAGATCGACTGTAACCCCAACAGGTGCTAGTTTCGCCTATTTCACCCAGTTTGAAACCAACATACTGCTCTGTATTGTTTTGTGTTGTACCAGGCAGTGACTATATCCACAAGGTCATAAGGGAGCTTCTAAACAACTTTGTAAGCTCTTTGCCAGGAGGTCAGCCATACTAACCAGACTGTGGAACACTTTTCCTCTATCCCTCCGCCTTGCCCCTTCCTTCCCCATCTTCCGATCGTGCCTGAAGACTTTCCTCTTCGACCGTGCTTACGGTCACCTGGCCCCTCCCCCCGGCTCGGCATCGTGCTCCGCCACTGTTAAGCGCTATGGGATGCTATATAAATGCTAGTTGTTGTTGACTGTCGAGGGAGTGCTGCTCTGTTAAAGGTGTGGATAACACATTAAACTAAGGCCCCATCTCTCTGTTCCTGTGATGGTTCAAGATCCTTGACACTATTTAAATAGGGAAGGGCGATTCAACAACATCCCCAAGAAGGAGCATGTAGATCAGAAAGAGGAGGGGGCCAAGGATGGTGACTGGGTGAGAGCGGGAGGAGAAGCCGTTTGTGCAGATGTACTGCTGGCGATTCTCCTGGTGACCTAGCCTAAAATCCTGCTGATAAATTAGTACGTTATGGGACCAGGCTCTCCACTTGTCAGTTGAACAATGAAGAATGGAGAGATATGATGCCTTATATAAATGATGGCAAAGACAAATGATCTGGGACTCTTTAAAATTAAAGCTTATTGTAATGAATAAAACAAGACTCTTAAAAATTGTTCAGTATCAACATCCCACAGCAGTTTAATCAAATCTGATCCCACAAAGTCTACCCAATCAAACAAAACATTAATCAAATGGTTTCTGAGCCAAGGAGCCCAGAAAGATAGTGGAGAGCTAGACCCACATAAACAGTACTTACGCAAGAAGAAGTTCATCTGTCACTGAAAAACAGGAGACAAGGAGAGTTGTTAGTCTCTAGACTTTGCAAACCCCACCCTAAATAACACACTGAAATACAATCCATAATTCACAATTCAGAGCAGTTTAATATTATAATAAATAATAATCCTTGCATTTGATACAGCGCCTTATCACATTTTTGAGACATCTCAAAGTGCTTCACAAAATACACTGTAAAGTGAATTGACTGTATATTTTGTGGATGAAATGCAGCATCCAATTGTGCACAGCAGAATCCTACAAACAGTTATGGATTGAGTGACCAAATTTTTTTTAAAAAGGAAGTATTTCTCCCAGTTATGCTTCATCATCATGATGGATAGATGGAAAAGGGGTGAGACAGATAGGTTGAGGCGAGGAGTTGCAGAGGGTGCTGTATTAGTGGCTGAAGACTCGGCCATTGATCCCGGGATCCGTTACTGTAAAGCGCTCTGAGACGCCGTCCGGCATGGAGGGCGCTCTGTAAATCCAAGTTGTTGTTGTTGTTGGTAGAGTGGAAAGAGCGAATTAATGTACAGCAGACCCGAGCTTGCTGAGTGAAAGGGAGAGCAGAAGAGCAAAGCTGGAGAAGAGCACAGAGACAGGGAAGTGTGTGGTGGTGAAGGGATTTGTAGGCAAGAGTTAAGGGATGTAACTGTCAATACAATGACTGCAATATATTTTCATAGAATCATACAGCACAAAAAGAGGCCATTCGGCCCATCGAGTTTGTGCCGGCTCTTTGAATAGAGCAAATCCTTTTGAAGTTCAGATAAAGGTCCTTTAAAGTTCCTCCCACCACACTGAAGGCAAATAGATGATGAGGAAACTCTGAGGCTTGGGGTGACAGCTGCTGGAAGTCTTGAGTTACTCCAGAGAGAATGCGCTTACCATTCCAACAAACATCTCTGGAATGTTCATGTATGGGTGGGATGTATGGAATTCTCAGTTTGGTTTGGATAAGTAAGGTGATGGGTTTCCACACGTGTCAGACACCCAGCTGACCAGGTATCAAGGGAACAGGATACCCTGGTCTTCATGCTTGAGAGTGAAACCTGGTTTCTGGGCATTTAACAAGACTAGAGGGGATAGTGGAATCAGCTAGCACGATGGAAGAATGCCAGAGAGCATCTGATCTAGAGGAAACTGTAAGGAGGCCTAGAGAAAGGCCAAAGACCAGAACTAAACTGGAAACAAAGGAACAAGAAGCTCATTCATTGAAGTCAGTGAGTCGTTGCCTGCTGAAGGCAGTGTTGTTTGCTGGGGTCGGGATCCACAGGTGTTGGTTCTTGCCCAGAAGGCCATCATTCACGCGAGAGCTTGCCTTGAGTTTGCACGCCAGCAGACACGTTGACTCCGAATCGGCATGTGAGCTGAATGCGATCCTGTGCTTACCCTACATGGGCACTTTCCAGCAGAGATCACTAGATTGTGATTAACAGCGGAAACTCTCGCCAATTTTCCCCTCTGCAACCCACAGCCCTGAGGTCGTGTATGTACTGCCCTGACAGTCTGAAAAATTTGATATGCAGTCACTTTGCTTTCGTAAAACCGTCACAAGCATGATTGAAAGTGTGTACACTCTTTTGCAGAGGCCTCGCTGTCAGCAGAAATTAGTAAAGATCTCACCAGAGACGCAAGTGTACTGCGACGTTGTTCCAGCAACACGTACCTCTCACTTTCTGCAGTTGCAATACCTACAACTTTTATTAACAATCATTTCCTGCAAGTGGTTAACATGTTGAGTCGTGCTTCATGATCGGAAGAGAATGGGCTTTCAAACTAGTTTGGGTGTGTGTGTGGTACCAAGAGCTGATAGTTACACTGCACAGAAAAACAACATGGTGGTTTCACTGTTTTTTTCCACCTCAAACATAGAGCGGGCCAGAGGTGGCAGAGAGGAGGGAGTGGGTAGAGATGATAAAGAAAGGTGGCCCAAAGGCATAGAAGCATCTTGCTTTAACTCTTCTACTGAATGATTACTTTTTCTATTACCTAATCTGAATACATGCTTCATAATGATCCAGCAGTCACACAAGCTGTTTGTTTCAGTATTCTCACATCTGGCTAAGAAGATTGTGAGTTCAGTTCTAGGTTGTACTCCAATGCGGGATTAAGGGAGTACTGCCTGTTATAATAATAATCCTTGCCTTATCATGTCGTTCAGACTTCTCAAAGAGCTTCACAGAATACACTGTACAGTGGATTGACTATATATTTTGTGGACGAAATACGGCAGCCAATTGGGCACAAATTATGTTTTTTTTTGTTGGTGGAACCGTCCTTTAGATGAGACATTAGCCCAAAGGTACGTTTTGGTAGTTCAGGTGATAGTAAAGTTCCAATAAAACAATTTCAACGAAGAATAGGGAGTTGTCCTGGAATTCCTCCCTCACCCAAATTCACCAAAAACATTCACTACATTGTTGTTCGTGGGACATTGCTGACGCTAATTAGCTGTGTTTGCCTACATAACAGTCACTATGCTTTACTGGGTGAGACATTGACATGATAAATGGACACATTAAAATATAACTGATATTGATCATTTTGGATACCAGTCATATCGCAAATTTTTGAACCTATAATGATTATTGCACAAGTTTTTATTCAAATAATAAAAGCCATTATATTTGGCTTACCATTAAAATTAATGGATGACAATGTAGTCCCTCCTATGCTGGTTGGCACCACAGAGCAATAAAAAAATTATACCCTTCAATCAACCCTCTCTCAGGTCAACTAAACAATGGGTAACCTCCCCGCCACCTCATAACATAAGGACTCAGCAAATAATTTATGAATAGTGCATCTGGAACAGTGATGAGAGTTAATGTCAGTAACATAATCACAAGGGAAAGTTTAATGTGTATATATATTATATATATATTTTGAGCTGTTGCATAATGTTGTACTGTAAGTTATTATAATATACATATATATGTATACACAATCTTGCAGGGCATTAAGCTGATCAATTGACAGCCTCTTGGTGTCCCCACCCCCACTCTCCCAGCATCAGGATGTGATGCTTTAGTCTCTTCCTGGTCGCAGCAGCCCATCGCCATCTCATCTAGTTAAACAAACCCTTCCTCAGGAGAGCCATAACTCACTTGAGGCACGTCACCACATTTTCCGCCTGACATCAAAAGAAAAACATTCAGCTTGCCGGTTCCTCAAGCTTTTGCAGAACAGCAGGGTGCAGGCCAAATAAAGCTGGAGCTTTAAACAAAACACGCCCCGGGCATGAGGCAGTATGGTGCAGGGCTGCTTCACCAATGTTTTATGGTCTATGCTATGTAAGCTGATCTCAGAGCGCATTTTACAGTTGGCTCAGCTTGCCTCGTGTGGGGGAGTTGACCACAGCTCCTGCTCGCAATCAGTATCAGGAGACACCTCTCACCTCCTAAAGGTGTATGTGTGTGTACATAGGACACTAATGAAGTTTACTCGCTAAGACTTGCCATTGTGAACACGGTCCAGAGAAAATGCTCGTTCTGTTAGACTCAGCTACAAGTTATAATTTTGGATTGCAGGGTTAACGACAGTGAGAGCAAGACAGAGACAGATTCCAGAGGGGCCAAAATTAATAAGATAAGCAAACATCCTAAATTTAAAAAATATACTTTTTTTTATAAAAAATCTTTTTTTTTCTTTCTTTTGCTCACCAACGAGCTCAAAGGGAAATAGGGAGATTTCTGGATTATCTGTTGAATGCAAGAGTTCAGAAATAATGAGAAGCAATCTGTACTTTCTCCGTCTACTGCTGGGTGGGTGGGGGGAATCCAGTAATCAGTGTTTTGATATTTGTGTTTTTTCTGGCAAAAGTTAATATAAACACTTAACATTTTATCTCGCCAGCTGATATGCCATTTTTGCACAGCGGTCCAAAGTGGGGGATTTATCACCATGCCAATTGTTGAACACTGAGCCATCAGAGAACGTGAATGACCAGCTGAGTTGACTCCAACAGTAGCTCAGGGTTACAACCATTGGAGACATTACTCCTGATACACTGTGGGGGAGGAAATACGCTCACTCAACTGGTTCCATTCAGCAAATTCCATCTTCAGCTGTGAGAAGTCATTTGAAACCTTGCCTCCGATCTTCCTCAAGTGCAGAACGTGATGATGCAATACAATTTCATCCACAAAATATACAGTCAATTCACTTTACAGTATATTCTGTGAGCATTTTGGGACACCTTGAAGACGTGATAAGGCGCTGTATCAAATGCAAGGATTAATATTATTATTTTTCTGAAAGGTTAGCTCTTGAGACATAGCCCTTTCTCCCTTTCCAAAATAACACAATAAGAACTGTATTAACCCAAGATTTGAACTCTTCTCAACAGAATGTGTTACACAATTTTCATAAATAAAAATTTCAATTCAGCTACTTTGGCTCAGGAATCTTTAACACAAATAGATATCAGCAGACCATGGGTCCTGAGGAAACTCAAAAGACTTGTCTACAAGGTAAAGCCAGACACGATACATCCTACAATTCTTAAGGAAATGCAAGAGGAAATTAGTGAGTCTCTAGGTAATATAGTATTTATTAGTAGTGCATAAAAACTGGAGCTGTACTTGAGAACTGGTAAAACCAAATATTATCCTCGCATTCAAAAGAGAAGTGAGACATGAAGCTGGGAATTATAGACCAGCTAGCCTTACACCTGCGCTGAGGCGATGTTTGAAGGAATTATTTATTTATTTTTTCCGTCTGACACGTGGAAACCCATCACCGTTGGTCTCCAAACCAAGCTGAGATTTCCAAGCATCCCACTTGCACAAGGAAATTCCAGAGATAGATTGTTGGAATGGAATGCGCTCTCTCTCTCTCTGGAGAGACGCATCCTGCTTACCTAATTCCGGAAGGCATTAGGCACAGGTTGGCAAGAACCAAGGCTTGGGGGACCCCAGAATGTGCGTTGGAGTGACTGCTGGAGTCTAACCAACTAAAACAGCCTTAACAGTGCAGTGCATTCTCAGTATGACACTAGAGTGTCAGTCTAGACTAGATGTCCCTCTCCTGCACCAAACTCCATGATCCCATCTCCCCATTCTCACCTGACTCCATTGGCTCTCTATCCTTCAGAGGATCCAGTTCAAAATCCTGGTCCTCACCTACAAAGCCCTCAATGGTCTCGCCCCACCCTCTGACCTCCTAACCCCCTACCAACCCGCCCATTCCCACCGCTCAGCCGGCTCCAGCTTGCTCCACGTCCCCCGACCCACCTGCTCCACCACTGACGGGAGAGCTTTCAGCCACTCTTCCCCCAACCTCTGGAACTCCATCCCCCAATTGCTCCACCTCGCCCCCTCCTTCAAGTCCCGCGTAAGATCCACCTCTTCGACCATGCCATCGGCCACACCCTCCCCTCCCTTCTCCCCCCTGACCCCAGCTCAGGTCTGAAATGCTGTACACCGTCCAGCGCCTTGGGACGTCCTCCCGACGTGAAAGGCATTATACAAATGTAATCTTGTTGTTGTTGATGAGTTCAAAGTCCTAATGTGGAGCTTAAACTCACAACCTTCTAACTATTTCACACGTGTATAATCTTCACCACATCAGTGTGTGAGGCTGTGGTCCTATGATATGAATGGCAATTGATTCTCTGACAGTCTGTCTTCTTAAAGGTGAAACTGCGAGAATGGAAACCACCTCTTGTAAAATATAATTACCGAGGAGTTTTGCTGTGCGTATCCAACACGTGGATGAGTACTTTCTGATGGCCGGAATCCACAAAGTACAATACATCTCCTCTCCTACTCTCACCCCTTTCTCATAACTCATTTACATATAATTGACAATGGAACTCCCCAGTCGAGTCCCAAATACTTACATTGTGATGACTCCTGGTAAACCTTCTTCACCTCTTTTAGAAGTTCTTCTGCTATAACAGAAAGGGTTCCTGCAGACATCTTTTCAGCGTTGTAGCCTCAGTTGTCATCCACACTGAAACAAGCAAATATTATCAATTAGATGAATTTGTATTTTTATCGTGTTAAATCATATTAAATACACAGCACCACAAAGTCAAGGAATTAAACACTTTCTACAATTCTCTAAATCTCTCTGCCTAACACCACCCACCCCCATGCCTTTAAAAGCCACCAAAAAAAATCTACCTCTTTCACCTCCCTCCTATCCACCCTCTCTGCTCAGTTGTTGTCTGCCTCGCATGGCTTTTGTGAAGCGCTTTGAGACATTACCACATGAAAGGCACCACACAAATAGTTTGTCAGTATAATGTTCTTCAGCATCCTTTAATTAGCTTTGAACACAATTGCTCGATTGTCCTACAAATCCATTGTATTAAATTAATCACATACACCTGTTTACACAGCTATCTGCATGTTAGACCCATCTGTTTAACTAGTTTGCAGGTATTTGAAAATAATTAACCTTTTACAGGTGTCAGCTGAGCTCAGTCGGTAGTACGCTTGCCTCTGAGGCAGAATTTTATAGGTTCAACCCCCAACAATGGCACTTTGAGCTCATCATCTAAACTCCAACGCAGTGCTCCTCGTGTGCTGCATTGTCGGACGTGCCATTCTTCAGATGAGACGTTAAACTGAGATTCCATCTGCCAGTTCAGGTGAACATTAAAGAGAAGGCAGTTCCCTCCTTGTGTCCTGGCCAACAACCCCCTACCCCCCACACTGATAAAATAGTCATTCAATGCATGACTATTTCTGAACACATTGCTGTGAAATTGCCTGTTATGTTTTCCTACAAATATACAGACTTCACAGAAAAACTCTGCAAAGCACTTTAAGGGCTTTTTTAAGTAATAAGGTACGGTATCAAATGCAAGGATTATTATTATAGTGAATGGACCAGGAAATGATTTATTATCCCCTTACAGACAGGGTTGAAACAGACAAAACAATGTCTGCAGTCACCTCCCCCTCTCCCCAGCTTGGTGTCGTGCTCTGCCACTGTCAAGTGCTCTGGGAATGCTACCCGAGTGAGGCGTTCTATATAAATGCAAGTTGCTGTGCAATGGTCAACGATCCCTCAATATATTGGTGATGGCTGTTTGCGAGACAATGCTGTGTGCAAATTGGCTGTCACATTCACCCACAAAACACAGTTACCACGCTTTACAATATAACCTGTGAATTGCTTTGTGTAAGGCACTAAGTTAAATGCAATGATTATTGTTATCAACGGTAGCGGCATTTCCACGCACTGAAATTGACAATGGGCAAAATAGTTGGGTATTAATGGCTATTTTTCTGGATCTGATGGTTGCTCATGGACTTAATGGGATATGGATATCGTGTAATTGGTGGCATCAGGAGGCAGAAACCCCACTTGACAGCATAGCGCGGGAAGTGGAATTTTAACATCCAATTTCTTTAGCCACAAGAGGTCAGTGAAGAGTTGGAAGCCCAACAGAGTTGCCTCACAGCAAAACCAAGTATCATGGAGGGTTTGAAATAATGATGAATTTGGGGTGGGTGGGATGGTAGGAATAATTTACTCATTAATGGCTGAAAACAAATATTTAAAGTGTAGTATCTACCCCCTCCACCCCCACCAGCAACTGTCTAGTATTGTACATTCCTATGAAAACCCTTCACAATTAAAGCTTCAAGATGCTGGAGAACGTGAGGTAATTATTTTGCATGAATACATCATCTGGATTTTGCTACCCAGTGACTGACTAATTGGGCGTGTGTGTACATGTCACCCTGAGTCGGGTGTGACTCACTCCATTCTAGTAATTGGTCACACACGAAGAGTGTGCAAATAGTTTCCAACTACTAAAAATCGGTTGTCACTGTATGTGAAAAGCATATAAATTTAGCACATTTGATTACAAGTGACAAATCACTGATTCAAATCTGTAGCAGGTTTAGCTTACACTCTTAAGAGTCCCTGAAATTCCCCCGAAACGACTTATTTTAATCAGCCAGCAATGTGCTTAACATATGGACTTCCCCACCAAAAATGAAAATGAGCGACCGTGCGCACAGAGCATATCTAATTAGAACCACTGTAGGTTTGACTTATAAAGGTAGGACTAATCTACTCCAAGTCTTACTTATGAGAGGAACAGGCAGGTCAACCATCTGGTACACACATTATGGGGTCTCAGATCATTGCCGTATTTTTTNCCCCACCACAAAAACAAGGGGCCACCATCAATCAATCAAACCATAACTGCAGCAACTGCCTCTCGTACGGAATATCCCGCATGAAGAGGTTCTTTAGCTTCTTTCCGCTTCAATATAAATCATTGTGTGAAAAGCTTTGGCCTTTATTGTGGAGTCAGCCAAGTGTTTTGATACCTGCGCAAACCCAGCAATCGGCTGAAAGAGAGCATCCAAAGCAAATTGAGCGATACCACTCATGGAAACGTCCCTGTGGCTGGAATTCACACTCTCCTGCTTACCCCATTACGGAGAGTATTAGGCGCCGGTGGTTTGGGGAGAGTCAACGCTGGGGGTCTCCCGAGTAGGCGCTGGGGTAAGTGCTTTCACCTGCACAGCGAGAGCTCCGTCTGACGAGCTTTCCTGCTGCAAGGCGCCATACAAATGTAATCTTGTTGTTGTTGTCCGGCTAGTACCGCCCTACCCGTCAGGGCTTTGGCTCGCCGGGTGAAGGGGAGCTGAATGGGATACCTCCCCGTTTCCCCAACCCTCCCCAAGTGACTGGTCTGCCCTTCCAGGTCCTGCCCACCAGTTGGCAGTGCCCTGAGGTCCGGTGCTCTGGACCACTGCCAAGTGCTCTGGGGCTCCACCCCACCTGAGGGGCATTGTGGAAATACAAGTGGCTGTTGACCATTCCTGTAGCTCAGTGGTTAGAGCACTCGCTTTGCGAGCGAGAGACCTGAGTTCAATTCCAGGCAGAGGGCGAAACCTCGGGCCAAGTTTCCTTACTCCACACAGAGCCTAATAATAGTCCCTCCAAAACCAAAAACAATAATAAATTGGTCATTTTCAGTCTACGACTGTTTGTGGGACATTGCTGTGCGCAATTGGCCGCCGCGTTCGCCCACAAATATACAGTCAATTCACTTTACAGTGTGTTCTGTGAAGCGCTTTGGGACGTCCTCCCGACGTGAAAAGCGCTATATCAAATGCGAGGATTATTATTATTATTCCCTCCCCACCCACCCACCCCCACCCCCGGACTAGAGACGGTCACAGGAAGGCTGACTCAGTCCTGACATGGGAGGCAGCTCAGAGAGCCATCTCCCCCCCCCCCCCCCCAGGGGTGAGGAGCTCAGCGGGTGAGGTGGTGCACAGAGACCGTCAACACGGCCACTTGCTGGCGCGGCAGTGCGGGTGGGCTCCACTTCCCACTGCCTTCTGGAACCTTCCAGCACCTTCTGCCAGGTCCGCTCTGGGCAAACGGCGCCTCGAAACCTCTCGTGGGTGGGGGTGGGGGGGGGGCAGGGGCTTGTGCAGGGCGGACCAAGTGAGGCTAAATATACACCAACATTTTCTCTCTCCCTCCCCCCGGGGCCCCTCCCTGTCTGTCTGTCTCTGTCTTACCGCCATTTCTCGCCGTCTCTCACATACTGACGTCCAGAGACTGTCCTCATACTCACCGCCACCGCCCGCTGCATCACGGGACTTGTAGTGCCGGCCCCGCTGCATCACGGGACTTGTAGTGCCGGCCCCGCTGCATCACGGGACTTGTAGTGCCGGCCCCGCTACATCACGGGACTTGCGGTGCCGGCCCCGCTGCATCACGGGACTTGTAGTGCCGGCCCCGCTGCATCACGGGACTTGTAGTGCCGGCCCCGCTACATCACGGGACTTGCGGTGCCGGCCCCGCTGCATCACGGGACTTGCGGTGCCGGCCCGCCCCCCCCCGTTGCATTGTGGGGTTTGTAGTTTCCAGGCACCAGCCTCAGGTCACCACTTATCTTAAAATGCCTGTACTGGTTCCTTATCAATTTATCCCCCCATTTTTCACTAACTGAAATGAATCATATTATACATCAGGGCACGCTTAACTATTTATTCAAATAAGACATTAAACCGAGGTCTCAGCTGCTGATTTGCTGTGCACCGACTTCTGGCCGCCGCGTTCCGCCCGCAAGACACACAGGGCTTTGAGACGAGACGTCTCGGCAACGCGACGAGGCGCTATATCAAATACAAGGATTATTATATTATTATTATTATTCAAGTGGCTTTTACAAGATACAACTTGCATTTACAGAGTGTCCCTCACCCAAGGGCAGCTCCAGCATCCCAGAGAGCTCGACGGTGGCACAGCCCGTGATAAGGTCCTGCGATGAGAGAAGTTTCTCCCGGTGTCCTGGTCAACAGTCCTTCACATAATCGCTCGACATTCCATTCCCAGTTATTCGTGGGACATTGCTGTGAAACACACTCAAAGGCTCCTCACCTACACACTGTGGACGAATGTGGAAAATTTAACAAAGCGCACAAAACACAAAAGGCTTTGAAATAAACAAAGCACAGGAGAAGGATGAAGCATTAAAAAGACTGAAATCCGATTGCATCTTTATTTTTAGGTCAAGAAACATTTACATGAACATGGACTAGGTTCTGGAATGCCGAGCTATTAAAAGATAAATTAGCCTCAACAGGCTAACAGAAAGGGGGATACCAACTTCAATCCTGAAATGCAGTTACAACAAACTGATACAGTGTGACGTTATTCACTCAAAATACACTTAAAATAAGAATTTGACCCAAATCGAGTGACACGGTTAACTTTTGAGTGCTTCAAGGTAGATCTGAACAAAGGAAGGAACATGAACACGATTTCACGAGCGTGTTTGATTCCACTCCTGTTGAACTTGAGAAAGGATCCGAGGATTTGTCCCGAGTCTGAAATTCTGCGGTTAAAACAGTCAAAATAAAAAGGTACAGAATTCCTTTTGCAAATCACGTGACGGAAAAACAAAAAAAAAACATGCATTTTCACAGCTGCCAAAAACCCTTTCAGCACTCAAAGAGTTAGTTACCGAGTGTGTGCGCAATTTCTCTGGTGTGACCAGTAAACCCTAAGGTGGGCAACAACGTTTGGACTTTTGTGACTTGACACGTCCTGGGAGGGAAAAGAATGCAACTCGTCATCCCTTCAGCTATAACTGCGTTGCTCTAACACTGTGGCAAGCCCCAATTTTGTGCAATGTCTTCCTAGAGAACAGAAGCCTTATTTTTCAAAGGAATTACAATGCTCTGGAATGTGATGTTGCAGCAGAACTAGGCTTCACAAACACGGACTCCCCTCCCCTTCCCTTACAACCATTGACTACAGTGATCTACGAGATTTCTGTGGACAGGGTGAGGCGTCAGTCTATCCTCTTACATCAAACGGCCACTTACTTACCCGCTTCGTTCACCCTCAGTCTCGGGGCCTCATAGCAGGAACAAATGGAGAACTTATAGAAGTATCGTAATTAATTTGCTTTACATTTCTTGGGCTAGTCGGGATTTCAACTTTTTTTTTTGGTGGCGGTGGGTGGTGGTGGGGGTGCGAGAGTGTGTGAGAATGGGACAAAAAGAGGACGTTTTAAAACAACTAAAAGGAGAAACAAAACGTCAAGTGGAAATATAAAAACCTTCACTTTCAACACATATCTTTACCGGTCGGTGTGCGCAGCGAGGTCAGGAAACCTCTCCGAATATCGTTTTAAAATGAATCATAATACACCCATGCATTAATATCTTAGCAGTGCTGCTAAATAATTCAAGACAAAATGCAACTCAATTTACAACGGGTCTGGAACAGGTTCACTCGGGCAGCAGTGAGCGTCGAGAGTGCTCGTGTGTCTGCCATTCGTGGATTTATACGCTTACGGACGATGCACAGTTTCGGTTCCTTTTTAAAAACGTAAAGTTACATCGGATTGGTAGCATGATACAATGGGGGAGGTAGGGGGGTGGGGCGGAGAGGGCAAAAACACTGCAAAAGTACTCTCTATTTACAGAAGAATGATTTAAAGACATTAAGGTTTTTTTTATACAAACAGATGAACGTAAAATGTCTTTCATTTCGAACGCTTCTGGCGTGTGTGAGTGTGTGTGTGTCTGCAACAGCCACTTCTCCTCCTCCTTTTCCTCCCCCAGTGGGTATCTGCTCCTTTGAAGACAGGGAAGCCTTCTCACATTCGTGTCCGCAAACAAACCCTCATTTTGTTTTTTTTACTTCATCATCCGGTAGCCTGGGCTCTCGAAGAGAGAGTCTCTCGTCTGTACGACAGGCCTTGAAACACTACTGAAAATCCCAGCCGCGGCGCTGCTATCAGAGCTCAGTCATCACTGTCCGACAGCGTCTCGTACTGGGAGGAGAGCAAGGGCGCTGGCTCACGATCCCATGTCCTTGTTGGGGGGTGTGCGCTGACCTGGCTGATGGTCTGTGGGGTGCAGGCGATGGACGTCGGCGGCACATTCATCATGCGCATCGTGAGGGGGTTGTAGGGAAACGGTGTTGAACCTACACAACATGACAGGGGGAGAAGGCAGGTCAGTTCATTTGCAATTGCATCTCCAAGTCGTACAGCAGTTTGGAATTTAACACTAATGTAGCGTAATAAATATAACAGCTGCTCATAGTCTGGTAGAGAAAAAGCAAACGTCTGGCTTCACCCACAAAATAAACCGTCAATTCACTTTACAGTATATTCTGGGAAGACCTTTGAGACGTCTCGAAGATGTGATCAGGCGCCTCATCAAATGCAAGGATTATTATTATATTATAAAGACATTACCAACCTGAAGGAGGTGATGGATTGGCCTCTTCTGTCCGTGAGTCACTCGACACTGTGATGATTGTATTGATGTTGCCCTGTGTTGTGTTGACGGGATGGGGCAGAACCACTTGCCGGTCTTCTCCTTTGTCATCGTATTTCCCCATTAAGGCTTTCCTAATAATGTCTTCCAGACCCAGGTTACTGGCGGGATCTGCAAAGGAATGACTCCTAGAGCTGACACTGCCTGGGAGATGGAAGAAAATAATGGTGGGGGGAGGGGAGGGAGAGAGAATAAGAGGAGTAAAACAAGAAGGAGATGGGAGAATGTGAGGGTTGCAGAGAGAAAGAGAGAGAGACAGGCAGAGTCATATTTTTGCAAGCTGCAAACTTTAACCAACACACAACCCTTGTGATTATGCATGGGCAGCGCTGGCTTTTGACGCATCTTCAATAAACTGACTCTCAGTGAAGGCAATTTGTCTACAAATTAAAAGACAGATGTTTAGGCCTGTGAAATGGACCCATTTCACTTTAAATCTCGGGTAATCTCTGGATTAGTCGCTGCTGCTGGAGAGGCTGTTTACACACAGTGTCCCTGCTCCACACACTGCGGGAACAGCTGACAGGGGTCTTTAAGTAGCTGGGCAATGGCACCATTAGTTAATGGCAGAATAATAAACCTCAGCTTCTACTGCTAGTGCATCTAGTGCAGTCAGTCTGTGTGGGTCACAGCTGGTCAGTACAATCTGGACACTATGGCAGAAATATAGCAGCACTGAACTCAGTTAGCAACAAGCTGTTGTGTCATGAATAAGGTATTAAATAATAAACTCCCTCCCTCCTGGTAACACAGCACACAATCACCCAATAACCACCCTCCCCGATCCCAACCCCCAGCTCGGGTCCAAATCCCTGACCTGGAACGTCCTCCCGACATGAAAGATGTGATACAAATGTCATTTTGTATTGTATTGGAACCACTATGTTTTGATTTTAAATTCCAGATTCCCAAAGGTTTTATTTGGGTGCTTCAGGAGACACGGTCCAAACAAAAGCTGGAACTATTCTGCTCTAGAAGAGACCACCTTGAAGCCAAAGCAGCGAATAGCACGTTGACAATGTGACTATGACATTTCTGCTTGTATTCATTTCAATTGCTCTCCTAAAACAGGTCAGATAGTAATGGCTGGGAAAGGCTTTTTGTGGGTGTTTAGTGACAAACATATCTTTATTAGGCAGGCCTCAGTCAGTGATCCAGCAGGTAACACACTGACTTGATGTCGTTTGACTCTTATAAAAGCACACTGGAAAATTACAAAGCTATATTATCTCTAGGCTGGAATAAAGCTAGTTCAGAAAGTATAGATATGATCAGGTTTCTCTGAAAACTGAGGCTAGATTATTACTAAATAAGACGCACCTTTTTTGTACGAAACCACACCTAGGGTGCAAAAGAGAAAGAATTGGATTTTAACAAGGTGAAATTTGTTGTTGCTGCACAAGACGCACATAGTACTTTAATCTGCCGAATGTGCGACAGTGAGAGTGAGAGAGTGTGTGAGCATGTGTGTCATCTATTTGTGTGGGAGATACAGTGACTATACAAACACCTTACTGGTATGTAGGTAGCACAATAGAGAGCAATCTTAGCCATGGCAGTTGAGATTAGCTGATACAAACATGCTCACCGTACAGAAGCACAGCACACACATGCATTCACATGCAGTACAGACCTACACGGTCCTCACACACAACTAAATGTGTGCGTAAGTGTTACATGAAAGTAGATTCCCTTCTCCTTCCCCTTAAAAGCATCACCTTATAACCATGGTTTAATAATCCCGAGGGTAATAATCCCACCATATTAATTTGGTCACACAATCCACGACTGTTTGCGGGACACAGCTGTGCACAATTGGCTGTCGCGTTTCGCCCACAAAATACAGTCAATTCACAGACCATTGTAAAGTTTGTATTTCATACGGTTTCTAAACCGATGTAAGTTACCTGATGTTGTGACCGCTGGTAAGTTGAAGATCTCTGTCCCAGGCTGAGCATTAGCTAAAAGGAGAGAACATTCATTACAGTGTGCTAGCAGTACAATACTGACGTTAAGATGACTGTATGCTTTAGTTATTGTTTTTGAGGCTTTGACCCGTGTCACGTTGGGAAATCTCAAAGGCTACATGGAAACCTCGGCTACACCCAACATGCTTAGAACGGGAAAAATAAAATGTCAATACTTCCCCTTGTACCTGAACACTTGAAATCTAGAACCACATCCCTGATTAAATACTGAGATGAATATTTCATTTGCTGTAAGTCAAGCATCAATAATAAGCTTTCACACTGAGTGTTTGTAACTTTAAAACGCCCATCTTTTTGATATCACGTATGTTTGATTTGGACTCTCAGTCTATGAATTTAAGATGGTCTCCTTCGTGAAAAATTCTGGATTCTTTTTCCTTTAAAGCCTTTTATACCTTCGGTGTTCAAAGGACGAGACCAAACTGAAGCTTTTATACTAACCCTATACTTTGCATTACATCTCGTATCCCATTTTCCAAGCAGTTATTCCCACACTGGTTACAAAGCTTCCAGCGGAATCGTGCACTCATATTAACCTAATTCTTGACCAGCCCCCAACCCCCATCCATCACTGCCTAGTGACCTAACATTTTTGACCCACACAAAACACACCACTGTCTTGACTACAGCTGGGTTTATACAACCTGGACCCGGTGTGTATGTTTATGTGTGTGTGTATATATATATATAGATATATATATGTGTGTGTGTGTATGTGTATATATATGTGTGTATGTGGAAGTAAATAAACAAGAAAGAATTCAAGTGTTTACATTTATCAGAGACACCAGGAAAAGGGTCCATACACAAACACGTACAACAAGAAGATTATGTTTGTATAGCGCCTTCATGTCGGTGTACACACCACACACACTTACCGATTTCAGAATCTCCACCACCAGAGGAATTCAACTTGCGAAATATCTCCTGTTTTTTGGACTTGACCATTGGTGAGGTGTTTTCGAGCTTGGTGAAGAACGCAGGCAGGTAGCCTACATTCCCCGGCGAGCGCGAGTCATTCCTGCAAACAGAGAAGACAGTAAAACGCAATGGAGTGGGATCCAGGGGCCGGGGGTGAGCACTCACTGAATTCTGACACTTTTAGTTAACAAAATACGTAAGGAAATTTCCGTGCGTTTCGGGGACCTCTCAGGAGTTTAGTTTGGATACTCTAAGGCACGGTGATGGGGTTCTGTGTGCCCGAAAAAACCGACTGAAAAACGAAAACCAAGTGGTCGTCTTTTATTTTCAAATGCAAACGACAAACGTTTTGTCTTTTCGAGCAGAGCATTCGCTATCGATGCCAAACCTGCTTACAGAAGCCCCCCACCCCGACCGAGTTCCCTCCAAATCTGCGAGCTGAATATTTGCCCTGTACAGATACGCGCTGGTCTCAGACCTGACTCTGAACAGCTGCAAACCTCCTGCCGTAACACTGCGCACTCAGTCACTCGGGACAACTGCGGATTCCCAGTCTGGTCACCGAAGGCTTCCAATGTTCCAATGTAAGGAGAACAGCGACGTCTGGTGTCGGTAACGGGTTACTACAGCCAGTACACTGCTTTCTCTCCCCCGACACCGACCGGACCGGATTATTATTATTATTATTATTATTATTTAGCGGTTAGTCACACCGGGTGGATCAGAGGTCAGTACCTTGCAGCAGATTCTGGTGCCCGACCTCTCCGGACGAGCAAAGGCATCGGGAGCCAATCATTACTTGGGGGCAGCCTTTGGAAGGGTTAAGGTGAGAGAGACAAGAGGACAATGCTGTGGTCAAATCGACTGAAACAGTGAAACAAAGCGTGGCACGATCGGAGAACGATCAAAATCACAGGGTTGTATGAATGTTTACAATATGTAAGTTATCTCGACCCGAACCCCCAAAGGAATGAATTAGCAAGTGCAGTGCGACTGCTTTGTCCAATTAAATAATCTGCGGCGTGCAACCGAGAGGCAGCAGCTGCCAGGACTAGACTGTTTCGCCCACAAAATACACAGCTGCCTTCGTTCCTCCGGGTCTGGCCTCCTCTTTGTCCCCCGAGTCCTCCGCTCCACCCTCGGCGGCCGTGCCTTCAGCCACTATGCCCGAGGCTCTGGAACTCCCTTCCTCACTCCCTTCGTCTCGCTCCCTCTCTTCCCATTTTCAGGTCTCTGCTGAAGACCTTTCTTTTCAACCGCGCCTTTGGTCACCTTCACCCCCACCCCCCTCCCCCTCCCCCTGGTTCGGCACCGGGATCCGTTACTGTGAAACGCTCTGAGACGCCGTCCGGCGTAGAGGGCACTATATAAATCCAAGTTGTTGTTTTTGTAGTCACTACACTTTACAGTATATTCTGTGACGCCCGTTGAGACGTCTCAATGACTTGATAAGGCGCAATATCAAATGCAAGGATTATATTATAATCCTCACATCTCTCGCTTTAAAGCAGGGTGAGAGACGGCAGCAAAGCTACATTTTATGCAGTTTCCCGGTGCGACTTGTGAAGGAAGGATTGGACAGTCAGGACAGTCGCTCTCTGTTCACACACGTACCTCTGTTCGGTTGGCTCTGGGTCCCTTCGCTGGGGAGGCTGGACCACACTCTCCTGCTTCTCCAGAGGGGCTGGGACCTGGGGTGGCGAGATGGGTTCGTACGGTTCTGAAGAGACATGGCTTCGTTCTGGGGACTTCCCAGGCCTGTGTGTGATAAACAAAATAATTCTTGCATTTGACATAGCGCCTTATCACGTCTTCGAGAAGTTTCAAAAAACGAGTTGGGTTTGTGCAAACTGGGGCACTTATCGCTCAAGACACCAGTCTGACTTGAGGATAAATCAAAATGTACAGACCTGGCTCTGTGTAACACAAAGCGGCATCAATTAACCTTTACCAGATTATACAGGGAAACCTTGTAATAACACAATAGGCTGCGTCTCATCGGCAGGTGTCAGCCTGGCTTAGTTAGCGGTGCTTAATACAGTTACTTATTTAAATACCTACCCTCGCCGACACCGTAACACCAATGGTTAAAGCAGCAGCCATCTCATGGCATTATTACGCTCAGTGCTTCATGGATTACGAGGTCAGGGTTTAATAACTCCCTTTAAGGCAAAACCGCTTACCTTCCTCTGCCCTTCTCTGCAGGGTTCTCAGGAGAGACCCTGGAGGTGGGTCTCTGATGGTGGGGAATGTGTGTGGGCTGTGGCTCCGGGCTGTAATGGCTAGACATCTTCCCTCGATTCGAGGCCACCGATGACTGGAATGTGGACACGGGCGCTTGCTGGGATTGCTGGCTGGTGGACTGGTTTCGGGCAAAGTCTTGGGTGATAATGTGCTAAAAGGAAAGAGTTATCGTGTAAATCTTCCCGTAGAAATCGGTTACTCAAGGGAATAAGAAAAGCCTCGGCTCTGGCCAACCTGCGGCTGATACGTTCTGGTATGAGGTAAGCAGGATGCCTATTCAGTTCCAATCACGACTCATTCGGTTGCTATTGGCACCAACCCTCTGGAGACTGCACTTACGTGTATGTGATCAGCGAGGGTGATCAGCTTGTGCGTTTTAGAAACTTGAGGGTTAGACACCACAGAGTAGACACTGTCCGGCTGTGACGATGGCGGCTGCTGAGGAGACGGAGATTTCTGCATCAGCCTGTAGCGACTCACAGGCCCCTCGAAGTTTCGAGGGTTGGGCTCACCTGCGAAACAGAGAGAGAGAGAGACACACAGTCAACAACAAGTCACCTCTACCTAATGTACTATTGGCTGCCAAGTTTCGCCTACAAAATATATAGTCACTACACTTTATAGTATATCCTGTGAAGCGCTTTGTGACATATCAAAGACGTGATAAGGCGCTGTATCAAATGTAAAGATTATTATTATAATACTTATTATTAATAATAATTAAGGACCGTACAACACACTCTGACAACAGATAGCTTGACGGATTGTAGGAAGGCAAACTCACTCTCTGGGTGGGAAGATTTGAGCAGCTCCTGCTGAAACGATTCCCCCTTCTCCTGTGACTGCACAGGCGAGTTTGCAGGACTGATGACCTCAATCGCATCTGCCCCTGGTATGTCGTAGCGATGGGAGGACACTGAGAGAAAGAAAGTGATGATAAAATCAATGCCATCTACACCAAGCACGTCACAGCAATGAGAGGTAACCAAGAGAAAAGCAGATTAAGGGCTAGATACCTTGACAGCTATTTCTACATCTCTAATTGGAGTTGAGGTACAGATCAGCCATGATCTTATAGAATGGCGGAACAGGCTCGAGGGGCTGAATGGCCTCCTCCTGTGCCTATGTGTTCTGCTTTGCCACCAATTCTCTTACATTACAGTGTGCATGAACACTACCATCTGAAGAGACGTGTTCAGCTACAGTCTCTATCCTTTCATCTCGAGCTGAACTCCGTTAGCACAGAGTGGCTGCTCTGAGCGACCGTCCTCGATGCCTCTAAAGCGACTATCATCAACTCCCAAGTCAGCAGCAGGGCTTTTCTGCTCACGACTGAAGCCGGTACAAATCTCACCTCGACTCAGTTTGTGAAACCTCCACATCCTGATACAAGGTTAAAAATTCACACAACAGCCACCACCCCGACTGCATGTGGACAACGTACACTGTCACTGGAATTCCTCAACACTAACATTAATAGTGCCTTCACAACAACAACAAATTACGTGTAGACATTAACAGTGCTATTTTACGATGGAATAGCGTCAAGAATCAGATGAGGTTTCAGCTGATATTTCACTCGGCTTATTCAAGGATTTTTATTAATTTATATACTTATTGGATTTATAAATATATAAAAAATTAATAAATGTACACATAAGCATATGTACACCCATATGAATAGGAGGGAGGGAATGTGTATAGGCTTCCTTCCAAGCTGCCCCTCCTGGAGTGCTTGCCCTATGAACACCAGTCCATAGGTAGTGGTAGTGGTAGTGGCATTTTTGCCACTAACTGGATCACCAGCTGTGCTCAGATCAGAATCTTGTTGGGGGTGAAACCCAGGCTAAGCTTACCGCTGCTGGAGGAGTCGGAGCTGTGCGATCCTCGTTCACGGTTGTCCTTATCGGAGGCGATCTGTCGTGTGATGATGACGTCTATAAAATTGGCTGCGGTTATGGTGGTCTTCCCTCGAGTCCTAAGCTCCTCCTCGTACCGAGATTTGGGAGGAGCTTTATCCTTACTGCTGTCGGGATAGCCAGCCTGACCCTGGGCCTTGCCAGAGGGGAGGCCGGAGGATGAATATGGAGACTGTACTGCACGTCGCTCATGCTCCATCTGCTGCTGCTGTTGGTGCAGTTGATGTTGGTGGTGCTGTTGGTGTTGTTGCTGTTGATGATGTTGTTGCTGCTGTTGGTGTTGTTGCTGTTGATGATGTTGCTGCTGTTGATGATGTTGCTGCTGTTGCTGCTGTTGATGATGTTGTTGTTGCTGCTGTTGATGATGTTGTTGTTGCTGTTGGTGTTGATGATGCTGTTGTTGTTGCTGCAGTTGCTGATGTAATTGCTGATGGTGTTGATGGTGCTGAGGCTGCTGCTGGTGCTCGGTAACAGGGACCCTGCGTGCGGTCATTTCTTCTGCTCTGGGGCTGTCGTGCTTGCTCTCCTTCCCTTTGCTCATCTCCATCAGGGGCGCTGAGGCTGCAGCGTCAACAAGTGCTGCCAGTGCGTCCGCTGCTGTGTTGTAGCGGGAGGTCGGCAGTACCTGAGGTATGGACAGGGCTCCCTGGGGTATTTGCCTGTATGAGCAATGGGAAGACAATACCAACATTTACAGTCACTACATTTACAGTAAGTGTAGTGAAGCGTTTTGAGACATCCTCCAGACGTGAAAGGCGCGATATGAAATGCAAGGATTGTTATACATTTCTATGGGTTTCCACAAATGAATCCCAGATGATCGGTTTTCCTGGTATTTGGTGCATTGAGGATTATATAGAACAACCTACTCAACAACAACCATAAAGAGCCATTAATATATAATGAAACAAACCTAAATCACCTCTATAACAACTTCGCACCACTCAATTTTTCCCGATGGGAGAAAATAGAGGAGTAGGCTGGATGTAGCTCATAGGCCACCTGGTGTAGAAGGAGCTCTGTATCTAATGAACAATTCTAAAACAAAAGCTTTTTGTAGAATCACAGAATCTTACAGCACAGAAGGAGGCCATTCGGCCCATCGTGTCTGTGCCAGCTGTTTGAAAGAGCCATCAACTAGTCCCACTCCCCCGCTCTTTACCCAACTGGTCCCACACCCCCGCTCTTACCCCATAGCCCTGTAAATTTTTCCTTTTCATGTACCTATCCAATTCTCTTTTGAAAGCTATTATCTCCTCATCTCCCCCCCGGTTCTTTTGCCAAACAAACAAACGACTTGGTAAACGTACATGATTCTGGACTGTGCAGATGGGTCAAGCGGGGTGATGACACTCTTGCCGTTGGCTCCCTGGAAGATGCTGGGCCTTTGTTGTAAGATGGTTTCTTGGGGTCGGACTTGTGGAGACGGTGAACGAACGTAGCCGTGGCTGCTCGGCCGACTGGTTTGCTCGGGACCTGTGTGTGTGTGCGCGTGTGAAAAAAACACAAGAGAACAATAATGCTTTCAAGATCTGGAAAGACATTAACACGTAGTGTCCACTTCCAGAGCACAGGGCGCACACATTGAAAAGGGGCCCAACGTTCTAACCGATCATTTTGAGAATCAATTAACATTGGGTAAGTTTCCTTACTCCACGCGCCTCTGTTTACCTAGCAATAAGTAGGAACCCGATTGTTAGTCGATTGGCGGATTGCTTTTCCGGGGGTAATAATCCCTCAAAAAAAACCTCAATCCACGACTGTTTGTGGGACGCTGCTCTGCACAATTGGCTGCCGTGTGTTGCCCACAAATATAGTCAATTCACTTTACAGTATATTCTGTGAAGCGCTTTGAGACGTCTCGAAGATGTGATAATTCGCTATATCAAATGCAAGGATTATTATTATCTCCATCACTCTCAAAATATCACTGCTGGGGTAATGTAAATTAGTTTGAACTCAATGCTTCTCTCTCTCTCCTGTATGTGCACTGGTTACTTGAATCAAAGACTTCAACTGACCTGGCCTTAGATAAGAGAGGTCGCAAGTGGTCACGGCTTTCCTCTCCCTTTCTCTTTGCTCTCGATCCCTCTGTTCTCTCTCTCGTTCTCGCTCCCTCTCCCTCTCCCGTTCTCGTTCCCTCTCCCGCTCCTTTTCCCGTTCCCGCTCTCTTTCTCTCTCACGTTCTGCGTTTGCTGTGGAGGCAGCTATGTGTGCGGGGTGACCTGGAAAGAAGGAAGGAAAAACAGCAGCGTTAAACAAAGACTAACTTGGAAATAGATTACGAAACAACTTGTTAACATCAAAACTTTCTTTTAAAATAATTCATGCAATTTGCCTCTGAGAATAAATAAACTGCCCTGAAAGGTATTGGTACGTACTTGGTGAGATAGGGGAGTGGTTGTATGGTCTGCCAGGGTAAGGGGCTTGGTTGCCTGGGATGTAGGTAATCCTGTCCATAGGAGGCGTATTGGTCCCACCTGGCACGAGAATCGTGTGAGGCATCTGTGCCAAGTCGATGATTCCTGTAATTTAAGCATTGACTTTAGCACAAGTATTATTGGTTTATTCCGCTGATCTGAAATTTAACAACAACATGCACTTACACAGCGCTCCTCACACAGGACAGCGTCCCAGAGCGCTTGGCAGTGGTGGAGCACGACACCAAGCTGGGGGGAAGGGGTTGGGGGGGGTGGGTTGGAGGTGACCGTAGGCACGGTCAAAGAGGAAGGTCTTCAGGCGCGATGTGAGAATCAGGAAGGAGGGGGCGAGGCGGAGGGATAGAGGTAGTGTTCCAAAGTTTCAGAGCGCAGTGGCTGAAAGCGCGGCCACCGATGGTGGATGGTGCACGGGGGACACGCAGGAGGCTGGAGCCAGTCGAGCGGAGGTAGAGGGTAGTGGGTTGGGGAGTGAGCATGCCGGTGAGGTAGGGAGGTGCCGGGGCGCGAAGGGATTTTAAAAAAAGAGAGCTCACCACGAGCCCCAGTCGCAAAGGAGACACTTAAATGTTCCTGCGGTGACATTCCTCTGGCAACGGTTGGCCGTGTGATGACCTGCATCTGCTGTGAGGTGATGTAGTCATTCAGGATGGTCTGCCGTGTGTTCTCCATGGCGTACAGCTGGTAGGGGTTGGGGTAGCCGGGGTTAGGGGAGAGCTGCCGGGGGAACAGATATGCTGCAGTTGCTGAGGAAAGAGAACAATCAACGAAAGACTCATAAGAAGCTGCACCCGTTTACCAGCATTTTGTATCAGCAACAAACACTCTTAGTGTTCCTATCCTATAATACAACACGTAAGGTCACAGGAGAGGTTCAGATCAAGAAAGCCTTTGGCCTGTTTCATCTTATCCTTCCAGAATACTCATCTTCCCATTATAGTACCAAACTACTGCTTAAAACAGTCCAGTCTTGGCCTTGACCACAGCTTAACCCAAGTACTCCAGGTCACTACCCCACGTGAAGGGGACAATACAAATGCAAGTTGTTGTTGTTCATTACTCGCCATGTGAAGAAACAGACCCGAGTGTCTGGCTTCAAATTATCTCTTGGCACAACCCTGAACCTGGTCCTCGTTGCTCTGCTCCTTCAGCAGAACTGAAAGTCTCAGCACGCTGTCATTGACGTGGGTCCCGAGAGCATTACCTGCTGCACAGAGCTTGCTCCAGGGTGAGGCATTATCAGGCACAATGTGGTTCTACATCACCTCTCAGAAGGGTCGAAACTGAATGGAGTTTCGGTGTGGTGCGGTCAGGGTGAGATTAAACAGCAGCCCTTAGGTTTAGGCTCAACCCTGAGGTGAGAGGGTTGTGAGGAGAATACAAATGACACTTCTGGTGGCAGAATATATATATTATATATATATATAGCCATTTACAGTTGAAATGCACAACAACCTGCATTTATACAGTGCATTTCACACGGGGTAGAGTCTCTGAGCATTAACATAAGTCTGCTTATTTTTCTATTAATACCCTAAGCTTAGCCAGGGTGGAGGATGTGCCGATTGCTTAGCCGCACAGTCACTGCCTTATCTGTCTCCACACGCTTTGAAAACAACAACAAGATTCCATTTATAGAGCGCCTTTCACGTCGGGAGGACGTCCCAAGGCGCTGAAAACATGTAGTAATTACACATCGACGACAACAAGATACGCGATCAAAGCGCATTTCTCCATGACAACAACTTGCATTTATATAGGACGCTGCCCCAGAGCTCCTCACACAGCGGAGTGCCCGAGAGCTGCTCGACAGCGGCTGGAGCACGACGCCGAGCCGGGGGGAGGTGATCGTTTGCACTGGTCAAAGGGGAAGGTCTTCGGGCGCGCGACCTGAAGATGGGGTAGGAAGGGACGAGGCAGAGGGATAGAGGGAGAGCGCTCCAGAGTTTCAGGGGGCAGTGGCTGAAAGTGCAGCCACCGATGGTGAAACGGAGGGCACGAGGGGACACAGATTGAACATTCCAACGTTCGTGCTCACCCGGGTCTAAAGCCCTGTGAAAAGCCATCGTCTGTTCGAAGGGGTGGGGTACGTGTCCTCTGTACACCTCGCTGGGATTCCCTCGGCTGTGGTGAGACTCGTAAGGGTTGTGCGTGGGAACCTGGTCAACTCCAGAGACTGGAGACTTGGCCGAGATGTTCTCTCTCTGTGTTGGGGTCAGGGTGGATTTCCTTTCGTGGCCGCTGGATTTGCCTGAAGTCATGCCACCTAGAGAATCAAAGTACACACAACAAGAAACTGACATCAACAAGCAATGAGAACAGCCTGGAGCTAGCTCGGGGTAGGCAAACGGTGACTGCGAAAGGTGGGACGTTTACCGGATTATTTGTGCTACCACTCTTAGATAATAATAATAATCCTTGCATTTGATATACAACAACAACAACAAGATTCCATTTATTGAGCGCCTTTCACGTCGGGAGGACATCCCAAGGCGCTGTACAGTTGGGTCAGGACCCGAGCAGGGGGGAAATGGTCAGGGTAAGGGGAGGGAAGGGAGGGAGCGAGGAGGGGGTAGAGAGTCGAGAGGGGAGCTGAAGGCTCGGTCAAAGAGAAAGGTCTTGAGACCGGCCTTGAAGGAGGAAAGGGAGGAGGCGGCGAAGGCACTGGGGGATAGAGTTCCAGAGCTTAGGGGCTGAAGCCCCGTCCACCGATGGTAGGACGGTTGGGGCGGGGGATGTGGAGCAGACCGGAGCCGGAGGAACGGAGGGTACGGGCAGGTAGGTAGGGGGATAGTAGGTCGGAGAGGTAGGAGGGAGCGAGGCCGTGAATGGCCTTGTAGGTGAGGATGAGGATCTTGAATTGGTGCTTGATATAGCACCTTATCACGTCTTCGAGACGTCTCAAAGCGATTCACAAGATATACTGCAAAATGAATTGACTGTATATTGTTGGGGTGAAAGGTGACAGCCAATTATGCACAGCGGCGTCCCCCAAAAGGTCAGAGATTGAGGGACTATGTTTCTTTCTACAAAAGGGATTAATATCACAAGATCCACTTTACAATTTCATACAAAGATTTAGTAACGCAGGTAGCAGTGTCCTAATGGCCTCCTTTTGTGTTGAAAATGTCTGTCGCTTACGTTAAGTGACTACTTGTTGACCGTTCTAACAAGTGTTCACCGTGCTTTACCCTGGCTCCCCACATACTCCCAACCATCAGCCAAGCGCGTCAGAATCTGGTTACCTTCTTGTGGTCTGGTGACGACCAAAGGTGATCCCCTGGCAATGGAGCCTGGATATCCCACAGGAGTCCTTCTGGCATTAGGATCCTCATACATGCCTGGGCTCAGCTGTGATTTGGCAGCTTCGTGCATAGTTGACCTGAGAACAGAGGTTCCCGAATTGACGACTGAGGTATGCCGGGCGCGCATCAGCTCTGCTTGTTTCCCGTCTTCGTATTTCCGCTCCACGACCTTCACGCCCTCGGAGATCATCTCGAGTTGGTGCATGGGGTGCGTGTGCTTGCTGGGGGCCGTGATCAGTGACTTGACGTCGTGTTTAATGGCGGACTGGCTCAACACACTGCTTTCATGCTTCACTGGCGTTCCCTGAAAACAATCAGTTTTTACGGTTGCTTAAATTGCTGGACACACGTTTCGACACAACTACGACAGAACGATAAATTACATTTGTGCAGCGCCTTTCACGTCGGGATGGAGGATGTCCTGATACATTTAACATGAAAACTGAGTGCAATCACTTTAGAGGAGGCACAATATTCTCCTGTATATCCTGTGAAGCGCTTGAGACGTCTCGAAGACGTGATGAGACGCTGTATCAAACGCAAGAATTATTATTATTATTATTATTAACAGAACACAAAACGTAAAGCTTTGCAAAAACCTAGAGCGCGAATGGGATCTGAGGGCTTTACCTGAGATATAGATCCCTCCAGAACTTGTCGGCCAGCCTGCACCATATCTGGGGTTTTCCGGCTTTCTTGTCTTGGAATCTCGTGGATTGAACGTCCCATTTCTTTAATGGTAGTAACTCCCTCGTAAGGCTTGCCCTTGGTAATGGAGCCCTCAAAGCTTCGCAGAGGCGGGCTTTCCCGCTTGATCTGCTTACTGTATTTTAGACCTTCTTCGAAGAGTTCGCTGGATGTCCGAGGGGTGCCTGAAATGAACAATTCAGCATTGATATCTCGCAAAACCTCGCATGGTATGGAGTCCTGTAGCTCAGTGGTCAGAGCACTCGCCTCGCGAGCGAAAGGACCCAGGCAGGGCAAAACTTTGGGCAAGTTTCCTTACTCCACTCACACACACACACACACACACGCCTCTATTTATCTATCAGTAAGTAGAAACCTGGTTGTTAGTCGATTGGCGGATTGCTTTTCCGGGGGTTTATTATCCCTTCAAAAAAAATTTGGTCACTCAATTCACGACTGTTTGTGGGGAATTGTGCGCAATTGACTGCCACATTTCACCCACAAAGTATACAGTGAATTCACTTTACAGTATATTCTGTGAAGTGCTTTGAGACGTCTTGAAGACATGATAAGGCGCTATATCAAATGCAAGGATTATTATTATTGAAATCTCGCAAAAATAACATGATGTGTGGAGTAGGACACAGATCAGAGCGTGGGAGGTTTGGGATGTACAAGGATTATCGTTATTGTGTTTATTATTAAGCACAAGTCTTACCTTGCATTATTGATCCCGATGTAACCGTCCTGTCCTTAGACTCCGAAGCACGACTTATAAGACCTAAATTAGGAAAACAAATGTTTATTTTTTTAATTAAATATTTTCTATTATATTATTCTCTTATTATTACTACAAATGACACTTTACAAAAGGCACTCAGAAGTGCTTTGCGATGTTTCATCATTTGTAGGTGCTATCTCAAGTGAAAGGACTAGGGTTAATGATAATAATAAAAATCAAGGAATATACCTTGAAGCAGATTCTGCTTGTGGATTGGGTTTCAGAATAAAATCCTTCAATTCTGCCGGTTAGATTAAATATGCTAAAACAAATAATGTGGCCAACAGATTTCACACATGGCAGCCTGAGCTGGGAAAGCAGAATATTTCAATAGTTCAATTGCAACTGCATTATAATCCTTGAGGCAGCAATGCTCTCTGTTATATATTGTTTCTCGGGTTCCTTGATTCGAGATCCCGTGACCTGAATAAACTGATAAAACTGCGCTGACATTAGAAAATCCTTTAATGAATTAAAGAACGACAGAGATTTCCTTCAGGTTACAAGGCCGGCTTTGCTTGTACACAGCAGTAAATACCTTCATAAGGTGCAGACAGAGGGGATTCCCTCAACGCAAGCCCTCGAGTTAGTCCCGATTCCATTATGTCATACGTCCGCTTGACCCCGTGGTGTTCAAGGCCTGTTCTAGGGCTTCTCGTCCCTTCTCGGGCGTTCTTTACACCTGAGAGGAGAAACATTTCAGCATTTTCTCTTTTCATTAGAGACACGGGGGGTGGGAGAAGGAAGACAACACATGGATTCTAAACACTCTTTTACTGGAGCGACAACCATTAAGAATCGAAAACTTGGTGAACTTACTGTCGTAAGTCAGGATGTGCCCACTTTTGCTCTCGTAGATAACGTGACCTTTTGACATGGCTTCCTCCCTGGGTTGCTCACAGCTGTTGGGTTCCTCTGTGGCAAGTTTACTGATGGTTCCCTTCAGTAAGGTGTCAGCAGCAACACCCTGCTGAGGCAATCCTGGCGTCCCCTGCAAATAAAGCAGCTCTCATTGCTATTCCCAGTTTGTTTCTCTGATTTATCGCCTTGTTTCCTGCAGGCACTCTGAAGCCTCACTTAGCTTCAAGGTTTATCCAGTCATTCCTCAGGGCTTTTAAATATAATAAATAATAAAAATCCCTGCATTTGATATAGCGCCTTATCACGTCTGCAAGACGTCTCAAAGCGCTTCATGGGATAAATCTACAACTCATACTAGACAGCTTTATTATTTTGAAACGCTTTGAGATATCTCAAAGACGCGATAAGCGCTACATCAAATGCAAGGATTATTATCATTTAGTTAGCTAACAGTTAAGTCACTCTATGCCAAGGGGTAATTAACTGTGTGAAAGATGGGGGCTCAGTGCGTAAAAGCTTGTTTCTGATCTGATTTCTTTCTCTGAGGGAATGCGGTCGAAAGACGCTGAGCAAATGAATGTAGACACCTGAGTAATCGACCCTCGATATGAAGGCGGCTCAGCAGAAACCTTGGCAGCTGGGCTCCCTCGCACTAGACTTCCATCCTGGATAGTCGACATTGTCGGACCTGCAACAAGCAAGTAATGGATTCAGAATCTCGCCCCCGACAGACGAGAATGGAACAGATCAATGTATTTCAAGTATGACCCAAACAGTGGGGAAAAAAAGGTTAGAAACGTATGAATTGAAAAAGGAACTCAGCTCGATTTAGAAAGCGGCATGTTTCAATGGTTCAACAACAACAACAAATTACATTTATAGAGCGCCTATCACGTTGGGAGGATGTCCCAAGGCGCTGGACAGTCAGGGGTCGGGATTCAATTCAATTGAAACTATCTTATAATCCTTGCGTTTGATACAGCGCCTCATCACACCTTCGAGATGTCTCAAAGCGCTTCACAGTACACAGTAAAGTGAATTGACTGTGTATTTTGTGAGCGAAATGTGCCTTATACACTGTGCTTTGAGTGTTTTATATAATAGTCCTTCTGAGCTCCTTCTGATGCTGACTCAAGGTGGACACGGCCCCTAGTTAGCCACGTGATTAAACCACTTAGTTTGATATCAGCACTTTGGACGATGGGGCTATAATTCTGGTGTCAGTAATAGCAACCATGTATCCAACTTTCTACAGGAACACTTAACAAATCACCCAGCATTCTTAAACGCTGATTCAGTCGATTGACAACTGAGGCAATTAATATTGTGCACTGACAGGATTCTGCACACTCAGGGACCCTGGGACATGGTTCTGGCCTCAAGATTTAGCAGGTTAAACAAATTCTAGAATGGGATTTAGGTGTGGATTTAGAATTATGGCCAATTCAGCAAAACAGCACCCAAATTACCACCGATTTTTTTTTAAGTAAACAATCATACATTTCTGTAGTTTTAAGACAACAGATTTAAGGCTGGATTTTTGGCCTCTGAACAAACCAATTGAGATCCACCAGCCAGCGTTAATTAATCAATTAATTAATTAGAGATTTGTTGTGTGCTGACTCCGACATGTGCAGACCTGAATGCCCAGCAATGGTATAAGAGCAGTAATGTATGAGGAGCGCTGTGGGAAGGGTGAGGAACGGAGGCGATGTGTTTATCTGTTAGCACAAACTCTGCAGGCAGAGGGCAGTACCCTGTGATGTGAGGCAGGCTAGCGATGCAGTCAGGTTCTCGCTCTACGCTGCACAGGCCAGAAAGGGAGACTTTAATGAGCAGCAAACTCTACCCTTACAGGGACTGCGGCCAACAGCCTGGAGTGGAGAGGAGGTCTGACTCCCTAAATAGAGCTCATCCAGGAGAAAAAGGCAGACGTGTTGAAATCTAAGCCTGGTCAATGGTAAAGCCACACAGAGCTTCCATCAGCTGCTGCCCTTGTGCTGACAGGTTGCTGTGGATTCCTAGAAACCGGGGTTACCCGAGTCTTCAGCTAAAACAGTTTCTAAATCTGTGTTTAGCAGCACCTTCCTTACCTCTGACCACTGTTGTCTCGTACCCAGCTCTGCAGAGCAACCCCTCTGGCTGAGGATTGTGGCCTTTCGGAGACAGCTCCTCTTGTTTAATGAACTGTAACGGAACTGGAAGAGCACAAGTTGCATTGTTTTAAACAGAGAGTCACTGTCACACATCCCCTTTTATCCCTCAATCACTGTCTACCCACCTTCCTCTTTCAGTGGCAAAGCTTACTCACGTGGAAAGAAGGAACAATGGCCCGATGAGGATTGAGGTGGGCAGTATTATTAAACCCAGTGTAGGCAGCCACTAGTGGAGTGTACACAGACCCAACTGGTGCAGACAGACACCTAGCGCAGGGTACACAGAGACTAGTGGGTACAGACTGCCACTTTGTACAGTCTGCGAAGATTTGATTGAAAGATTTTAAACAAAAATAGAATCCAGATTTTTTTTTGAAAAAAAAACAAAAGACGAGGTGTTTGCGATGAGAGAGGAGGGAAATACATAACCTGTGCAACCTTAGGCAGCCTGTTCCCAATCCTAAATTTTTACGAACTGGACACTCCAGTCTGAAGGAGTTTCTGTAGAACTCCACTATGCTGTACATCTGTGTGGTTTACAGTATGAGAGAGACAGGAAAACAGCCAAAGTAAGAGAATAACCTCAATTTGCTTTCACGTTTCTGTGAACTGGGAAAGAGAAAGTGTGAGAGCCAGAGAGAGAGAGAGAGAGAGGCTTGGCTTCGAAAGGTGAATGGCAGACTGATGCGCGCAGCAGTGAAAGGGATAAATCCTTACCCAGACCGTCAGCGTTTTAAACTAAATAACACCCCCTGAAAAGGGCCGCCCCCGAATGTTCTAGAAAGTTGAAGAGCTCACCTGATTTTGGATTTTCTTGTTGCCGAGGCAATCCTAGAGAGATTGAGCCGACTGTAGTTTTCACAGCCTCTTGACTGTAAGTTACTTGGCTGTGAGGGGGAAGGTACGTGCCAGGAGTTCCCTGAAATGCAGGAGGGAGAATGATTCTATGAATTCTGCACATGTTAGCTTGACAACATGCTGGTTGCAGATCTGCAATGTCCTGAACTTATTGTCTGCACTCAATCTAGTTGCAGAAAGATGCTCAAATCTTGAGTAGCTTCACCGCAGCTTCAGTCCCGAGCGCTTTAATCCTCACAATAACTTTCTACGTGTCTAACAGCATTCATATGACAGGAGGCAGCGTGTGAGGGAGAAGCATAAGCTGTAGATTCCAGTTTCACCCACAAAATACACATTCAATCCACTTTACAGTGTATCCTGTGAAGCGCTTTGAGACGTCTTGAAGATATAAGGTGCTGTATCAAATGCAAGGATTATTAATTATTATTAAACTTTTGAAAATTTACCATTGTATGAATCTTGTTATTTAGGAAGTCTAAAATAATTCAGTCAGTTAAGAGGCACTTAGACCTGCATATATTATCCCGAGGAATTCAAATAGAACAGTGCCCAATGCTAACCAGGAAAAGATGCTATTCCAGAAGGATGTTACGTGGATTTTCCATTTGCTTCTCAAGATGCTTCAGGAAGCAATGGCATTTGGTTTTACAACTTGGTAGAGAGGAGTTAAACAAGAGTTAGGCTGGTATGTGCCCAATATTAGTATAGACTAGTACCTTTGCAACAATTAATCATTTTCTTGGGCTGTTGGCACTAAAATGAAATTGACTACTTTTGCGTGAAGACAGAATAATTCCTCCTTAAAGCAACCTCAATAATTGCATCCACCAGTTTGTGTTAGGCCCTTAAACAATGCCTGGGATGAACTGATTGATTCGATAACTCTGCCTCATAGTCATAATGCGTGGTATGACCTTCAACACAAAATAATCAAACGAGATTACAATAGAATTTCAACACAGTAATTTAGAGAATCCATACCTGCAATCGACTCTGGCAAATTGTTGCTCCCGTACACTGTATAACAAATGTAAAGATATTGACATGTCGGTGCAAATAATAATAATAATCCCTGTATTTGATATAGTACTTTATCATGTCTTCCAGACGTCTCAAAGCGCTTCATAGAACATGCTGTAAAGTGAATTGACCGTATACTTTGTGGGCAAAACGCAGCAGCCAATTGCGCACAGCAGTGTCCCACAAAAGATTGTGGATTCAGTGGCTAAATTATTATTATTATTTAATTTTTTAGCCTAGAATCTGGCAACTTGACAAGATACTATAATTATAGATACGACCACTATACTCATAATCAGACAGTCAAACTCAGAGCAAGATCAAATTGATCATTTGAGGTTCGCAAACTTTTTTAAGATTGAGTTTATCTTTAAATAAATGGTTTGCCAAAGTAAGAGTATTTTATTGAACCTTGTTCCATGTAACCATAATAACACAGGCTAGTGCTCACTCAAATCACTGGCCTCGCAGAAAAAGGAATAGCTCTGAAAATATGAAAGCCTTGCAGATATCGGTCTGATTCACTCCAGCAGTTGAACTGAATGGAGCAAAATCCCTCAAGGGAACACGTGAAAATCCCACACACCCTTGATACAATACACCTGCAATTCAGAGCTGCTAGACACCAGTCTTTAATTAACTAACACTGGTCACGTCTGTGTTTAATACTCGGGAGCATTTGCATACATTACAACAGCTGTCACCCACAGAATTGTAGAGCAGTGCTGTGCTGGAAAGCTCAGCTACTTGTTTATTCCCATTCTCCCTTTATACTTTTGCTTTGAATTTTTTTGGTTGAAAAAATAACTGTTATGGATTCTGCATCAGCCGCCATTTATTGTCAGGGATTCCAACGTCCCCTGTGTAGAACAGAAATGAATTCACCTTGGTATATATGACTGCACCTGAGGTTTTCCACTGAGTTAGTTAGTTAATTCACTCTGCACCAAGCAAGTTCTGCCAGACTCTGGGATTGTTACACTGAGGTGTGATCAGGAAGGAACCGAACACGACAGATGTCCAGCAGACAGACGCTCCCACCTCCCCTGACCTTGCTCCCTCAGTTCTCAAGAGTATTTCACGTCTCACGAGGCACACTAAGAACAGAATGCTTCAGCACAGAGGCAGCTTTCGAGCCTGTGCTGACTCTCTTATCCATTCAGTCCCATTCCCTGCTTTTCCCCCCACACCCCTGTGTGCAATTGGCTGCCGAGTTTCGCCCACAAAATATACAGTCAATTCACTTTACAGCGTATCCTGTGAAGCGCCTTGAGATGTCTCAAAGTCGTGATAAGGCGCTGTATAAAATGCCAGGATTATTATTATATTTCCGTTTCAAATATTTGATTGGCTTTAAAAGCTATTTAGCAGAAGGTGAACAAGAACACTTACAAAATATCTTGACTACTACTCAGATTTATTTTGTGGCCGATGGGAGCACTGCCAATAAAATTAGCTTCAACAACAATATACATTCATACAGAGCCTTTCAACTCAGGAGCAAGTCTCAAAGCACTCCACACCTGAGCTTGGGTGGGTGGGGGTGGGGTGAATGGGTCTTTTCAAGGTGACAAGGGAGGGGAAGAGGCGAGGGGAGACAGTGAAACAGAGTGAGGAGTGGGGTGATGGGCTCACGTAGATGACACAGTCTGCAGCTTGTGTAGAGAGGAGTTGGGGTGTCCAGTGTGTAGTGGCATTCAATTAATCAAGTCTGCAAGTGATGAAGACATGGATGAAGTCTCAGTAGCTGGGGGAGAGGGAGCTGTGGAGGTGGGAGATGTTGTGCTGGTGAGAGAAAGCTCAGCGAGTGATGTTGAATAGCTCTCTCTCCTGTGATGGATCCTTACCTGTGACATGGGTCCCCCCATAATGTAGGATGGTTTCTCAGTGGGCATTGGTGGTTTGGTTGAGGGGATGAGAGGCGGCGGGGAGGGAATGTTGGGAGGCCTCGATGGTCTGGTAATTGCTAGCTTTCCTCCCTCGGGTAGTGTCTGCATCATCTGATGTGGGGCAGGCTGAAGCACTGCAAGACAAAAAGGCAATGACAATCACACAGAAACAATAACAAGAACAACTACACAGCGCCTCTCTCGTCAGGAGGACGTCCCAAGGCGCTGGACAGTCAAGGATTTGGACCCGAGCTGGGGGTTAGGATCGGGAGGGGGTGGAGGGCAGGGAGGAGGGTGACCGAAGGCGCAGTTGAAGAGGAAACGTGCCTTAAAGGAGGCAAGGAAGGGAGCAAAGCGAAGGGACTGTGGGATGGAGTTCCAGAGGGTGGGAGCAGAGAGGCTGAAGGCCCAACCTTCAGTGGGGCGGGAAGGGGGGGCAGGGGATGTGGAGCAGGCCGGAGCCTGCTGAGCGGAGAGGAACCTTCATGCAAGGTCTATACCACTGGGTTCCCTTAAATTAAAGGTTAGTTTCTACTTCAGTTTGGGAGTCTTAAAATAGAGGAGGTCCAATGACTGTTTCCTGCTTCTCCTGGTCTTTCTTCCATTCATTCTTCCCATTTCTAGTATCTCATTCGATATTCCCTCGCAGAATCTGTTATACACCCTGACAAATACGGCAAATTTAGTGCTGTAGCCCTCGATGTGCAAGAGGAACAAGGTGTTGTGGTGTTTGCTGGTTACCTGGTGGAACGCTGTAACGTGGTGCGATCATTTCAGCCTGCGGAGAAATCTTACACGCTTCCCTCGGTGACGGTCTGTAGGGAGATGCTGATCTCACACTTGGCGTCTGTGATTCCTGCTCCATTATTCGCCTGGTCTCATGATAGGGGATGTAGGCAAATGGTTTACCTGGAGAGGTTGTAAAGTGACAGGTATTTTTCAATTAGCGACGCTTTAAAGGAGTCTGCTCCACACACACACATCGTTAAACCAACTAGAGTTTGGTCTCCAATTTCAACACAGAAGTGAGCAAAGTGAAACGTTTGTTAACTGGAGGGGGTGGGGTTGATCTGGGTGCTGTGATCTTGCACTGGCTCGAGAGTCAGAGGACAATGTTCTTAGCGATTTGTACTTCAGCCCACCCTGTAGATAAAGCGGTGAGCAGCCTGCGTTTGGGAAATACTGATAACGAAATACAACTCCAAACCTGGCCAGAGAAAACCAATGACCAGAGAGAGGATTGGAGGCAAACAAGAAAGCACGTGAATGAATGAGGTAGACAAAATATGTAAGTAAAATGTTTTAAAGAGGGATTAGTGTGTGGCTTTAGCACCACTCATACAGGATGAGATTCAGCACTCCAGAAGAGCCTTCCTCTTGCAATGTAAAACTGTCCACTCGCAGCAAGACCACCCCCTAAGATGATCTGGAGACTCGCACGTGGGAGTCATACAAGCGGAGGAATGGAGGCCATAAACACTGACATTATTCACAATGACTTTATTTTGACTGGGCCTTTCCCCCGGATTCTCTCAACCGAGACAGAGTGTGATGGAAGCTCGGGCTTGTGCCAGAAGACAGGAATGTATTAAGGAGCCGCAAAAAAAAATGAGATGCATTTGAAATATCAGTTACATTGGATCATGCTCACTCATGTTATTGCTATAAAATAAAGCAGACAGATAGACTCTCAGACACACATAAAACAAATGCACTGCCATACAGAGCCATAGATCGAGGTCCATTTAAAACCTTCATTAAGATTTTTGACATCAACACAGCCATGAATGTAAACAATGCAATAATTGAATGCCGCACTGCTTTTCCCCAAGATTACATCCTCTCATCAATCTGCTCTACAGGACTGAATCTGCTAATGATAATGCACAATAAATCAAGTTGTAATATTCAAGCTTCCTCGATGTGTCACTCTCTGCTGCAGAACTAAGCTAGATCCCCAGAAGATTAAAGCTCTGAATAACAACGACATCTTGCTTCTGTATAAGCGCTCTTCACGCTGGGTAGCAGCTCAGAGCGCTTAACAAAAAAGCAAACAAATCGAACACTGATCTCATTTGCTCTTGGAACCCACATCAACTCGACTTCGGATTTGAAGAATATCTGCTTTGATCAATGAGGAGAGCAGCAAGTAGCCAGCTGTCTCTTCCAGTAAAAATATAAAGTTCAGGACACAGCATAAACTGAACTGTTGGAATGACCACCGAACAGAATCATTGTTCTCAATCACAAAACCTCTTTTCCTCTGAATTCAATCATTGAAATTGGCAAATATTCAGCAATAATTATCCTTGCATTTTTATAATCCTTGCATCCTCGATATAGCACCTTATCATGTCGTTGAGACGTCTCAAAGCATTTCACAGAATATACTGTAAAGTGGAGTGACTGTGTACTTTGTGGGCGAAACACAACAGCCAATTGCGTACAACAGCGTCCCCACAAACAATCGTGGATATTTGAGTGTATTGAGCTTCAGATCAAATGAATGTGAAAAGGAACATCAATGATTTGTGATGTACCATTTGAATCATAATCATCACTGTCTGAGAATGGAGACTCTCTCCTTAACAGCTCACAGTTGTGAAGGCTTCAGGTCAATCGCTGGTTGATTTTATTGTCCAGTGTGAGATGTGATGAGACATCAATCATTTGTAATTTTGTCAACTCCCGAGCAGGTGAACCGGAGTTTGTGTTTAAATTTCAGTCCCTCACGATATTCTGACGCAGGGTTACAGTTTCAGTGTTTTATAAAATTCCAGGTTTGCCCCCAATTTCACTTTCGAAGGATATTTACAATATGTGCTCAGCTCATTTGCTCCTTTCTGCCATGATCCTCTCATAAGAGGTTTTAGAGAAGGGAAGCTCGCTGTGAAGCTGACTGCCTCTAGGATACAACGTGACAGTCAAAGCCCTTCCTCCCTGCAGCTCTTTTCTACAAAGACTGTACTGCAAAGCCAGCCTGGTTCTAAATCACTTGCGCAGACGTACACATACACACACCCACGCACACACATACGCCCGTGTACTCACACACCCACGCACTCACACACTCGTCTCATAGGAATCCTTTTTGCTGCAATCCGATCCATGAAGAACTATTTGGACGCACATTTTATATGCTGCAGCTTAACCTGCATGGGGAATTTGCACTGTCTCGAAGAGATAAAATGATCCAGAGCATTTTATTTAAGAACAATTTTGAAGCTAAGTTAACATTTACCAAAATCCCTAGATAGCAACATCGATAGATGATCGAGACACCAGCCCAGCACATTGCATCTTTCACATTATTTTTGTGAAATTCTCTGTAGCCGTATTATTACACTTGTTGTCACCAATCATTATACCCACCAGTTGGCCTATTGTTCAAGATCGTAGACACTAGATCCCAGGCCAGTAACCGTGTTTCGTCCCTTCTGCTCTACCATCAGCGGTTGCACTTCCAGCACCTATGCCCCGAAGCTTTGGAAGTCTCTCCCCCGATCCCTCCACCTTGTCTTCTCCTTCCGCTCTTTTAGATCACAACTTAGACCTTCCTCTTAGACCTCACTTACGGTCACCTCCTCCCTCCACCCAGCTCGGCATCAGGCTCAGCCGCTGTTAAGCACCTTGGGACGTCCTCCTGATGTGGTGCTATATCTATTGTTGTTAAGTGCTCCGAGATACTGCCACGTGTGATGGCCGCTATGTAAATGCAAGTTGCTGTCAGCAAGTCTGTGCTTCTCAATGTGATCCAACCGAACATGTATAATACCTGCTCTGCATGCAAGAACAGCTGATGAATGAACCTCAGGAGACTCTCTGATGGGCGGAATACCTCGCCGCTCCTCATCTGAAGCCCAGGTGTCCCAGGCTAGGATTGGGCATTGAGAGGTGTGAACGAATCTGCATTCCATTAAGCCAAAGGTCATTGTACCAACACCCCAGGCAGCAGATGGTGCCGTCTCATCACTTTCTAAAATAATGGGTGGTGTGAGGTCGCGTAAGTCCCGACTGCATTCCCACGCAGGACCCAACACGGCAGCTAACACGCTGACAAGCCTGCCAACTGTTTGGCAAGCATATTCCAAATGCAGATGGAATTAATGAGAATCCTCAGTGCCATCTGGGTTAGATCTGGTTTGTGTCAAAAGCTGTCAAGATTTTCCGTTAGAAATAATCCAAGTCTTCTGTTAATTATTTGTGTAAAAAAGTTTGGTTGAATGTATGTAGTGAATGGAGATGTTTAGCTTACTGCGTTTCTGTGAAATGCTGGCGCAATGTTAATCCCTGGCCTTTATCTGTGTCAAGGGTAAGCACCCAGCGCACTGTCAACAAGCCCAGGGTATTGCGTACTGTGCATTTGGAAGTTTGCCTGCTGTGCAGTTTAAATATTTCAATACACATATGGTGAGCTTAAAAATAGCAAAATGTTTGATATCGTTAGTAAGATCAGCAAATATGGAAACTGCTCGGCAAACATCATCATTTCTGGTTTTATTATTTGTAATTCTTTGGCTGCGAACCTCCCTATCTCTCCGATCTGCTTACAGCCCCGCCAACCACCACTGCCTCCGCCCGGTTGGCTCCGGCCTCCTGTTTGTCTTCATCTCCTCCACTGTTGAGCGCTCTGAGACGCTACCCCGGGTGAAGGGCGATATATAAATGCAAGTTGTTTGTGGATGTGGTTATGAAAAGGCCATGCAGTGCATCAAGCCTACTTAACATTTATCCATCTCCACTTAGGCCAAGCTGGTTACAGATCCTATGTCTTCAAAGTACAGACGGGAGTTTCTCCCGGTGTCCTGGCCGACAATCCTTTAGATAAAAATTGACCATTCGCTTCACAGCTGTTTGTTGAGACATTGCTGTGAGTAAATTGGTCGTCATATTCGCCGACAAATACACAGCCACTACACGTTACAGTAAATCCTGTAAAGCACTTGGAGACAACTTACAACACAATTAAGAAGCTATACCAAATGCAAGATTTCTTATTCGGTGCACCAGGTCTCTCCAGAATAATTATGAATTCCCATTATTCAGGCTTTTTCCTTCCACAAATGCCTGCCCATCAAGCAGCAGAAATCACTGTTTGTTCAGCCTACAACCGGCACTAAAACCAAGAAAATGTTCTCAGGCATTTTGCCCGATACTTATCCTGTTAAGATTTGAAGGAATTAATAGAAATCCAATGGTTAGGAATTTTTTGTTCCAGATCACTGAACCTGTGGGCAAATGAATTAACACTGTACCAAAACCTCAACTAACCTCACCATAAAACAGACAAGATGAATAAACTTACTCTCTGAGGTAGCAGTGAGCTCCTCCATATATAAAATAAACTTTACATTTGAAATACAACATGGAGATGTCACAAAACACCTGACAGGCAATTGCTGTCAAGGATAATGACAGGTGTATTTGTAGGTGACCGTGACAGTAAAATTCTACAGAACGGTTCCACGAGGAGCCACGATGTGAATGGCTAATATTGGCTGGAAACTCGCTTCTCATTTTGATTGGTATCTCCAGTACTGTAGCCACTGCATAGTTTTGCCTACAAGTACACAGTTACCACACCTTATAAAAAACTTGGTGAAGCGCTTTGAGACCTTTCAATGTTATAGGTGCTGTAACAAATGTAAAGATTATTAGTAAATGAAAGAATATTTTTCCCTATTATAGTATGGCTGTAATATCTCCTAACGCACAAAGGGGATCGAGCAGGAATAGAAATCTGACCTCAAATCAATTTATGAATTTACATTCTGATTAATGTTATCTTGTAAACACCATCCAGAATTAAGAAGGACCGCTTGAAAATACTTGTTACATCGATCTCTATCACCAGAAGTGAAGCCGTGGATGGGATAAAAAAAACTCAAGATGTAAAAAGACTGTTCTGTATTAAGTTAACGACAGCAAGCTTACCTTCCAGCACAGTAGGGCTCTTTGTGTAGATGTGAGGACTGACAGAGTTCCTTCGATCGGTGTCCAGTTGTTCTTGCCTTTGCCGTTGTTGCTCTTCCTGCAGTGCGGAATCGTGCACGGCCTTGATGTGCCGCTGAAACAGGGCCAGACCGCTAACAGGGACTCCTGCAGACACACCACCATGTCCGTAGGAAGATGCCATCTAAGGGGGATTCGGAAACATTGTAGGTCGGTTGGTCTCAAGAAATTTAGCACATCTCAACATTCAGCCGACACGTTTCCCTACAACATTCCCACTCAATAAAAACAACCGGAGAAGAGCTACCCAATCAGTCCCACTCCCCCACTCCTTCCCCATACCTCTTCATTTTTTTCCTTTTGAAAGTTGTTATTAAATCTGTTTCCACCCTGCCTTGGCTTTTGAAATGCTAACGGTTTTCCCAGCTGTCAGGGCAGAGTGGGGGTGGGGGCTGATCCCTAATCTCCAACCAATGTAACGTTAACTTAAATGAGAGGGAACGGGTTAAGAAAGTTCTCTTGGATTCTGAATGACGTGACACTGCTCTGTCTACTCTGATGGCAAACCCCAACAAACTACTCACCACACTGGGGATCATCGCTGCTCGCTGTTGGAGCTGGTGGAGCTGCTGGATGTCCAGCTGACCTGCTTTCATGGCTGAAGTCATCAACACTGAGCTCTGAGGGTGCAGCAATGATGGTTTAGATTCTGAAGAATATACCCTAGAAGAGGGATTGAGACCGGAGTTAAGTCTGATAGTCAACTGCAACTTTAAAGATGTTCTTATTTTATCATCAGGTCGCAACACTTACAGCATTTCAAGAAAACACTGGAATCAGAAATCAGCGAGAGGCAATAATAATAATCCTTGCATTTGATACAGCGCCTTATCACGTCTTCGCGACTCCTCAAAGCACTTCACCGAATAGATTGTAAAGTGTAGTGACTGTGTATTTTTGTGGGTGAAACACGACAGCCAGTTAGTACGATGTCTAGAGCTGGTGAAAGCGTGTAAACTTTTTTTTTAACTATTTTGACTATTTCATTCCAGATTCCAAAATGCACCAGATTTTGTCGGCAGCAGCGGGCGATAACGCACAATCATTATGTAAGTGCGTTTGAAACCTTGACAGATAAGCTGATCGCCAAGGCTAACTAACTCACAAACTCCACCTCACTACAAGCATAAACTTCCTATCTCAGCGCTGGGTGAATTTCCACAGCAGGGATGAGACTTGTCCATCGGTGGAGTAAGGAGGGAAAGGAACGGATTGCTCAATGATTCACTTGGCTTAATTGTTAAAATTATGTTACAGTTGCTGGACTACCATGAATGCGGACATCAGTGTTCCAAACAGGTCAACGTGTGTGTATATTATGTGTGTGTGTATATGAAAAAATAAAAACATATGTATAAAAATTATTGCCTGCTTTGCAGAGCAAGCAAGACTTTACCAAGATAAGCTGAATTTCAATGGAAAAAGCACTGGCATTCCTAACCTATGACGATGGGAAAGTATTTCACAGCTTACGGCCTTGTCAATTCCTTGCTCACGGCTCATTTTCTATCTGAACAATTTTGGCATCACTTTGAGACACAATCCAAATGGAGAAGTAGACCCAACATTCTCAGCTGGCACACAGTTGTACCAACATGTATTACACGAGGATATGTAATAATAATCCTTGCATTTGATGTAGCGCCTTATCAAGACGTCTCAAAGCGCTTCACAGAATATACTGTCAAGTGAGTTGACAGTATAGTTTGTGCGCCAAGGGTAGGTTTAATATAAAAGGCAATTTAGAAAAACAGAAAATTTCAGTATATATTTCTAAATTTCCATACAAATTATTGCTGGAATCTTCACTTAAAAGTCACCAGTAACTTTTATATTCCTTATGTTTTTCCCTGCAACCCACACCCAGTTGGAGGCAAAGGGAGACGTGACTATTTTTAGGGGAAGGCCTTGTGATGATGAGGTTAGTATTAGTACAACATTACTTGTTATTGTTCAGCTCAACTAATTTGTGCCAGTCTTTATACTTCGAATGAATTAAGTATTAAGTCTGTAAATATTAGTATTAAGATAAAAGACGCAGGGAGTAAACAGGTAAATTAAATACAAGCTTTACAGCCATCGGTTGCTGTGGACAATTGTTGCTGAAAATATTTTGCTAATTCATAAAGTCCCATTGGAAAAGTCAAGGGGGGGCCGTGTGTTTTATGCGATGTAGATCGGAGACTGGTTAATCCCCCCCTCCCACACACACACACACACACACCTCCCTACAATGCCTCACTAGTTTGGGGGAACGGATTTTAGACAAAACAAATTATTTCACAAAAGATATAAAGCACAAAACAGATTGTTCTAGTTCACATAACAGTCAAGGGGGTGGGAGTGGGGCGGGGTAGGGAGAGATGGCAACACGCCATTTAGCATTAAGGGCAAAGAATTTTAAACTAACCCTGTCCAACAGAGTTAGAAATCTAGTCGCTATTGCCAGGATGTCCTGAATGTCTCAAGTCCTCCAAACATTTTTAATAAAAGGATCAAAGACTGGTTTGGTGGAATCATTTCAAGACATGCTGCATTAATAAACAGACTTGGAGGATTTCTTGAAATACATAACTTATACACAAATGGGTCAACGACCACAACTCAGCCATAAACGGTATTACATTTTCCACCCTAAGAGCACATTTCCTAGTCATGAGACACGTCTTGCAATCAATTACCGTGAAAATCTAAAGATATTGTGTGGGAATCCTTAGCACCTCTGTACAGCGTTCATCCATTTTAATAAAAATAATCCTTGCATTAGATATAGCGCCTTAACCCATCTTTGAGACGTCTCCAAGCGCTTCACAGAATATACCGTCAAGTGTAGTGACTGTGTATTTTGTGGACGAAACGCGGCAGCCAATTGCGCACAGCGACGTCCCACAAACAGTGGATGGATTGAGTGATCAAATTATTATTATCATTTTTTTTGTCAATGTATAATGTCCTGGTTTATGGGATCGCGGTCACTGAGCATTGCTGCCCCTGACCCAGCGTGTTCCCACCTTTGCCTCTCGGCCTCGCCGTCCTCCACCTCGTCTGCGCTGCAGGTAGCACTGGAATCATTGTCTGACTCGAGCTGGGAGCTGAGCTGGGGCAAGATCAGGGCCATCTCCTCCTTCTGCTTTGCCTTTTCAAAGTCCTTCTCTCTGCTGTCTACCTCAACCTTGACCTGGACGTCCTCCCCTAGCTTAACGACCGCGTCTCCAGGCTCAGCTTTGGTCGGCAACGATTCGAATGCGGGCTTTGCCTCAGCATATTGAGCTTTATTCTCGATCTCCATCGGCTCCTCGAACCCTGGGCTGGTCTCCTTCTTTACTTGGAGATCAGGTGAGGTAGCGGCTGGTTCTTCTGGGGCGGGAGGTACATTCCCAATGTTCCTGTTGGTAGGACTGAGCTCCGCTGGTGTCTCTGTAATGGGTAATCTCATGCCCTCAGTACTCTCCTTGTTGGACTTGCCCATCTCCATGGGTGAAGGTGAGGCCGCGCTCTCTGTGTCTGAGCTGTTCTCGGCTCCTGGGAATAAAGAGTTCAAAATTCATTAGCAACGTGGAAAGGCTTTTTTGGGGATGACAACAATGAATATGCTGTAAATTCCACTTGTGATCATCGGAGAAAAGAATATCTGTGGAAAATGAACAGAGATGATCAATTCATAATCATTTCTTCCTGTACTTCTTCTGAGTGATGGCAGGCCTCTTATTTCTCTTAACGCCAGTTTTCCACTCTGCACAAGTCCCACACTTGATGCTTATTGCTACGCATAATAATAATCTTTGCATTTCATATAGCAGCGTATCACATCTTTGAGACGTCTCAAAGATATTCACAGGACACACTGTAAAGTGAATGCAGGATAACGATTCCGGTTTCCAGGGCCTGCAGCAGGGGATGAAATCCACAAACATCTACGAACAGGGAAGTGAACAGCAAATCTAACTCCAAAAGGTAACTGGTTGTCAGTCATATCAGTTGGCAGTAAGACAGCTTGCTCTCCTGCCCCCTGAGCTGGCAGACAGTTCCCAATCCTAGTCACTACCCAGGGATCTTTGGTCAAAAAATAGTGCGAGTACGTCAAGAGCTCTGAGACTCCCTCCAGCGTGAAGGACACTATATAAATGCAAGTTGCTGTGGTTGTCAGACGAGGACAGGGTCAGGGTTAGCTGTGTTGTATCCTCTCGTCAAAATAGCACATCAATAATCAGGGATAGGTACACAAAAGAGAACAGGTCACCTGCTCAAGCAAAGGAGGGCTGCTGCCACCTATCAAAATTTGTCGGTCTCCCGAGCCGGAAAGGAGAGAAATTGGCAAAAGCAATAAAACTTTACAGACTCTCAGCAAATGGTCAGAAACTAAAGCTCTCCACCTTGCGTTTAGAAGCTGGAAGCTTGAATCCATCTTCTTATTGCTCAGCCGTATTTATATACTTAACTGGTGATATTTTCTCAGGTAGGAAATAGAAGCTTTTTTTCCTCTAAGAAGATTGGGGGTGGGGGTGGGGGGTTGGGAAAGCAATCTTGGCAATATACTTGAATCAGGATTTCAGCCACACTAAACATGGACGCAGGGAATCAGTGGGATGCAGTTCTGTGGTGGTGCAGTGGAGGCTACATGGCGAAAAGAAACAATAAATCCATAAATAAATGTAGGAGCTAAAGTAACACAGAATGCAATTCATGCCAGAGTAAAGCAGCCAGCCCTCTTGTAGAATACACAGCACTCTCTGCACTGTGGGCTCTATTGGTCTCAGATCAGTATCCGACTGACTGAGTAAACATACTTCATATAAACCACATAAACATACTTCGCAACCATCTAAGCACAGAGAGACTGCAGTGCAGGTTTACCCAATCTGTTAAGACATTAAACCTCGACGTGTTAATGGGTTGAATATAAAGTAAAGTAACCTTAGAATTCACCTGACCAGCAAGCAGCACGTGTCAGAGCACAATTCTCCTCTCACTGACCTACCTACAGAAAGACAGAAGCTCCCTCCAGGATCTACCTCCTTTTATAGTCAGGGAAAAGCAGCTGTAAACCACTGCCTTCCTTAGACTGCGGCAGAGACACACTGCTCTGTGTTCAGAGTTTACACTGGACACGGCTCAACCAGTTCCGCTCCAGCTTGTGTCTGTCTGCGTGGCTGCCAAGTTAGACGTTGTTGTGCTGTGTATACAACATTTTAATAATAAAAAACTCTCTAACTACACAAACATTTGTCAGGCAGCAGCTCATCTAATCAAGAGGAATAGATTATGAAAAATAATCTGCCCGAGTGTGTGAGCCAAGCACAGTTACCAGCAAGGGTTGCTGAGTTTCCTGTCCCTGGGGGATTCCCAGACAAACCTCCAAGACCAAGCTTGGAGCAGTCATCGAATCAAATGCAGTACAGATGGGAGACGATACAAAGACCTCAGATGCCTTTATACCTTCACTGTCCTCCTGGTTTTCTTCCTCATTCGACACTTCATTCTCCTCGTCCTCCTGGGCAGACACAGTCGATGCAATGCTCTCGCACTGAGATAGCTCTCGCTCTTCGCGAGATCTCCGTGACATCTGTTGCTGTGGAGGCAGAAAGGCCACGTGAGAACAGCTCAAATATCTAACCAACAACAACAACATCTATTTAATATAAAAAAAACAAGTTACCGACCCTCTGAAAAATGACAGATGAACATAATGAACATGAACGGTTAATAATCTTAAACCTAAACCTAATAATGTTGGAAAATGTATCCTATTTTGACACATTCCTCCAAAGAAACAAAACATCCTGTGAATGAACATGAAGCACAATAGTCGTATCTGCAGCACTATCTTCATAGCGTAGGGAGGGAATGCTCTATTGAAAATGGGACTGCTTTGACAGAACAATAAAATAATCCCTGCATTTAATTTAGCGCCTTATCATGTCGTCAAGACGTCTCAAAGCGCTTCACAGAATATATATGTATATTTTGTGGGCGAAATGCGATAGTCAATTGTGCACATCAGTGTCCCACAAACCGTCATGGATTGAGTGACCAAATTATTATTATTTATTTTTTTGAAATAATTTTTTTTTACCTTCAGAAAAGCAATCCGCCAATCGACTAACACCCGAGTTCCTACTTAAGCAAGGTAAACAGGCGTGTGGAGTAGGAAACTTCCCGCCCGGGAATCAAACCTGTGTCCTCTCGTTTGCTCTAACATAATACGCTACAGGACTTCACATAGAACACAAAAATACTTTATATACAGTGTGCCACGCGATTCAGTTAAGTTTGCTCTAAACTGATCAGCGACCCCCATTGTTTTAAGCAGCAATTCCTTTTACAAACATCAAAATTAGGCAAATAAAAAAAGAAAATCTTTAATATTTAACGCTTGCTTAAGTCTTGACAAAGATCTGGATGACACCCCCCCCTATCCTCATACCTTCCTTGTTGTACATCTGGCCTACATTAATTCCCTGCTCTAGTCTACTTGCCGTCTCACTGGAGAAGGTACCAGACAGCTGTGGGGCTGAAGGTTTACTCACCGCTTTCAGTTTGTGTTGCTGTAGCAGCATGTCCAGGTTGTGCCGCCTCTTATAGTTGAAGTAGAAATTCTTGCACTGCGCTTCACTTTTAGTTCCCACCATCTTGGCAATAGCTGCCCAATTCCGTCCATGTTCCACGAGCCCTGGGACAAAAAGCAAAATAATGAACCGATAAAAACAAACCATCGAACATCACAACAAAGAACGAGGAGAGATGAAATCCTTCAGCCTGTGCTACGTCAGTGACAACCCCACACTGGTAGAACTCTCCCAAAGGCTATTATCTGCTGCTCGTAACTCATGTCGGGATGGGTGCCTATCCGACCAACAATCTGAGAAATAGAAATGCAAGTCTAACATTTCAATGTACATTCTGTGAGGTCTGAGCTGGGGTAATTTGTGTATGTAAGTTAACGCGTGGGCTGGTTTTGTTTTGAAATAAAATCTAAGTTGACTGATGCAGCAGGAACCATCTGCTTTCTTTTACGTTGCAGCCTCCAGATCACAATTTCCTTTCCAGAGTCATTTGTGGTGTTGAAGCAGGAACCAAACGGAACACAAGAGAGTGGAGATAAAGGCCTGGTAGCTCCTGGTTACCGCTGGGCAATGCTATCAATGCAAGCACAGGCCCAAACTGGATTGCTGTGTTACTGTCTGATCAAGCTCTATGTTCCTCAGTGTTTACATTCGCCCCATTTACAATGAGGAAGTTTGTTCACAATGAATCATTACAGGCTGAAAGGAACTGAAACACACAAGTGACCCAGTCCTAACCTCGCAAACCTGCATCCAACCCCTCTACCCATCAATGATTCACACATCCTCAACAAGAAAACGCTTCTACCTGAGTGGAGCAAATACTCCGGTGAAATTATAATAATTTCATTTGGCGTGCTTCATACTGGAGAACAGTGAGTGAATTACGAGACCATTCAGAAGGTTCAGACCAAGAATAAAAACAGTTCATTTTTACCCTCACGCCAGGTGAATTCCTTTCATTCGCAGAGCGCCTCAGTGCTATAACAGCAACAACAACTTGCATTTACACAGCACCCCTCACCCAGGGTAGCGTCCCAGAGCGCTCGACAGTGGCGGAGCACGACACAGAGCCAGGGGGATAGAGATTTCTTTGATGGGGCGAGTGCCTTCATAGAAGATCACAGGCACCCTTTATCCTAGCAGATGGTTTTGGACAGTCATTTACACGTGAATTCACCCCCCCCTCAAGGTTATAAAATCTGCCTCGGAAACAAACAGCTGAAAACAACTTCCATCTCTTCCAAGGCAGCCGCAGACAGCTTCTAGACACAGCTTGCAGCTTCAAATATTTATAACCAGTGATGGAGCATGTTCAATACGACGCAACAGTAATTAATAATTAAAAGGAAACATTCTGGGAGTTTACATTGGCAGGAACATGGGCTTCTGAGCAATAAAGCGCTCGCTCTGTGAACTAGGAAATTAAACTAGAAACCAGGCCTTCATTTTCCCCTCTGCTTCCCTGCAATCAAATTAGTCACAGACAGAATTTTTAAATAGAATTTGGAAGCGGTCGACTGGCTTCAAATGGATGCCTGAACCTATTTAGCTTGGGTCAATGTGCGATTTAAGCAACGGCAACTTACATTTATATAGCGGCCTTCACCTGAATCAGTCCTAAATAGACCAAGAGGCCTCTTTCCCAGCCTCCCTGCCTCCATTCAGCAAAACTTAAGCTACTCGCAGATTCACTAATGCCTTTTTTATACAAGACCATGAGCATCAATTCAGCACCATTTTCAAGAGATATTGTGGGAATCGAGTTTGTATCACATCGTCAACTTGTTATCGCTAAACACATGCGGCGCCTTTAAATAAACCACCTGTAGCTGCCTTTAACCCGAGACACCAATCCTGCCAATTGTACATCTCTATAATCTAAAGCCGTCTTTAATTAAAACCTTCTCTAATTCTGGAATCAGTTTGGATATCTTACTGCCAACAGGATGCTGTAATCATCTTTAATCCACACAGTACCCCACTCGGATACTTAGACACACACATCCTCTTGAGCACCAGATTTGATCCAAAATTGTATTTGAGTCTTTATTTTACACCCGCAGCAATTGACCTCCATCTGCCTCCCTCCTCATTAAGCAAAGCTCAACGGGACTAGGCTAAGGATCTTACCTTATAATCCTTAAATTGAGAAGAAAGCATTCACACAAATCCCTGGGAAATCATGGAACGGATATTATTCTGGTATTTTATTACATTTATTAGACGTCCCTATGAAGTGGACATTGTGGAGTCCTGTAGCTCAGTGGTTAGAGCACTCGCTTTGCAAGCGAGAGACCTGAGTTCAATTCCAGGCGAAACCTTGGGCAAGTTTCCTTACTCCACACAGAGCCTAATAATAATCCCTCCAAAACCCCAAAAAAAACAATAATAAAAAAAAATTGGTCATTTTCAATCTACGACTGTTTGTGGGACATTGCTGTGCGCAATTGGCTGCCGCGTTCGCCCACAAATATACAGTCAATTCACTTTACAGTTGTTCTGTGAAGCGCTTTGGGACGTCCTCCCGACTTGAAAAGCGCTATATCAAATGCAAGGATTATTATTATTATTATTATCCCAAAGGCTTCTTTGGAGGCAAGTTTGGTACTCTGAATCTCCATTGAAACTACAAGTCATTGCATATCATCATCAGAGCAGATAATCCTATATGTTAAAAACACACTTCGACTACTGTACTGCACCCAAAGAGTGGATTAATTAACCAGTGTTAATTGGTCCTTGACTGTAAGTGGATGTGAGTGTTTGTTGGTCCTATAGTGGTGTCAAGGTCCTCCTGCACAGGCATTAAACTGCTGGGTCTATAGGTAATAAACAGCAGAGTTCGCACATCAACGTAACAGGTTTTTGAAGAGTGAGCTGCAGAAAGAACCATTTTTCTATTCCTTGCCTACTACATTCCTTTAAACGTCTCTCTAGGTGGCTGAGATATGGCACCGTTCCCTCTCTCCTCCCAGCGCACAGCAGCCTCCTCTCTACACAACTTGGAAAATCAGGGCATCTGAAGGAACAACTACTTCACAGATTGAATGTTACAGTGACAGAATAATAATCCTTGCATCTGAAATAGCGCCTCGTCACACTGTCAAGATATCTCAAAAGCGTTTCACAGATTATATTGCTAAGTGGTGAGTGTGTATTTTGTGGGTGAAAGAACACTAGAAGGAACAAGTATAAATCGGTGCTTGATAAATAATAGTTCAAACATTTCTGGATTCCAAAATTTCGCCAACAAATACAGTCAATTCACTTCACAGTATATTCTGTGAAGCGCTTTGAGACGTATCGAAGACACGATAAGGCGCTGTATCAAATGCCAGGATTATTATTATTATTGCAAACGTAAAAATGACTTCAGTGTTGAGTTAGCTAAAATAACACACTACAAAGGAGAAACTCTTAAGAGCCTTTTTGGCTCTGCAGTACTCAGCTTGACTTGTGGGGCAGACTGTGCACTCCCGTGTCTACCCCTCACTTTGGAATTCAACCCAACACTCAATTGCCCGAATGAAGAAGAAAACTAAAATGCAACGTGAAGCTCAGAGCGTCACACAGCAAGCCTTATCCTTAGCAGTGAGGAGCGGAACGGACAAACAAGTCAAATTCTGCTCCCATTTGCCTGTAAGATTAAACTGAAGCCAGATAGGATTTATAACAGGTTTAAAAAAAATTCAAAGGACGTTCACTTTGCTTTAGTGCTGCTATAAACTGCTAGTTGGGTCCAGAACTAAATTTGAGGCAACACATAAAACCATTAACAATCCAGCCACGTTTTAAATGAGATCCTACCTGGCGTGCAGCTCCTCTGGTTTAGTAAGATGTAGAACTGGAAACGCTGAGCTTGTGCCACACACAGCATGTCGTTGCAATGTGTGCTGCTTTCTTTCCACAGCATAAATGAGGTACAGGCACATTGCTGCTAGCTTTACCAGAAACCCGACATCGTTGCAACGCAAAAGGCAAAAACGGGAAGCACTTAAACAGGGTGGATGGGGTTTTGTTCGTAAAAGTGCTCTGGGATTCTAATCTGCGTGAGGGGCGCTATATAAATGCAAGTTGTGATAAAAAAAATCATTTTCTAGGTTCAACGCGAATGAACAGCTTGAATTTCAACCCACTTTCAAGTGTTTCGATTAATTTGGTTAATAAGCAACTCAATATGGGGATTGGAATGGACTACTGCACCGGGGGAAAAACCTCGTCATAATTGGGTCGTAGATGGGACTTGAATCACTACCAAAGGATTGGAACCAGCTTGTTGCAGACTCCGAAAATCAAATAAAGGCCTTTATTAATCTGTTTGACTCACTAACCTTTTTTGGCCACTTCCATTTCTTCCTCTGTCCAGCGAGAGGTCTCCACCGGCTCCGTCACAGCTGAAAAGTACGAGCAAATCCTTTCAGATAGTAAAGATCTCAGCTGTCTCCCTGGCCAGTGCACTGTTATCATCTATTAATCTGTTTACACAAGCAATACTGAAAGCCTTCCTCTAATGCTGCTGGTGACTGTGGGAGTTCACTCGCCTCGTTTATTCCGAATAAGAACAAATCCCATTTGCTGCTGTCAGGAGAAAGTCTCAAAAACATCTCCATTCAGATACGGGAACACCAAAGGCACAATGCATGCAGCATTACAGTGGAACGCTGGTTAACCACATAGCAATTAACTGCATGCCTGCTTATACGCACTGCCCTCTGGAGTGGGTGTTGGATGCAGGGCTGCGATGCTGGCAGAGAGAGAAAAGATATCTTGCTTGCTTTTTCTCTAGTTGCCCTGAACAACCGCACAAACGGGTGAACTTTGTACAAAAGGAATTTCCTGTAAACCCAAATGTGAGTCTTGTAAAGGTAAGTCTTATACAACACTTGTATAGCATTAGAGAGAGAGCGAGAGAGAGTGAATATCGGTAGGGCTGGCACCATAATAATATAATCCTTGCATTTGATATAGCACCTTATCACGTCTTCTCCTCATTGAGATTAGAAATCTAACACATAAACACACCCCACCAGACAGCAAGCAAACAGATTGAGTGAGAGAGAGATAAATACTGAAGCAAATAAGAGACTGAAATCCACTCATTTCACGTCAGGCATTTATGCCAATCTCACTATGAAAAGACATCCTATTCCTATAATAAATCCTGCCAGTAAATCCCTGCTAAAAGCTTCATTCAGCCCAGCCAATGTTTTTTAAATACTGTGAAAACACACAGATGGCCATCGCTATTAATGCCGCCTGCCCATTTGACCTAAAACATTGAAAAGGCAATGTGCTTCCAAATTCTATATTGTAAAAATCAATGCAACTTTAAGGGGTGGGGGGGGGGGGGGAGGGGGGGGAGAGAGAGACTCATGGAGAATAAGCACCGTCACAGGCTCGTTGGGCTGAATAGTCTGTCTGTTTCCGTGTTGTACAATCTATGTCTATCTACAGAGGGGCTGAGCATCTGGGCAGGCTAAGAAAGAAGAGAAAAGGTATCAAACTTCACCCCAAAATACAGTCGCTGAACTTTATAGTATATCCTGTATCCCGGGGAGGGGGGGGGGAGGGGGAGAGAAATGGGGAGACATTAAACGGGGGAGACGTATCCAAACTTCACAAGATAAAGTAAAAGTTAAAACCTGTCAATTGTGTTCAGATTGAGCAAAATAGAATCGAGCTGGGTCCACCAACTGCAGTTACAAATCCTCAGAGCTCCCCTCTCAGATGTGCTGTCAATTTAGCTTCCTTTCACTGAGCAAAAAAAATCTTCAAATGACTAAAACTTTGGCTTCGTGAAACCCTTTTCAAAAAATACTACTTCACGACTTTCATGCGAATTCCATATGTCGAGATCGCATTAAACAAACAGCTGTTTCTTGGTTTTGTTGGGGCTGATGATCAGCTCAGAGCCTTCCCGGCACTCAACTGAAAACTAGTTTCTGTGTTTTTTTTCCCTCCCCTTTAGTAAGAGTCTGTCTTTTGTGGCTCAAGATAGAAAAAACGCATTGCACCGCATCGCCTTAAGCAAACCAGCATTCATCAATTCTCTCCATAGAGTTAACCCCTCAGAGTACAGTATAGAAAGTTTCCATTTTTAAATGTGATAAACGCTGATATTAATACAAATACATTTATATAAATATAGTTCAAAATATCAAAGAGATCCCAAAAAAATGACTGACGTGCACTTTTGAAGATCTATTTTACAATTGATTTGGTATCTGAATGGTTAACCTTTAAGACTTAAGTGGACGTCAGGATTTAAAATGATAGCCAAATTAATGGGTGTACGTACCTGTGTATACCTAAAGCTAATAAAGCCAGTTAAGTAACTACTGCTGTACCCATGGGCGTTCGCAACAGATTACTAAAGCATCTCAGCACAAGCTGCCAAAGGTATGTCCTGCATATTGTATGGTCACAGCTATAAATCAGAACTTGTGCTCTCAGCAGTGAAAGAGCATCAGTAAACGCCTCGCACTGAATTAGCTTTTTTCCTCCGTCCCTTAGCAGAGCATAAAGCAAGCTGCTTCCGTTTGATTCTGTTCAGCACAACCGGCTTACGATGCCGTAAACCAGGGTCTTGGAAAAGCGAGAGAATAAAGAGAGAATCGCAGCGCTGTATTTCAGACAAAAAACATTATTTTGGGATCATTAAGAAAAACACAGCTCTGAAGTAAAATCAGAAATACAATGAAAAGCCCCCCAAAAATAAGTAGTAGCCAACGTCACACTGCTGGAACAGATAAGTGAGAAACAGTCACATAAAACACCTACCCCTGGGGAGCACTGCATCCTCGCATTGTGCCTGAATGCCGTAACCCTCAGCTCTTGTGATTCAAACAGTGAAGGGGGTAAGCAAATGTGCAGACAGAGAACGAACCGGGCCATTGCTCTGTAGGATGGGTGTGCCTGGCGGTGGGGGTGGCTTACTGGCATCAATCATTACCAGTGGTTCAGGTTAGAAGCCAAAAGGAAACTGAACGCAGACAGACTGAGCAAATGGAGGGAAAAGCTCCAAGAAAAATGAGTCAGCGCCAGCTGCCCTGACAGGAGCAGAGCGGAACTACCAGGAAAGCCATTTACCAGGAATCCTGGATGTTAGCTGAGAGCAAATGTTTTTTTTGTTTGGCGGATAGCTTTACCGCAGGTAACAATCCTTCAAAAAAATATAATAATTTGTTCACTCAATCCACGACTGTTTGTGGGGACGCTGCTGTGCGCAATTGGCTGCCGCATTTCGCCCACACTTACAGTCTAATCTGTGAAGCACTTTGAGACGTCGAGAATACGTGAAAAGCACTATATCAAGTGCAAGGATTATTATATGGTCAGTGGGTCTCACCTGGTTCAGGTGGAGGTGGAGGATTGGGTGGTTCCTCAGCTATCGCCTCCTTTGCCATGGACCTGAGGATCCTGCCTTTCCGACGCCCCTGGCTGTTTGCGGTTTTTCGTCCGCGTGGGATATTCTGCTCTTTTTCTTCAGTTTCCTCTCCTGGTGTGTCTGGCTTGTCCTTTTCTTTGATAATTTCCCTAGTGTGACATAAACACGGTCAATAAGGTTTAACGAGTATGGTGTTCTTTAAACATCACCCAGAATGCTCCCAATGCTGCAAGCCATTTATTTCCATGCTATGACTCTGCACCAGGTTGGTTCGTTTCTTTAAGGCATCAATCTGTCTGGAGTTCAGCCCTCATTTGCTCCACATATACATCAATGGCTTGGATTCACAGCCCCCGGTGTACATTAGCTACTGAGCAGTCAGAGGTGGCAGAAAAGGTCTTGCAAAGAGAGCTTGATAGGGTATGCACGTGGCCTGACCGATGACTGGCAAATGGAGCTCAATACAGTTAAAATACTGAAGACAAATGCACACCATAGACAGGACAGGATTTGCTGGGGAGAGGGTGGAATCTTGAAAGATTATTAAGGGTGTTACTTCACTTGTTGAACACAGTATTAAAACGGGGTGAGATAACAACAAATTACATGTGTATAGAAGGAGACGAGAAAAAAAAAACTTATCTTTGTTGCATGTTTGGAGCACAAAAGATGGAGAGAAACTTTCACACAAGCCTACAGATTCGCCCCTACATTTGCCTTCCACGCAACAGACTTTACATGTGGCCACATTTCAAGAAAAATGAACGCCAACTGTCTCTAACAGGCTATAAAAAGTTCAACAACTTCCACTCATCTATCACATGTTGTCAGTCGGATTCTTACCAAGTAAAACAAACTGCCTAGAATGTCCCATATCCTCGAGTTCTGTTTATATGGAACCCCAAGATCCTGTAAACAAAGAGATACTTCCTCTCTGAAGAAAAACATGGCGACGGGCAAAATTCCAGCAACTTGGACAACTAGAAGCCCAGACTCTTGGTCTGAACACACTGGAGGGGTATTAAAATCCTCTTAACTGAACAGCAAATTACATAAGAGCCTAACACACTATAGCCTCAAAAGAAAAGTTCAAGCAAATTCAGTGGGTTCACAGCTCGTGCTGAAATGCCTGGTATGTGTGCCTAAGTAAACGTGTTATAGTTTCCAGATATCTTAATTGGAATTTCATGAATTGGATTCTCTACCATATTAGGCATCAACAGGCTGCAATGGCTGGCATAGGAGCCCTTGGCAATGAACCCTGAGAGTTCAATCGTTGCAAAGAAGGTCAATTCATCAGCGAGGCCAACAAACAAAAGTTTCCAATTACTATTTAAAGTGGACCTTCCCTTGAATGTCACAAAACAACACACTATTCCAGCTTGCTCAAGAGCTATTGTCCTCCATGGCGGCGGCAATGAAGGGATGTGTCCCAGATAAATATCAGAATTAGTTTGGATACTGAGAGGTAACAGGAAAAAGCTAAGATCTCCCCAAAATCTTGGAGACTGATAAAACCATTCTGAACAGCTGCTAGCCTCCAATCTCAGTATCCTTTTGTTCTGAGATTAACCTTCATACATCCCCATTTGTCAAAACCATTTGTTTAGTCTTCGCACTGATAGGTAAACCTTGTCCACACTCCAGGCAGCTGCCATAACATTCTGCATCTCTGGGATACGTTTGCAGAAAGGATAGCAAGGGACGAGCACAATGAAACATTGGTAAATCAACCACACACGGTAAAGATAGGTAAACCTTTTCCTGGCTTCCACTTTGGATTCACCTACTAATCAGCAAGAGAATTTGACCAAACCAAATGGACTGTACGTTATGTGTTGCGATGGGTATGGATTCTGCTCTCTGCAGAAGTGCTTTTGTTATCAGAGAAAAGCACCGGTCAGTAGAGTTTGAGCTGGTGACGATGCTTGTCAATGCATTTGTTTCGCCTACAAAATACAGTCAATTCACTTTACAGTACATTCTGTGAAACGCTTTGAAACTTTTCGAAGACGTGATAAGGCGTTGTAAGGATTATTGCAAGGATTATTGTTACTTTCTTACCTTTGGGATTCCTCCTTATCATCTTTCTCCTCTTCGTCCTTTCTCTCGTCCTTTTCTTCCTTCTCTACTTTGTCAACCTTCTCTTCTTCTTTCTCGGTTTCTTTTTCTTCTTGTGAGGGACGAGAGATCTGTTGCTGTAAGAAAGGAAAATAACAGAGTTCTTAAAATGTTCTTTAACCTTAATTGGAGGTTCGAGGTTCGGAAGATTAGTCAACCTTTAAGCACTAAAACAGAGTGGATGTGGACTGATAGCATCAGAGCTAATTGACGTGGGTCAAAAATAAATAAATAGGTCACTCAATTCACCACTGTTTGTGGGACACTGCTGTGCGCAATTAGCTGCTGGGTTTCGCCCAAAAAACATACGGTCTCAATTCACTTTAGAGTAGATTCTGTGAAGCGTTGTGAGACGTCTCGAAGACGTGATAAGGCGCAACGATTATTATTATTATTAATATATAGAACAAATACGATTTGAATGCTTTGCAGGGATCTCTCATGGCAACGATCCGCAACGTCTTGACTTTCATTCATTTGCACAGCACCATTTACACAAGATCTCTGAATGTCTTTGGCAAAGGGAGCTTCCTCTCAAGAACAATGGAAGAATGTCAGACAACTTTCCAGCAGTCTTAAAAGAGTTAGAATTACAGGAGGTTGGTCACCATGTGATGTAGTGCACACACACACCTTGGCATTGTTCCTGGGTGGAATTATAACTAGCTTCTCTGCAAACAGAATAAATTACCTACAATCATGTATGGATAAACACCAAATGAGCCAGAATGACACTCCCAAAACACAAGATTGAAGATTAAGCTGAAACTTGTCGAGTTATTGTTACTGTTCACTTGAGTCGTTAAAGCAGGTTGTTATAATAATACTTTCATTTGATATAGAGCCTCATCACGTCTTCTTGACGTTTCAAGGCGCTTCACAGAACATGCTGTAATAAAGTGAGTATTTTGTGGGTGAAACTCGCTCGATTTTGTGGGCAGCCAATTACGTGCAGCAGTGAGTGTCCCACAAACAGTCGTGGATTGAGTGAGCACATTTTGTTTTGAGGATTGTCAAAAATAAATTATTTGTGAAGCCCCAAGATTATCTGTTGCGTTAGCGTCCTATGTCAACCAATAAAGAATTATTTACCACTCACTCACCCATTTGCAGAATCAGAGCAGTTAGCAGATATGAAGGCGAGAGCATAAACTGAATGATTAGCTTTATTCTGGGCGAACAACACTAGCCTTTTCAATGAGGTTACTGGAGGAAAGGGCACAGCAAACTGACACGCATTCAGACTGAGAGTGCCTCAGAGCAGAGCATTACAGCATCGCAAATAATAAAAATCTCGAGGGAAGAATCGGGGAGGCAGAGAAAACACGAGCGAGTGCGAGAGAGATTCTCTCCCGAGAAAGCACCTCCTCAAAGCAAAGGCTAAATGATTAGCAACAACAGCTTGGAATATTCTAATTGGCTCCTTTTGATGTTTAAAGGTTATCAAGCCTAAAATAGGCCAGTGGATGGATTTCATCTAAATACAAATTGACAGCAAGTCTTTCCTGCCCAATCAGCTTCCACTTTGTTTAAATCCTACTGCACGACCACATTTTATTTCGACCCTTTCCTTCCTCCACACCTCCCTTCAAGTCGTGCCTGAAGACCTTGCTCTTCGACCGTGCTTGCGGTCATCTCCCACCTCCCCCAGCTCAGCAACTTGTTGTGTATGTTTGATATTTTTGCGACCCAAACTGTAGATCTATGAAAGTAATAATATTAATTCTTGCATTTGGTACAGCCTTTCGCTTCAAAGGGCAGAGAAAACACCATCCAGTCCATCAACAATCACAAACAGTTGAGTTGCCTGTTCAGAGACTGACCTGTTGTGAGAAAACCAAACATCATGTTGATGAGGACAAGCACCAAACCCAGAATTAGCTGTAAGTTTTGCTGCCCATTGTGCTCATAAACCCTCTGAGAAAAAGCTAACAATTAGTAATGTCTATACAGTCCAGGCTGACACTTCAATGCAGTGCTAAGGGTGTGCTGCATTGTCAGAAACGCAATTCAAGTGAGCCATTAAACCGAAGTCCTGTCTGTTGGTCAAGGTGGATGTTAAGATCTCACCCATGAGAATGAGAGACTTGGGCAAGTTACTGAAGGTGTAGGATGGTACGTGCAATGGACTCCAGCACGAGTCAACATCATCAGAGTGGATGAAGAGACAACAAAAACACACATGGAGTGTTGCAGTCTACAGGAGAATTGAATGAAGACGGGATAATAATAATCCTTGCATTTGTTACAGCGCCTTATCACATCTTCCAAGACGTCTCAAAGCGCTTCACAGGATATATTGTAAAGTGAATTGATTGCATGTTTTTGGGCGACATGCAGCAGCCAATATGAACCTTGACAAGGATCTGATCCACATCAATTAGCTCTGATGCTATCAGTCCACATACACTCAAATTTATAAAGGATATAAAGACAGAGTCGGGCGGAGGGAGGGAGTTCAAGAGGTTGAGGAGCAGTAACTAAAAATACACTTTGTCTCAATCAGTCCGACCATTAATAGTAGGACAGGCACATAGTTATTCACCCACTGATCTAGAGTCACCTATCTCAATCAACCTTGCCATCAAGAAGAATTTCACTCATTAGATTAACAGAACACCGGTCTAGAGAGAGCAACAGACGGACTTGTGGCTCATATCTGGTGCCCAATAGATTGGGAAGCTCTTAGTGTAGCCATGGGACTGAGCGGAGGTGAGATTTGTTTGTGCACTGAATGCTGGAGCCTGCCAGAGAAAACAGATGTTTGAACGTCCTTGGATAAGTTACCTGAGGGCAGTTTGGGTCTGTAAACACCATCCAGACTTTTCATTAATAAGCAAGGTTTTTCAACAAAACATTGGGCAGGAAATGCTCTTCATAAAATACAAACACGACAGTAAAGGCAGCTTAAGTTGGTGGACATTGTACTGCAGTTTACAGACTTCTTCCCACTTCTGACACCAATAATGTTTAATAATAATCCTTGCATTTAATATAGCGCCATGGAGTCCTGATTAGAGCACTCGTCTGACAAGTGAGAGAACTGGGTTCGATTCCCTGCAGGTCGAAACCTTGGGCAAGTTTCCATACTCCACACGCCTGATAATAATTCCTCAAGAAAAAAATAATGATTTGGTCACTCAATCCCCGACTGTTGGTGGGACACTGCTGCTGCGTTTTGCACACAAATATACAGTCAATTCACTTTATAGTATATTCTGTGAAGCGCTTTGAGACGTCTCGAAGACGTGATAAGGCACTATATCAAATGCAAGGATTATTATTATTATCATCACGGCTTCTAAACGTATCAAAGCACTTCACAGAGTATACTGTAAAGTGAATTAATTGTCGAAACAATGTGAAACCTGTTCCACAGTCGGGGATTGAGTGACCAAATTATTGTGATTATTTTTTTGAAGAGATTATTACTGCCAGAAAAGCAACCCACCAATCGACTAACAACCAGGTTCCTACTTACTGCTAGGTAAACAGAGACCTGAGGAGTAAGAAAATTTAGTTATGTTAAGCAGCAGGTAAAGAAATGTAAAGAATTGCTTCCTACATAGAGAGACCGATTGAATGATATTTTTTCAGCCACTTGTGAGTTTGGTTTCTTTTCAGGATGGAGAGCAGAGCTGTGGTTGTGACTGCAGGGAAACGGCTGAACCCTTTGAAGTGGGTACGAAGAGCTAACATTTACACCAGACTTGGCAATAAATTTGATCCAGTGCATCCGTCAGATCAAATAAAATCCATTCGGTGCTTATTACGTTGGTGTAGCAGTGCAGGACCTGCTTATTGGAAACCTTCCCTATAATAACAACAACAACTACTTGCATTTATATAGCGCGCCTCACACAGAGCGCGCCCCAGAGCACTGGGCGTTTGTGTCTGGAAAAGCAATCGCTGAGACCAACCAAATGCATCGCAGTCAGTGTCAGCCACAGGACTCGGGGTCGGGTTGGAGAAAAAGTACAGAAATGATCCTTCGATCCTTCCTTAAAGCAACAATTCAAAAATTACACGAAGTAACAATTAACTCTTTAACGTCATCTTAGGGCTCGAAAAGTTCCGGTATCCTTCTTCATCCCCGCACCACAATTATACAATAATCACATCAAAATACTAAGCACCGTAATGCTACAACAGCGTGAATACAAATACGCAATACTAGTGGAGAAGGTAACTTTGAAAAGTTGCGCGGGACCTGCAGTGAAGAGGTTAAAAGGAATAGATGGAAATAAAGCACATCTCACCCGCGCCCCCCTTTCTCCCAAGGGCCTGAGGACTCTTTCCTGATTGCAACAGCCTGATTTGTCGGTGATGGTTAAGGCAGAACTACCTCTCTTTAACAGAAGAAGTCCAACTGTGGAAACTTCCCCCTTTCCCAGTAAGCATTTCCGCTCTGTAGTCAGTTGATACCCAATCTGCCAGAGACTGCCATAAATACCAAAGGCTGCACATGACGGGGACAGACTTTGCTGCTGTTTACTTCAAGGGATCGCCAGGGTCGAGGCACAGTACTTGGGGATTAAATGTCCACCAAACACTCAAAGTGTAGCACACGGCTGCACCCTGACCTGACCTTGATTTTCTGCTTTACGAGAAGCATTTCATCTGTTCACCCCCCCCCCCCCCCCCCGCCCCCCCCCACCCCCACTCCCTCCCTCCCTTCCTCCCTCAACTCAGTTCGGATCATCTTGCTCGGATAATATTCACTTAAATTAAAAACGGCTTAAACTGAAACTAATGCAGTAATTTGTTTGAACCGAGCACTCCTTTAACCGGCAGCTCGAGAGAGAGAGACAGAGAGAGAGAGAGAGAGCGAGAGAAAGCGAGAGAAAGAGAAAGAGAAAGACAGAGAGAAAGAAAGGAAGGAAGAAGCCGAGCAGGGAACGTACCTGAACATTCATCTGTTACTAAAAACCTCTTTGCCTTCCACCCCAACTGACCAGAGTGGGTGCCAGGCTGTCGCTTACCCTCTCCACGACAGAGACAGCCTGAGCCGGCAGAACGGCAGCAGCGTCACTGAGCTCCTCAGACCAGCTGCTCGACCCGTCACCGCACATATTCCAGGAAACTGTACCATCACAAACACAGACTCGCTCGGAGAAGCGTCTCCTATCTCACGTGCGCGCACTAATCTGCCAGGGTCAGACAAGGTAATCCCACACAGCACCGCATCATTGGTTGTTACTGCAGCACATCCAGTGGGTTGAGTGGATCACCGGGACTGAACCACTGCTCCACGAAACCTGGGGAGAGTGGGAGGCTGGGGGGTGGGGGGGGGGGGTGGGAGGCTGGGGGCTGGGGTGGGGGGGGGTGGGGAGAGTGGGAGGCTGGGGGTGGGGGGGGGGGGTGGGAGGCTGGGGGCTGGGGTGGGGGGGGGGAGAGGTGGGAGGCTGGGGGCTGGGGTGGGGGGGGGTGGGGAGAGTGGGAGGCTGGGGGTGGGGGGGGGGGGGGAGGCTGGGGGCTGGGGTGGGGGGAGGCTGGGGGCTGGGGTGGGGGGGGAGAGTGGGAGGCTGGGGGGTGGGGGGGGGTGGGAGGCTGGGGTGGGGGCTGGGGTGGGGGGGGGAGAGTGGGAGGCTGGGGGCTGGGGGGGGGGGGGGAGAGTGGGAGGCTGGGGGCTGGGGTGGTGGGGGCTGGGGTGGGGGGGGAGAGTGGGAGGCTGGGGGCTGGGGTGGGGGGGTGGGGACTGGGTGGGGGGGGGAGAGTGGGAGGCTGGGGTGGGGTGGGGGGGGAGAGTGGGAGGCTGGGGGCTGGGGGTGGGGAGAGTGGGAGGCTGGGGGCTGGGGGCTGGGGGGTGGAGGCTGGGGTGGGGGCTGGAGGGGGGCTGGGGATGGGGTGGGGGTGGGGGTGGGGGGGCTGGAGGCTGGGGTGGGGGAGCTGGAGGCTGGGCTGGGGTGGGGGCTGGGGTGGGGGCTGGGGTGGGGGGGCTGGAGGGGGGGCTGGAGGGGGGGCTGGGGCTGGGGTGGGGGTGGGGGGTGGGGGGGGCTGGAGGCTGGGGTGGGGGGTGGGGGCTGGGGGGCTGGAGGCTGGGGTGGGGGGGGGGGGTGGGGGGGGGGGTGGGGGCTGGGGGGGTGGGGGCAGGGGGTGGAGCAAAAGTCAGGGCAGGCAACACACCCAAAACCTAATCCTTATTGAAAAACAGCGCTGTTATCACCCCGTTCAGACTCATTATCTGCACAGACTGTAATCTGATGGTGCCGAGGCAGTACGGACTCTGGAATCTCTCTCAGAAGTCGCTGCCAAATGGGCCAAATGCAACGTTTCTGTTTTTAAGCTCGTCTGGTTGTTATAATGTTGGGAGGAGATTACAGCCGCAATGTAAAAGCCTTAATTTACGTGTGCGCTGCTTTAACCATTCAAAGACTGCCCTGTGCCTCCTGAAGCGATTTTTGTTTTCAACGTATGGCTTGCTGGGTTTAACAAAGAGGTGAAATGAAAAGTAAAACCCTGCAAAAGCCTATACAAATTGAGATCTTTCTAGCAAAGTAAAGACAGGTAATTCTCCTGACAGATGTTGGAGGAGGTCTTGGATCAACTCTGCAACTTCCCAAGTCCCAGGAAGCTTATCAGCGCCTTGCGACATCTCCCAACATGAAAGGCACTATATATAAATGCAATTTGTTGCTACAATCGTAACCAAAAAATAATAATAATTTGGTCACTTAATCCACCGTTGGTGGGACGCTACTGTGTGCAATTGGCTGCCACATTTCACCCACAAAACATAAACTTTTGCAGTATATTCTGTGAAGCGCCTTGAGACATCTAGAAGACATGATAAGACTTGGCTGCCGCGTTTTGCCCACAAATAGTCAATTAATTTTACAGTCTATTCTGTGAAGCGCTTCGAGACGTCTAGAAGACGTGAAAAGCGCTGTATCAAATGCAAGTATTCTTATTATTCTTATTATCATACTTGGTAATGATCTGACAGACACCAGGATCACAAGCGGAAGCGTCTATGGACTTTTGCACGTCATTCCCAGCTTTCCCAGCTCCTGTCAATTTCTGATGCTTTTCTCCGGTAACAGCAAAGAATAGAGAGCTACATCTATCTCAGAATTCCCAGCACTGAACTCTGGGGCAGCCCTAGCTACGTAAAGCTCTCTCACAGAAGAAGATAAAAACATGACAGAGGCTGCTCAGAAACCCCACTCCCAGAAGGGCTCTGAAGCCAGCCAAGGAGAGAAAAAATTCAGAAGGAATAAACAAATATGTAAGACGAATACATTAACAATACTTAGCTGATGATGAAATCGAGCTCCTACAGTGTTGCAAGAATGGCTTGGACAGCTGTCCCCGTGTCCTCTCAATGGGAAGTTCTTATTACCTAATAGTCTATATCAGGTGCTCCAACCATTTGGCTGCTAAAGGCTGGGGGGCAGCTTTGCGTAACACCCACGGGCCGCACAAGCAATATTGTTGTGTTTCCCTTCCAGAGACGCAACATAAAATCTACATCGCCCTCTTCACACCGGAAGGATGTCTTAAAACCTTCAACACTGCCACTGGGCACCTGAGCTAGGGTGGGAAGGGGAGGGGGAAAAGATGACCGAAAGCACGGTCAAAGAGTTAGGTCTTGCGTGTCTTGAAGGAGGGGAGGGAGCTCCTGGAAAGGAAAGTTAGGTTGGAGGCAAGTGCATAATCACAGGAGTAATCATGTTGCAACGTGTGCCAGGGAGGCTAAGTTCACTCTACAATCTCGAGAGTCTTACCTTCAAGCGTTTACTGCGGAGACTTGATTACAGTGTAACCCACCTTATTAGTTCATTCAGACTCAGGTGAATCGACTACTTTACTCTCACTAACAGGCTCCGCTTATAGACCAGTAACCATTTTGCGCACCCATCCTTTATGGTTCCATCCCACTGATTAGCCACAGGACACTGAGGGAAAGTCAGTTGGGGGCAACCGAAGAGAGTTGCATTTAGATTTCTCAGAAATAACACCGTCACCTTAAAAACCACAGACTGTGGTTGGCAGTTACATCATTATACTGTTCACCAGTAACTTTCCAGCAAAGTCAGTCTTAGCAGGACAGCTTTATGGTAACGTATGAAACCACAGATATGCAGGCACAGCAATTAACAAGGTGCATTCACACAGCCAACACCCGTGTCAGAACATTTCAACATTTTCCTCTTGCTCGAGAGTCAGGTTTGAGGCTTCACAAGTCCCAGCAGTGGCATATTGCTAGACAGCACGGTAATGTGGGCCTGCACTGGTTAAGCTCTACAAAACAGACATCACCCGTTTTCAAACCACTTGTAAATGTGATCGAATGGTGACAGGAAATATACACAGGATATGTCTAGAACAGATTTACTTCTCAATCTAAACTAGAGAGTTGCCAGTCTCTAAAACAGAAATTGACCAGAATCTTCACTTGGCTCCAACGTAACATACAAGGAAATAATAATAATCCTTGCATTTGACATTGCACCTTTTCACATCTTCGAGACGTCTCAAAGCACTTAAATAAGATCATAAAATAAAGTAAAACATATACTTAGTTGTGATCAGTGAGAAAACACCAGCAGAATTTAACAATTCACAACAATATATAACAGGACGCCCCTGTTTAATAAGGCACCATAGAGGGTTTGAACATTTCACACCAGGAGTCTGCTACATCAAATGCAAGGATTATTTTTATCTGAATCAGTTATCAAATCCATGAACAGCTCTTAATAATAATAATCCCGGCATTTGATACAACCCCTTATCACGTCTTCAAGACGTCTCAAAGCGCTTCACAGAATATACTGTTCAGTGAATTGACTGTATATTTTGTGGGTGAATTGCGGCAGCCAATGGTGCACAGCAGCGTCCCCACAAACGATGAGGGTTTGAGTGACCAAATTAATTATTATGATGATGAAGGGATTAACCTGGAGATCCGGTTTCTAAAGTCTGCTTTCTGAAGTTTTTGTCCATCTTTCCTGCTCGGGTCCAAATTCCTGACTGTCCAGCGCCTTGGGACATCCTCCCGACGTTAAAGCGGTGTGAAATGTAATTTTGTATTGTATATTTGCCTGCTACTTCCAGCTGATTACGTTCCTATAAAGTTCCAGTTGCTTACCGTGTTCCTGCCTCGGCGACGCCCGTAGTTCCTCCTTACAAGATTCTTGTAGTTCTCATTTTTCTTGGACAAGTAGTAATTCAGAACACAGTCTGCCACGCACTGGGGAAACAGAACAAAAAATAAATTAGGATATTAAACATGCTGTGCGCAATTGGCTGCCTCGTTTCAGCCACAAAACATAACAGTCAATTCACTTTACAGTATATTCTGTGAAGCGCTTTGAGACGTCTCAAAGACGTGATATATCAAATGCAAAGATTGTTATTATTATAATAACAAAAATTATTATTATAACAAAAGTCATTATTATTATATTAAACATATGACACAAACCAACTTTGTGTTTAATGCATTTGAAGGGGGGAAAAAAAATCATTTAGGCTCCTGTAGACGTACAGATTTCAAACACCCGCTGCGTAAAAAACACATTAACATAACTTGAATTTGATAGAGACATGACTGGTTTTCCACAGACGGCCACTTATCTTAACAGCTTCTCCAGTTTTAGCACTTTTAGCTGGGAGAAATCTTTCCTGACAGGGTCACTCCACGTAAACTTCCAAGCCCTCTGGGACGCTGTATAAACACAAGTTGTTGTTGCTCCATCCAGCCCATAGAGCACATACACTAACAATAATAGTGGCCAGGATTCCCCTCCTCGGCACTGCACATAGATCGCCCATTGTTGATCTCACACAGTGTAGTCCTTCCTGACCTTTCCTGTTAAATCTCCACTTACCAATAAATAAGCAGTCATCCAGAAAGGTGTGAAAACCACTGAACAAGGCCCTTTCAAGGTTTCGGCTGTTAGGAGCAGCCTTGTCGGTATGTGACTGCTCCCTGCAGCCACTGCTACATGCAATTCAACCAGTTCTTTGAAGGAGCCGAGAGATGGAAAGGATGCACTGAAGCAGAAAATGCTCACTCACGACAACTAAAAGCTCTGTGTCAGAGAAAGCAACTGTGAGGACCTTGGATGAAGCTGCCGGTTGAGTGAACAGCGAGAACCTTGATGTATCTGACACTCCCATCTGTAAAAAAATGCTCGACTGTCAGGAATCACCTGGTTATTAGTTGATTGGCAGATCGCTTTGCGGAGGTAATAATCCCCCCAATCCCTCAAAAAATGTGGTTGCTCAATCCACTACTGTTTGTGGCACATTGCTGTGCGTAGATTGGCTGCCACGTTTCGCCTACAAAATACAGTCAATTCTATAGATTTGAAGAATGACGCATTGAATATTTTTTGACATGAACATCAATATCTGGCCTAAAATTCAGTTACAACAAATTGTGATTAATTGGAATGCTTTTTCTCGTAACTTTAAAAAAAAATGACAATGGTATCGTTCACAAACCACCTTGTGAGACTTATGTAGCAAAAAAGCATGAATTAAGATTTCTAGTTCTTCCAATGACTATCGCTTTTAATATCAATTCAATGCTCACACTTGAGAGTAATTGCTTTTGAGGTACTGATTTTACAAACGTGAAAACGAGACAGAAAACCAAAGATTGTGGATTTTACGCAGACATAGGTAGAGTACAGAGTGAACTGTGTCCTTCAGTCTGATCTGTCTATACCTTTCGAGACCAACCAGTGCAGTGATGCAAAGCCAAGGTGTCTGAAAGCTTACTTTCTAAAGGCAAGAGAGAAACAAAAATCATTGTACTTCACGATGAATATTAATAATAAACCTTGCTTATGATATAGCACTTTAGCACGTCTTCGAGGCGTCTCAAAGCGCTTCACAGAATATATTGTAAAATGAATTGACTGTATATTTTTTCTTCTGTGACTTATGAAGAATAATTGATTAAAAAAANTAATAATTTGGTCACTCAATCCACAAAACACGGCAGCTAATTGCGCACAGCAGTGTCCCAAAAACAAGTCGTGAATTGAATGACCAAATTATTATTTTTAAAAACATGTTTTGATCAATCAGTTTTCATTAGTCACAAAAGAGGAAAAAAATTGAATTTTAAATATTTTTGGCAACCTCAATGCAGCATCAAACCAATACCATAAACCTATGAATCTCAGCAGGTACCTGCAGCGGGTAAAAATTATTTTAGTAAATCATTCATTGGAGGAATACATCAAAATTTCCTTAAGTCCCATGAAGTACTGCCAAACTACTGCATTCCACACCAATAAACCCACTCGCCTCATTGCTTCTTTTACTGCCTTACAAGTTGCCATCTCTCTGAAGAGTCAAATCAGGCGACTGCACTTAAAAACACAAATCACATTGCTGACTCCGTTCAACCTTTAAACCTTTCAGACAAGAGAAAGGTTACAAAGTGAGAGCTATTGAAGGCCCTCTCCTCAGTCAGTCATATTACAATAATAATCCTCGCCTTATCACGTCTTTCAGACGACTCAAAGCGCTTCACAGAATATACCGTAAAGTGAATTGACTGTATATTTTGTGGGCGAAATGCGGCTGCCAATTGCAGTGTCCGACAAACAGTCGTGGATTGAGTGACAAAATTATTATTTTTTTTTTGAAGGGATTATTACCTCCGGAAAAGCGATCCGCCAATCGACTAACAACCGGGTTCCTACTCACTTCTAGGTTAACAGAGGTGTTTGATGCAAGGAAACTTGCCTGAAGTTTCGCCCTGCCCAGGAACTGAACACAAGTCCTCTCGCTTGCAGAAGAGTGCTATAACCACTAAGCTACAAGATGCACACAAGCATTTATCAGTCCTTGCATAATATATGCCTGTAGTATGTGGAGATAATGGGGAAACTCAGTATTGATTTAGTGTGCAGTGACTCAGTTCTAACTGACTCTACACATTGGAGGAGGACAGGAGAGATACCAATGCTCAATTTCACTGGTGTTTCCCAGGAACTCGATTCAAAAGAGAAATTTCACCATCTCACCTTACTTTAGCACATGTCCAACACCCAGGTCACCTTCCTCACAGTGAGACAGTCACAAGGTGCAATCCAAACCCCAGCTTATACAGCTCGTTCGAGAAAGCTAATAAACAGGGCACTTAACAAGAGTCACAGCCTAACTGTTAATTGTCAACTTTGAACAGACTGGGACTCCTTCCAAGCTCAAACATAAAATAATGTTCAATTCAAAGACACTATTGTTTTGCTGTCTCCGGGCGAATGATCAAGATAAAACCGCAGAGCAGCCGATATGACGATCGGATGATGGACCAATTCAATTAGTTCCAGCAAATTGATCCCAGTTGTTTAAACATTTTGAAGGTCAATTTCCTATTTACTCCAGTTGGGACCACAGTGAAGCAGGGGAATTAAACCAAAAAAAGCAACACAGCATCAACAACAACTTGCATTTATACAGCGCCCTTCACTCTGGGGCAGCGTCTTGGAGCACTTAAAACAGTTGAATGCTGCATATTCACAGATAGACTGAAGGGCTTTGAAGGCGAGGACAAGGATCTTACAGCAGATTATAGAAAAAAACATTTTGAGAAGATTAGTGCAAATAACATGCGTGAGGAGTTCAAATAGTCTCCAAGCAAATCAGTTTAAAGATGTCTGTCTCCCTCCCCCCACCCGAGTAGTGACAATGTGAGATCCCTTACCTTTCTTTCCAGGTACGATGCAATTAAGCCGAAGTTTTTTGGGTGTTGTACAAACCTATTGGAACCGAAAAGCTCTCGTCAGTAACCAGGATAAATAGGCTCAAGGGTAAAAAGCATAATAAAATCAACCCAATGAAATCTTCCTTCAACTTGTTGCGATCCAAGTTATTCATTAACCTGTGGGCCACCAAGAGCACCCACCAAAGAAAAAGCAAGGAGATTTGTTTTCACCTCAAAAGATATCTTAATCTATCTGTAAAAATCTGTCACAGCAATTCAGTGCAACAAGGTAATACGAGAGTGTAAAAAAAAAGTCCAATCTGTTATCACAAGTGTACTGGACCCAAGGGCTCTTCCAAGGTCACAGGCAAACACTTTTATCTGGCACCTTTTGTCAGTCAAAGCACCAAGGATATTTAATCTGTAGCACTTTTTTGGATATGTTGTTATAATAATAATAAATGCTTCGATTACAGCATCTTATCAGGTTGCCAAAACATCTCAAAGCACATCACAGGATTTACTGTGCAGTGCTTGTGTAGTTGTGGAGTTCTGCACGAATGCCAGTCAATTTGCCTACCACAATGTCTTATTCGCTTTTAAATTGCATGACAGGCTTATACCACAGTGATATACACCTGTGCATCTCTGTCATCAATTCAGAAAGCTGACGACTTTGTGTAGATACGAGTGTAGAAAATGTATAACATTTATGTTCAAATACAAGAGACTCATTTCGATAGGACAAGAGTGCTCTTACTTCTCCTTGAAGATTTCCTTCTCATGCTCTGTCCAGACATTCATGAACTGCCGTTCTTTGTACACCTTCATGGGGTCTTCCATTAGGCCGTTCATGTTGAGAAACTTCACCCGTCGCTGTTCTGTGTCGTACATCATTGGAGGGATAACTGAGAGTTGCCTCATCTGCTTTTCATTGTTCTGCATTAAGAAACCACATAACCACATAAAGCCCAGAAGGCCACTTGGCCCATCACATCTCTGCGATACAGTCTCCGTTTAGCCCCATTCTCCTGCCTTTTCATCATATTAGTTCTTTCCAGACATTCTCTTAATTCCCTAAAAAGCGAGTATAAATTCTGCCTCAATTATAAGCATGATTTTTCAGGTAGAGAATTCCATATCCTAGCATCCCTCTGAGTGTTAAAAAAAAAAGACACTCTTGGGACACAACATGTCAAACGACTGCCAGGATGGTGGAAGGCGAACTAGATGGTCCTTGGTTTTCCTTTGCTTAGCAAATTCCCATGTTCTTATATTCTAACTGGTTTTAGCTGCTCCTGCCCAGTTGAGCTCAAACCCAGCCATCTTATACCAATCTGCTTTATCCTTTACTGCCTATTTTTAATGGTTAAGGAAGATATTAAAAGCTGCCTCACAGAGGTGGGGGGTGGGCCTTACCTCTTGCTCTGAAAGACCATCGATGATTTCAGATATTTCATGCTCACTTCTAGCAATAGTTGCTGGCAGGCCAGCTCCTCTTTGTCCGACCCTGGAAAGATAGGTCACGGGAGGATTTACTGCAAAAGAATCCTTGCACTGAGATTACATTACCGTACCATTTCACGCTCCGGATCCAGTCATCAGGTGTTGGGGAAAGAGCAAAAGCTGATTACAGATAGCCTCCAAACTGAATTCTTTTTAAAATACTCTTTCTGCCCCACCATCTATTTGAAATATTTTGGCGGCCTGTTCTTTCAGAACTTGGCACCTACTTTCAGTGCATGACTGAGGAAATGATGTAACAGCAACTGATGCACTGCTCTAGCCTCAAGCAGTGTCTATAACGGCAATCAACAAATAATGCAGCAGTGTGAAGCACAAACTCAAAACACCCGTCAGTCTGAGAACTGGGTGTTCTTTGAACCTCAAGATATTCAGAGGTCACACCAAGTCAAAGCAGGAAGTGTGTGATGATATAAAAAGAACAGACTTTGTATATATATGGGTTTTATAGGTAGACGTGTGGGTATAAACACATGCACTGGGTTTCAGCATCTTCAGAAAAAACCTTGGGATTTAAAAGACTTTGGAGGGGAAAAAAAAATCTTGCAGCAGCAAGTCACCCACTGATTTCCATCATAAGCACAGGTTCACCGCATGATCTCGAACCTAGTCTTGGCTTTAACCAAAAAAACACGAAAGATAGGTCAACAGTTCGGGTGTGACCCCCTTCACCAGATCTTGTTGTGAATCAAAGCGTTATCTTTAAACCTCAACCTATTTTTCTTTCTCAAAATATTTCTCTCATCTTTGCTGGCTTTGTTCCAGTTAGCGCCATTTCTCTCTCTTCATCTCTTGCTGAAGTACAGTTCGGGGAATGGAACGTGATGCAATATCTTCCCTGCTATAGCAACCATTCAGTCCCACATGGTGACAGCTTTATAAAGAGCTGCTTGTTCACCGTCCACACCAACAAGTTACATAACGTTCAAGCTCACCTGCACCAAAACAAAAAAAGCAGCACATTTTGGTACGAGAGTTGGTGAGTACTACTTATTCTACACGAACTTGAAAGCAATTGCCCAAACAGCAGGAAATAATAATGATAATAATAATAATCCTTGATTATTTGATGCAGCGCCTCACCACGTCTTCGAGTCGTCTCCAAGCGCTTCACAGGATATACTGTAAAGTGAATTGACTGCATATTTTGTGGGCGTACTTTCTGCCGTATCCCACCAGAGTGCATTAGTGAGCCATTCGATTTTAGAACTCAGTTTTTTTTTAAAAAATCTTTGAATTGGTTCTTATTGAAGCGTTTCAATCCACTCCACAGATCAAAAGGCATCTCGCAGCTAACCCCAAAGGCAGTGTCCCAGCAATAGCAGCCTATCAGCCCCTTTCAGATGCTTTTTTAAAAAAAATTGCAGCTTTTTTTTTAAAAAACACACAAAACAAATAATTGAAAAACAGCTTGCATTACACAGCGCCTCTCACGCAGGAGAGCGCTCGACAGTGGGGAGCACCTGGCCCCGAGCCGGAGGGGAGGTGACCGCAGACAAGGTTGAAGAGGAAGGTCTTCAAGCGCGATCAGAAAATGGGGAAGGAGAGGTCGAGGTGGAGGGATAGGAGAGAGTTCCAGAGTTTGGGGCGCAGTGGCGGAAAGCGCGGCTGCCGACAGTGGAACAGAGGGCACGAGGGACACGCAGGAAGCCGGAGCCAGTTGAGGGGAGGCAGCGGGCAGTGGGTTGGGAGTGCACAGGTCGGAGAGGTAGGGAGGTGCCAGGGCTTGAAGGGATCTGAAAACAAGTGAGAGGATCTGGAATTTCCAAATGAGAATGCCAAATTGGCAGCTATGCGCTCAAATATCTTCCCTCAGATCTACAGATATTTACGTGAGCTGTGCTGCCCCCTCTCAACCCTGACGTTAGAAACGTCTTCCTTATCCACTAGTAACAAAGAAAACGTTTCTTCTAAGAACAAAAAAAGTATTTATTCAGACAGCGTCTCCTTTGATATAGCAGGAGGATCACACTTTATGGGATTAGAAATCTAGTCCCCATCACTACCTTTGAAAGCGTTCCTGCTGTTCTCGCTGTTTGCGGATTTCGGGGAATTGCTTCTCATAATATTCCCGAGTTTTACTCTCCTTGGCTTTCCTTCGAGGATTGTTTTCTATTCTTTCGACCTTCTTTTCCCACGCCTCCATAAGCTGGTCATACCTCTGGCAGATTTTTTGTTCCTGGAAAAAGAAAAACATGCACCGAAAATGATGACGGATAAAAAAAAAAAATCTGATTGTTAACTTTGGCTCAGTTGGTATCTAGTTTGGTCACCCACGACTGTTTGGGACGCTGCTGTGCGCAATTGGCTACCACATTTCACCGATAATATACAGTCAATTCACTTTACAGTATATTTTGTGAAGCGCTTTGAGACGTCGAGAAGACATAATAAGGCGCTATATCAAATGCAAGGATGATTATTATTTACACTCGCACGCTTTGCCTCAATGGTCAGCTACCGTTAGTTCCTGATAAATGAGCAGCTCTCAAGAGTTTCATAAACATGAACAGTTCGATGAATCTCACAGATGGATTCGATGGATGTTTGTCTCACAGTTACCCTGCCGTGCTGGTAATGTTGCCCTCCCCGACTTTACGTTTAATAATAATCCTTGCATTTGATACGGCGCCTTATCACGTCATTGGGATGTCTCAAAGCGCTGCACAGGATATACTGTAAAGTGTAGTGACTGTGTGTTTTGTGGGAGAAACGCGGCAGCCGATCGCGCCCAGTGACGTCCCCACAAGCAGGGGTGCACGTTAGTAAAACAATGACACTCACCCTCTGTTTACGAGCATGGTTCCTCCTTTTGAAGAAAAGAATGAGTTTCTTCCGCATAACTTGATTCCTGAAATTACAAGAGAAACTGTGAGACCGTGAGGTAGGTGTCTGGATCATTCGCTCTTCGTACAACCAGTACTTGAAGCAAGCCAGTGTTTGCTGAGCGAAGGGAGCAACTGGATCATTGGGGTGAAGGAGGTCACAGGGTGGGAAAGAGACCATGGAAGAATAACAACATTACATTTGTATAGCGCCTTTCACGTCGGGAGGGCGTCCCAATATCATATATCCTGTGGTTACAGATATTCCACTAATCTTGATCCATTTAACTTTCCATATATTACAGACAGCTGGTACTGCTATAGGGCTGGGGCAGAGTCAAAGGTTTTCAATGGTGTCAAAATTTATGTTTCCGCAACATACATTGCTGCCAAAAGTCCAAGACAACACGCTCCAGATAGCTTTTCAAACAGGTCTTACCCCCATTTAAATGTTCCCTCAATTTATTTCAACGCAGGTTAACTTACTCCACACCCTGCAGTCAAACTTCATACACACAAGCACAAGTCTTTGAGACGTCTTAAAGCGCTTCACAAAGTACACTGCAAACTGATGGACTGTATATTTTGTGGGTGAAACGCAGCAGCCAATTTGCGCACAGCAGCGTCCCGCAGACAGTGGTGAATTGAGTGACCAAATTATTATTATTTATTTAGTTGAGGTTTTTTTTGGCTTAATATTTATTTTCTAAAGTTTAATCTGCTGAATTTGCTGAGACCGGGAGCCGACGTTAAGAATACTGTACACCTATCGTGACCTCGAGAGCAATTCTTCCTTCCCTCTTTCCCATCTCCTTCCCACTCGACACTGGATTTTCCAACATCAGTTCTTAAGTGTAACGTTTTCCAGCCAACTGACTGGCTGACCCTGTGTGGAGCACACTTTCACTGTAGGATGGTTTGGCTTCCTGACTCTTTACACACAGCGCTGAAAGAATTGCAGGAAACTTGCCGCCTCTTAAGTAAATCCTCGCCACAGGAAAAGGATGCGACATTGACTTTCCACTCACTCACTACAAGATCACTTTTATTCCAAAACATCCCCAGATTAATATTTGCGTGCAATTATTCGAATCGGCACATTCCAACCAACCCTCATAAATACCACTGACCTACTTTCACCATTCTGGGAAGCAACATCGTTAGCCTTTGAGGGCATTTGAATAGTATTGAACACATTTCTACAGTGATCTTTGATGTTAATTAAATGGGCTTTTTTTTAATTTGGATTTTTTTTTAAATTGTTATATAAAAAGTGTTCTCCAGTCTTTAAGAATTAAACAGGAGAATTTAAAGCTGTGAAACACAGAGCTCTGAGCAACCGAAGCACATAGCCTGAAGACGCTTAATAATAATAATAATCCTTGCATTCGATATGGCGCCTTATCACATCTTCGAGATGTCTCAAAGCTCTTGATAGAATACACTGTAAAGTGGATTAACTCTATATTTGTGAGCAAAACATGGCACCTAATCATGGTCACGTGCCAACACAGAAGGACTTATATTTCTGAACTTTGAACTTCAACTGAACCAGGATACAGATTGAATGTCTAAAGGCTTCCTCTGGAGCAAACAGCTGAACGAAACAGGATAGCTAAGATAAGTGCTCTGGGAGCCTACCCCGCGTGAAGAGTGCTATATAAATGCAAGTTGTTGTTCCAGTTAACCCTACTTGATGCTGCTCCCATATCGCCCACGCAATACACAGTCAATCCACTTTACTGTATATTCTGTGAAGCACTCTGTGACGTGATAAGGTCCTATATCAAATGCAAAGATTATTGCTATTATTATTATTATTATTTTCTTCATCTTGCTGCTGTGGTTCTATGTGCACTATCTACTTGGTTATTATTTATACATGTCAAATATAGATAGCTCAGCAATGGATACAGAGTGGAGACAGTGGTTTGGCACAGCTTCCATCGCTGAAGCTATTCTGTGCCAAATGCATCTTTTCGAATTCAAGATCCTCATCCTCACCTACAAGGCCATTCACGGCCTCGCTCCCTCCTACCTCTCCGACCTACTATCCCCCTACCTACCTGTCCGTACCCTCCATTCCTCTGGCTCCGGTCTGCTCTACATCCCCCGCCCCAACCGCCCTACCATCGGTGGCCTTCAGCCTCTCAGCCCCGAGGCTCAGGAACTCTATCCCCCAGTGCCTTCGCCGCCTCCTCCCTTTCGTCCTTCAAGGCCGGTCTCAAGACCTTTCTCTTTGACCGAGCCTTCAGCTCCCCTCTCGACTCTCTACCCCCTCCTCGCTCCCTCCCTTCCCTCCCCTCCCCCTGACCATTTCCCCCAATGCTCGGGTCCTGACCCAACTGTACAGTGCCTTGGGACGTCCTCCCGACGTGAAAGGCGCTCTATAAATGGAATCTTGTTGTTGTTTTCTCCTCAACAACTCTCCATTCTCTGTCTAAGTGTTTATGTAAAATCTCTCCATTCCTTCCTTCTCTGGGCAGCCTCTTCTAGCACTTGGCAAACTCCATCTAATCCAAACTCCGCCACCTGCATCCTCACCAGCACCAAACGCCACAGGTCCCTCACTCTAGCCCTCGACAGGCTCCATGGACTCTTAGTGGATGGACTTCAAGATGCTCACCTATAAATCCCTTCACCCCTTCACCTCTGATATTCGCTGACTCAACTGCTATGCTCTCACACTCAGTTTGGCTAACTCTGGCTTCTTGTGCGTTCGCCCACCCCCCTCCGCTCATGATTAGTATCCTAGCCTTCAGCTGCTACGTTCCATAACTTCTAGATATTCATTCTACATGAAGGATGCCATATAAGTACAAGCTGTCATTGTTGGTCGCTAGAAACCACTGGAACCAATTCTTTATGGGTTCTTGTTAGAACATATATTCATGTCACCAAATATACAAAGGAAAATGTAAATACACTCCATTCCACAGCATTATCACCTCAACAGCAAAAAATAAACTTCTAATAACATTTGCTAAAAATAGGTCAGGTATTAAGCTGCTGCTAAGCTTGGCTGGGGTACGTGGCTGGCTTGTTCCATTTGCCAGCCTCGCTCAAGCCACATTGGATAGAGTCACCGTGGCAGGGCACTTACTGCACGTTGCCGTCAGGCAGCTTACCTATTTTTGATTTCTCAAACGCAGAATAACTGAAGATATAAAGGAAAGCTGCCCACAAGTCTTTAAATCTGCACAGGTGAGTTTCTGCGCAGTCTACACCAAGGTCTGAGGACAGCATAAACATTTACAGCACAGTGGAATGCTGCAGTAAGACATAACTCAAATGCTTTACTTTGATGCTTCCTGTACAATTGCCAGGTTACATTTTGTGCTGGGGGAGGGGAGAAACACCAGTTTATATCAGAAAGCTCATATCCTGTAGTGTCTATCAAATATAAACCTTAAACTACTGGGCCTTCCCCTCCCACCCCCAGCTACAGTTAATTTTAACAGTGGAACAAATCTACGCAGCCTCAGTATACTTGGGTACATCGCCAATCTTGCAGCGAACAATTAATTAATTCTACAATCATACCACAGACTGCTGAAAAAACACAACTCACACACGATTTTCAGAATCCATTGAAAGAAATAACCCAATAGGCAAAGATAACACTATTCTGTTAATTTTGTAGATTATTAGATTTAAGTGCATGTGAACAAGCATTTGTGTGTGTTGGTGTCGCATGTGTGAGAGAGAGCTTAAGTGTGAGAGGAATGATGTGTGTAAGAGCGTGTTCGAGTAGACAGCATATGTCAGAAAGAGAGAGAGAGAGAGCATATATGTGTGTGTGTGAGAAAGACAGCCCACACTTGTGTGACCACAGTCTTTCTACTTGCTCTCCTTGACACCGCTGCTCTGAAAATATTAGCAACTCCCAAGAAAATGGGTACCAGCTGTCTAAATGAAAGCTCACTGGCTCTTCAGTCAAGACGAAATTTCAGACTCTACTTCTGCTGAATATTCCAAAGCAATTTAAGGAACCATTCTGACGGATATTAACACTGTCGTGCAGAATATAACAAAACCATTGAAGTAAAGGGTTAACTTGAAAATGTTTTCAATGCTCCGACCTACTTCTTGAACATATTGTAACCATGATAAATGTATATTCAACAAGCAGCTCACTTTTTGACACACTAACTTTAGTTAAGCGCATATTAAAGTTATCTCAGAGGCCACCGTTCATTCCCTACATACTCTCAATGTGCCAACTTCAAACATCATCCCTAACTACTGTTTTAGCCCTTTCACAGATCACCTCTACTGAGGTCACACCAATGCCTCTGAACCAATTGCAACTGATTCCCTAATACGAACAGTTTTTATTTTGTCAACTTCTTCACACTGTGATCACAAGTCACAGCGGAAATACATCGAATTCATCTCTAGTAACGACTCTTTGCAGTGTGGGGTATTTGGTATGCTAATTTGAATTTGTTTTGCCCACAAAATATACAGTCAATTCACTTTACAGTATATTCTGTGAAGTGCTGTGAGATGTCTCAAAGATGTGATAAGACCCTGTATCAAATGCAAGGATTATTATTATTATTATTATAAATCCGCAAATGCCTAGTTATCACACGGTTTGCTGATCCGGACCCAGTTGGTACATAAATCGGATTTCTACAGCACTCGCAAACTGGATGCATTCTGTTAATTGCAACTTCTGGAATGCAAATGACAGAAACCGTTCCTTTCACACAATTGCTTATTGCAAATCCTGAAAAGATAAGGAAGCATTGCCCAATAAGTAGCTGTTAGCTTGGCTCAAATGGGAGGCAACATGATCAGCTCTGAGGCAGATGGTTGTGGATTTACGTCCATGTTTGGAATGAAATCCAGGCTGACACTAAAGTCAGTACGTTAGGAGTGACTGCTAGCTACATTGTCAGAGGTCCTCCAGGAGAATCAAAATGAAACACCATCTGCCTGTAGAGGTGCACGTTAGGGATTACATGATACTAGTTAAAGAGAATTTCTCCTGGTATCCTGGCCAACAATCCTCCAGAAAAATTGCATTCACCTCACTTCACCTCTGCTTGCCTAGAAAAACAGTCAAGTGGCAGAGAGGTCACTGCGCTAGACAGTAATTCCTAATTTCAACATGATAAAGGCACCATAAAACTGAAAGTTCAGCCTAACTAAGGAAATGTTTTTCCATCGAGTTGCTGCAAAACAATTCGGGACATTCAGAATGAAGTCTGACTAGACTGCCACTAGCCTGAGTAAGTTCATTGTGATTTTTCTCACCATTTGACTCTAGGCTTAACACATTTCATTCACACAACAGTTCTGGAGCACTTACGTTTTGATATTTTCATGGTAAACCTTTGTGTCTGACGGCTGGTTATACAGTGGCTGAAAAGGGAGATGGCAGGAGAATAAATATTCTTCGAAATGAAGTGAATAATTGAAACAAATTTCCATGCATATGCGAAACCTTAGTATTAAACAGAAGTTAATGTTGTACGCTTCCAACACGCAACTAACCAAAAAAAAGGAAGACCTTTGCTTTCATCAAAATGTTTCAAACACAAATATGATTTTGCTCTTAAATTCACCTCGACTCTTTTGAAAGGAGGCACCAACCGAAGAGACTAAGGCAAGGCCAAGAAGCGCCAACTCAAGTATCAATCACACATCACACTCACTCTGACACTTACCAGTTCAACTCTTGGACCCAGACCTTCAAGTATTTTGTGAGCTTCCTCTGCTTTTTTCTGTTAACAAAAGGGAAGGACTCTGTTATCTCAGGTTCTGTATTCTAACTTTCCAAACATGCCATTTTTATATAAACTATTGTTCTGAATCCAGGATAAGCGATAAGAAAGATGAAAAGGCCATGAGGTCCATCTTTCTTTGAAGGTTTCAGAAGCTACCTGGCCTCTCTCCATCCCCGAGCTTCCGAAAGTTAATTTTATGCATCACATTGTTCCAGTTGGGAGACTGGGTGCATTTAAAGCTGTTAAATTCAACTCCGCAAACATAGACCAGGCATATTTATAGAAGGACATTCAATTAAATGAGAACACATAAAAACTCAAGGCAGGACACAAATGTGAGCAATGAACATACTGTGGAACAGGCCACTCTTCTCCCTTATACCCAGTGCTAGATTTGAACACTCTAAGACAGATATAGCATGTGTTAGATAATAATAATAATGACAATCCTTGCATTTGATACAGCGCCTTATCATGTCTTCAAGACGTCTCAAAGCGCTTCACAGAATACACTGTAAAGTGAATTGACTGTATATTTTGTCGGCGAGATTTGGCAGCCAATTAATTGCAGTGTTCCAGTCATGGATTGAGCGACCAAATTATTATCATTTTTTGTTAAGCTCTCCAAGCTTTGAACTGTTTTGCAATTTTACCAAGGTGACTGTGCAATGGGGGCTGTGAACGTGCGAGGCCCTGCCACAGCTCAATAGATAATAAGCTGATCAACCAGACGTTTCCATTTCCCTTGCCAGCCATTCTTAGGACCTTCCTTCCTCCACAAATATCTTGTTTCTGGGGAGGGAGAAGCCACAACCTCAAACTTTTATTTAATATAGTCCTCAATAATCTGACAGATATATTAGTGCAGTGTCCAAATATACAAAATACACAGTCACTACACTTTATACAGTATATTCTGTGAAGCACTTTGAGATGTCTCGAAGATGTGACAAGGCGCTGTATCAAATGCCAGGTTTATTATTATTATCATCACCATGTAAGTTACTAGGAAAACTGCTCTTGTTATTTCAAGATTGATCCACCCGCTCCAAGCTGCCTTCTCCCTCAATATATTTTAAATTGAAATTGCTTGAAAAGGAAGAAGGAAGCTCCACTTCCAAAAGATTGACGGGTAGATCCCTACACTTGAAAAGGGGTCTCACGCGCACACACAGCAATCGAATCTGAATGCTTCAAATGCAGTGCCTACCTCTCAGTTTCCATTTTACTGAGACAAGTGGCCCCCGGAGTTTTAACTGGACAGACTTGGAAGGAAAACCCAAGAAATAGGGACCGGTCTCATTCAAAAGATGAAACTATTATGTTATGAAATACGTAAATGAAAACAATGGGGCGAGGCAGGATCTACTGAAACCTTCACAGATCATGACCCATGACATTAAATCATCAAGTATCATTGTTGAACAGTGTGCCCACAAGGCCTAATGAACGACAGTAACCCGGAGTCTGCCGCTATCACAGACAGACATCTGCAGCCTGTGTTAATGAACGGGATATTTTCTGCCAGACCTCCCAGCTTCCAACCAGAATGCCAGGCTGACAGACATCTTTCTCCATGCTCGCACCTCAGGGGAGCGTTTCATTAAACCTTCGAGAGGAAAAGAAAAAAACAGTGGCTGCTCCAGCACTTACCCGGTTTTCATCGTAGATGATCTGGACGATACTGCGATGTTTTGGTTCGACTGGAGGAGGGGACACGGGTCTCTCAGGCTCTGGGGGCTTGGCTGCTTCCTCTTCGAGTTGTTGCTGAGAGACAACCCAAGCACACATTCAGTCATTCCCCCACCAACGTACACAACAACAACAAATTACAGGTGTTCAGCACCTTTCACGTCAGGAGGACGTCTCAAGCCGCTGGACAGTCAGGGATCCACACCCCAGCTGGCGGTTGGGGATAAGAAAGGGTAGAGGGGGGGGAGGGTAGGGGTAGGAGGGTGACCGAAGGTGCGGTCAAAGAGGAGGGTCTTGAGACAGGTCTTGAAGGAGATAAGGGAGTGGGCGAGAAGGAGGGCTGTGGGATATAGTTCCAGTGGGTGGGGGCAGAGAGGCTGAAGGCCCACCCGCCAATGAATTCACAATCCCAAAATATAATTAGAATTGAATGTTGCAGATTCCATTTTTGGTTTACAAATTTATTTTGTTGATCTGGATTACCTGGTTTGCTTTGGAGGAACCTAACAGCTCACTGAGCTGACACACTCCTCACTAGTATTTTTGGTAAATGTTTCAATGCCTGTCAAGGTGAGGGAACTTAATGCTCGGGAAACAACTGTTCAATTTTTATTCACCTTTCCATGTCAGTATTCAGCACCAGTTAGATTTGGAAATAAAGACCCCTCTACGTTACCCCGTTCAAAACTCTGCGCGTGATCATCTACAGTGACCTTTATACAATGATCGTCAGATTTAGAATAAAGCTTTCTTTACAGTGTTCCTTTTGAGTTGGTAAATCACAGGTTAGATTTCAAATTAAATTCTCTCTACATGGTCCCATCCATCTGGCAAAAGTGGATGTTTTGTATGTGACCACTATATAAATGCATGTGGTGGTGGTAGTTGTTGTGTTGTCTACACAACAACCAGCTCTGGGAGTTGAGAGCCTTTTCATCCTTTATTAATCACCAAGGTCCCCGTCCATAGAACGATAGAAACATAAAGCACTTTGAAATTCAAATGAGAGATGACCATAGCACAATAGACTTATTCCAATATTCGTCGCACCACCACTTGCCTCTGTCATTTCAGAAACTTGTTCAGTACCTGTTTCTTCTTCAGTTTGAGGATCTGCTGTTCCACTTTGGCAATTTCTCGGTCAACACGGTCCATGCTCTGGATAAGCTCCTCTTTGGACAGTTTGGAAGGAGACCCATCCTGATCATCTCCACCCTGCTGGTTGCCAGTCGGTGATGAGGCCACATCAGCCTTCAGCGAATAATTCTCCTTAAAAACAAAACGCAGGATAGCAGCAGGAAAGAGAGAGAGAGAAATGAGCAAAGTCACCAATACAACTTTTCTTTACAGTTAAGACATAAAATCAAACAAAAGGCAAAATACCGCAGATGTTGGCAATCCGAAATCAAAACAGAAGTCGCTGGGAACACTCAGCAGGTCAGGCAGCACCTGACAAGAGGACAGCGACCTGAAACATTAACTCACTTTCCTCTCTGTCTCTCCATAGATGTTGCCTGACCTGTTGGGTGCTCCCAGTGACTTCTGCAGATATAAAATCGATTTCAGTGAAGCAATGGTATTTAAACTTTAAATAAAATCAATGCAACGATCACTCGTAAGAAAAACACTCACTTTTCCCCCCCCACGTTTGTGGTCACTGGGGCAAAGGCTGTTGATGTTGGAGAATGTAGCTTAGGAGCAAATTTGCTAGTCACATTGTAAAGGTGGTGCATTCATTAAAACGTTTTAAGATTCAGCAATTGCCCAACAGGCATACAGATCAGCAAGAGTAAATGGTTAAAATATTCCTGAAACTCTTTCTCCAGAACCGACTTTTTTATGAACACATCCAAATGGATGCATCAAAATATACAAACGTATTATACTTCCTCACATTCAAATGCTGACCTTTGTTTTCTAACATTTCAAACTTCCTAAGGTTCAAAACACAGCAATCCAAATTGTCGTTTCACCTATTGTTAAGTGTAGACTACAAAGCTGGCACACATTTCGTTCATAAATCAACAGCAATAAAAGCCAACAACACTAATGCTGAGAGGATACACTGATCCATCAATATTTAGTAACCAAATGGGTCCATTTCAACCTCTCTATCAAAATGCAAGGATTATTATAAATTGGAACCTGTATCCAGGAATATGATCAGTACCACAAAGACCTTTTACCTATTATTAATTTTGCCCACACAATATCGTCAATTAATTTCACAGTATATACTGTGAAGCTCTTTGAGTCATCTCAAAGACATAATAAGGCGCTATATCAAGTGCGAGGATTATTATTATTAAGAGAAGTTTTAAGTTTTCTTCTGAAATGTGACTCGGATTGAACAATAACTTGTGTTTTTTTTTAAAATGTTGCTTTGATTATACAATCTGGAGTCCTGTAGCTCAGTGGTTAGAGCACTCGCTTTGCGAGTGAGAGACCTGAGTTCAATTCCAGGCAGAGGGCGAAACCTTGGGCAAGTTTCCTTACTCCACACAGAGCCTAATAATAATCCCTCCAAAAAACCCAAAACAATAATAAATTGGTCATTTTCAATCCACGACTGTTTGTGGGACATTGCTGTGCGCAATTGGCTGCCGCGTTCGCCCACAAATATACAGTCAATTCACTTTACAGTGTGTTCTGTGAAGCGCTTTGGGACGTCCTCCCGACGTGAAAAGCGCTATATCAAATGCAAGGATTATTATTATTATTAATCTGCAGATTGTACGGTTATTCAGGACAATGGTTTTCTTAAATTCATTCCAACTAGAAATGCTAAATGCTATCCAGGCATTTAACATGACGACATCTGAGCCAGGCTCACAGACTAGAAGTGACATCCGGCAAAGATCTGCCAGTTATTGTACAATGCAACGTTATTTTCATAGCAAGCCCTTGCTGGCCATTTGTGCGAGTCGAAACTTACAACAATCAAGTACTAGATTCTGCCACTAGAGGCCCTTAAAACACCCAAATTCCTTTAAAATTAGTCGCAAAGAATTCTGATTGCATGTCAGCTTGGCTTAGTGGTTAAAAAAAAGGTCAATTTTCAGGTCACCCCATCATTTCCTTTGCGCATGAACATCAGCAACATTTCTTGCACATAGCAAGCAACCAAATTATTATTATTTACATTTTTTTAAAAAAAATTGAAGGGCTTATTACGCCCGGAAAAGCAATCCCTCAATCGACTAACAACCGGGTTCCTACTTACCGCATAAGGAAACGTGCTCAACGTTTCGCCCGTCCGGGAATCGAACCCAAGTCCTCTTGTTTGCGAGGCGAGCGCTCTAACCACTAAGCTACAGGATTCCACTAATGTCTTACGAATTCTGAAATCAAACCATAAGATTGCTCCGTGCTTCAGAGGAGAGAATGTTTAAAGAGCGTCCTCTCATTTAGCTCAGGCCCTGGAATATCTATCGATTCACTTCACCCTAGAATGGAACAATGTGCTTTAAACTGTGAAATGGGCTTTCTGATGTGGATTAAAAAAAAATGTCATCTGTATCTATAAAACTGAAAACAAAATCCCATCTATCATCTCCTATCACCACAGCTTTCACCAACGCCTCACATAGCAAACCTTGGCACACAATTTTACCAGAGATCTCAATAACAAAGGCAAGATGGCTGCTGGGAAGGACACTAACTCTCACAACAGGCAGAGCGTCTCAATACTCCCAAAAGAACTGACTGTGAAATCAGTGAAACGAAGTGAGACACCAATGGAAGTTAAGCTTCCCACTGGGAGAGTCAGTCACTCAGGGCCTCACTGTGAGTCTTGTCCAACTTATTTCACTTCAGTGTTTACTCATTCTGCGAGTTTCTATTCCATTCCATTCATGGATATTTCTTTTCCAAGTTTCCTTCCTTTGATCTCATAAGGGCCCAAAACCATTTCATGTCTTTTATCAGATCTGTACCAAGTGACCTTACCAACATCTCCATGCTAGACACAATACTTAGCACCATTTCACATTAAACCAGTTTAAACTGCTCCATACCAGCAGGATTCATACTCAAGCTCCTTTCTAATCAGTTAGCTGCCTACCGAGACTGGACAAGAACAATATTGGGTTTCCTAGAGATTTACTCTACTTTTTTGAATGAATACACCATCTATAGTGCTACCTACTCTAACATACCAACACTTACCTTCTTCACCTCTGTAGGTGCTCGCAGCCCATCTGGTACAGGATGCACTAAGGGCAGTACTGTAGCACGCTGAAAGTGGGGTTCAGGTACCTGGTCAAGCCGTGGACGTTTGGTTTCCAGTGAATCGTGATCAGACTGTCCAGCCCCGCTATGGTAGGACTGATCGTAGCCACCTCTCCTTTCTTGTGGCCTAAAAGGACAAAGTAATTTTTTTTTAAGAAATGAATTTCTCTCTCCTCATTCCTTCCCTCTGAAGAGCTTTCACAACTTCACACCCTCCCTTCAGACAAGGGAGCCATAAGCTTCTGTATGTTGCCTAGTCTTAACCAACCAAAACACAATGGCTTTTATCTGATCACCAGGACTCTCTGGTCAAAAATTAAAAGAAAATCTGATGGAAACACAACTTTCAGTGGTAGCGCTTTCGCCTCTGAGCCAGGAGGTTGTAGGTTCAAGTCCCACGTCATGACTTGGAATTCACACAGTCCAAGCCAGCAGTCTCCTACAGCCAAATGTTCCTTCTCCTCAATAGACTTTCCCTGCTCTGAGCTGGCTATAGGATAGGGCAGGTGCTAAATTCAATAAACTGCTGGATAAATAGAGAGCAAATGAATACTCCATCTGCCGGCAATGTAAACCTGATTGTACTGAACCAGTCCTTGCAATGAGAGGGACTGCGTATGTGTCTTGTGTAAATGGAATATCACTCACCTGTCAGAGACAGGATGGAACTCTGAGAGGAGAGAGGGTCGTCTCCGAAGCTGTTGATGTTGCTGCTGTAAGTTTGGAGAGTCCTGAAGGTGAGATCGATAGTCTGGAACTGCAAACTCCTGGAAAACCACAGCAAGCTCATTAGAGCAAAGGAAAATCAATACAGGGAGGGCACATCAACTAGGTAATGCTACGAGCTTTAATTGTTACAGTGCACGAGGGGCCCACGAAAACCTTTATTCTTTTTAAAAAGAGTATAAAGAATACACTGCTTACAGAGGAGCAGCTTTGACAAGGTGTCCTGTCAGCCTCTCGCCTCTGTCAGAATGATGTGAGTTCCAGGCCCACGTCAAGACTTTGAACTGACAGTCCAGGCTCACACTCCTACACAGTGCTCAGCGAGGGCTGTATTGTTGGAGGTCTTGTCCTTCAGTGGAGATGTTAAACCTAGGCCACGATCTGCCTGTTCAGGTGGATGGTAAAGATCCCATGGCACTATTAAGAAAAGAAGGGAGTTTCTCTAACCCCGTGCCATGGCCAACAATCCCCCAGATACAATGGTCATTCACTTCACGGCTGTTTGTGGAACACTGCTGTGTGCAAATTGGCTGCCATGTTTACTTACAGAACACAGTCACGGCCCTTTTTAGCAACACTTTGGGAGACATCTTACCGATGTGAAAGACTCTATAATAAATGTAAGAATTATTACTACAGTGGAAGCCACTTTAACCGGACACCAGTTAACCTCGGACACCGGGTAAATTGGATAAAATGCGTTTGCATTCATTCTTACCCGTTATAAATATACCAGATAATCTGTACAACAATCTGATTAATCTGGACAAAATGCTGCGCTGGGGTGGCCGCTGAACGTACTCACTGGGGCCTTCTGCATCTCGAGCGGCTCCATTTGGCCATGAACGGCTCCTGGATGAAGACGGGAGGAGTCGAACCGCAATTGATTTGAACACCGGGGCTCCAGCCGTCCGCGAGCGGCTGGGGATTGTCAATCGGGTGACGAGGGGGGACGGGGGTAACGACGCAGGAACGGGTAAGAAACAAGGGAGGGAACGGAAGGAGTCAAATCACAGCCCGTGCCACTTGCGATTGGCTGGAGCCCATCCGTTCACAAGCGGCTCCAAGGCTGTCCGTCGCCTCGGAGTCACCCCCAATTGGTTCCCTTCCCTTCAAATGGGAACAGCAATGGGAGGGTGGCAGAGCCGCTACTCTACTGGGCAGGAAGAGGTAATGCTATTTTGTTTAGCCTCAGACAACCCCACCTCCATGTGTCCGGTTTCCACTGTATATTACTACAGAAATAACCGCTAGAGTAAAGAAGCTTTCTCCCCACCCACCCAATCATTCAGTAAGTGTTACCAGAGTAAAATCCCACTGAATGTCTCCCGATGTTTTATAGCATTGGTTGAATTTTGCTTTGTATAAGAAAACGAATCAAACGGCAAGGATTTAAAGGCTCGGGTTTTTGCCCCTCTCTTCCTGTGAACTTTGATGCAGTGAATTGCCAATATCAGACACTTAAAAGGTAGAGGTATGGATTACAAAGTTTACCACGGGGTGGGGCGGGGGGTGAGAGAAGATCATTTTATAAGGTCAGAAATTATTCACACCAAATGGAATTCAGTACTGCGTAACACTTGACGGTTAGAAAGTCTGCACAGTTAACCACAAGAGGGGCGCAGCTAATGTCAACAAGACAGGTTCTCTAGCTTGGCTTCCGTCTGCGTCTTCTCACCACAGGCACTGAGCGCAGAGACCCTGAAACTAAACTCAACCAGGCTCTGAGACCTTGTAGAACAATCTCCAACTGTTGATGAAACCCAACATCTGAGCTCTCACACCATTGGCTTTTCCTATCCTTTATAATATTGTACACCATTATAACATCAATCACCACTATATCATTCTCCCTGGGACCCAATCCACACCTTCATCACCTTCCAGGCTTGATTATTCCAACACCCAACTCACCGGACACCCTCACTCTGCCCGACACATCAAGAACTCTGAAGACTGTGTCCTCTCCTGCACCAAGCTCAGATAGCCCATCACTCCCATGGCGACTTGGCTCCACTGGCCCTTCATCCTCCAGCGGATCAAATGGAAAATTCTAGTCTTCACTTTCAAAAGCCTCCTCCGCCTCACCCTGTCCCCATCTCTTCGACCCTACAAGTCGCTCCCTGTGCTCAGCAAACACCGCTTGACTGGTGGTACCCCACCTAACGACCCAATTTCGACTGCACTGTCAGCCATGATCCCCGCCCCCACGTGCGTGAACTGCTTCGAGATGTTCTCTCGATGTGAGTGGCGCAATATAAATGTAAATTATTGTTAGTGCAGCAGAAATCTGGAAATAAGACCAAACTATTTTGGCTCCATAACAAACTAAAAGCATAGACAGACACACTGAATTTGTAGCTGGTTCGCAGCACCACGAAGATGAAACAGAACTGTTGAAAATGAAACAGAATTCTGCAGAGGCTGCTCCCCCACCCCCTGAGCATGTTCACAGCAGACTGGATAACTTCACCATAACCACTAACGTGGATTCTCCTCCAGTGACGTTATTGGTTCACTGCAGTGTTAGAGAGACTCTGCCAACACCCTCTCCCTGACACGTGATGCGAGTTTACGTACTGTTGCTGTTACATACATATCACCCGTGTGATCCGAGGCCAGACAAATTTCATATTGCATTTCCACCCTGTCTGTTGGTGCTTTCGGATAATCATTTGTGTTTGAGCCAAGGAACACACACACACACACACACACACACACACACACACACACATCAGACAACAACGGAAATACTACAGCAGACAAGCACCTCCTCCCAGCCATGCAAGGGTGAATCCACACACAATCAATGGTCATGAAAACTGCTCCCTAGCCATGTAACCAGGATTGCTAACAAAACCTCCACGGTCTCCCCGCTTTTGCCCCACACACACTGTACACACAATAATTTGGTCAGTCAATCCACGACTGTCTGTGGGACACTGCTGTGCGCAATTGGCTGCCGCGCTTCGCATTTCCACAAAATATAGTCAATTCACTTTACAACGTATTCTGTGAACCCCTTTGAGACGTCATGAAGATGTGATAAGGCGCTATATGAAATGCAAGGATTATTATTATTATTATATACAGATGCTATAGCCACTTCTGTAAATACGAATAAATCATTGTAGTTAGGGAATTTCAAACCAGTGTTTGGGAGGAGTGAGGAGGCAAATTATTACAGCCGGAGGGAATTAAAATCTGGGACAATATAATCAGGCAGAGTAATTGCCAATTAATGCACTTTTATATAAGCAGAACAATGACAAAGCACGGCAGTACCTTAGCCTAAACCTTTTTTGGAGAGGTAAGCATTTGTGTGAAGAACATGCCTTTTTCCCCCTCCAGACCGCGAAAAGAACTGCACAATATTTTAATGCATAAAAAGAAATCAGGAGTGAAATCGTTAGAGCTTTAGAAACCGGACACCGGTGCCTGTGGGAAGGACCCTGATCTAAAGCAGAGACTACCATCACACAGGTCTCTCTATCTTCTTCAACACCCGACTTCCCCCCACACTCAGAGTCCTTTACTGAAACTCACGATGAACTAATATGGACTAAACAAGCATAAATTGTTATTTGAGTCACAAGGAGTTCTTAGATGTCTAAATTTACCCAACGCTTTGCTATTATTTACACAACCGATAAAAGGTTCTCTGTCTGGGGCAAGGGGGGGTCAGTCCAACTGGAATGCCTTATCGTCAGAGCTTTCTGACCTCTGATTTTTCCCAAGAATGCTTCTGCATATCCAAAATAAATGGCAGCTTCCACTTCACTCACCCACTCTTCAAACGCCAAATCACTCAAGATTAACCCTTGATTAATTTGATTTAATTTGATTTAGCGCCTTATCGCGTCTTCCAAGAAGTCTCAAAGCGCTTCACAGAATATACTGTGAATATAATGTGAGGTGAGTCGCCTATGTGTTTTGTGGGCGAAACGCAGCAGCCAATTGCGCACAGCAGCGTCCCACAAACAGTCGTGGATGGAGTGACCAATTTTTTTTTATGTGTAAGGATTACTCTCAGAAAAACAATACACCAATCGACTAACAACCGGGTTCCTACTTACTGCTCGGCAAACAGAGGTGCGTGGAGTAAGCAAACTTGCCCGACTTTTCACCTTGCCCGGGAATCAAATCCAGGTACTCTCGCTTGCGAGGCGAGTGCTCTAACCCAAAGCTACAGAACTCCACAAAATAAACATGTTGGTCACAGAATCCTACAACTGGACTCTCCCAGTGACTCAGCAGGAGTATTCAATGAGTAGCTTAGCCACACAGACTCAGAAAATCCCTGGTCAATTCTTAGTCTGTACTTCATTAGCTGATCTCACCTGGATCTAGCAATGCTATAATTGGTTTCAGTGGCCTGGGGCAGGGAAGGTGTCTTTAAAAACACACAGGATTTCCTATCCTGCTATCAAAAATAGTGCTGCCTGCTGGAAACGCATTTGAGTGGCACGTCAAATGATAAAAGGATCTGGCTTGGCTGTGATATCTTCCCCAATAGAATAGTCTACAATCGCCCACTGGCTGTTGCACTCACACACATGAATAACTGTTGCTCAATTATCACTAACTACAACAACAAGATTACATTTGTATAACGCCTTTCACATCGGGAGGACGTCCCAAGGCACTGGTCAGTGTACCAGAGGTTGGGGGCAGAGTGACTGAAGGCTCTCCCGCCAATGGTGGGGCGGGTGGTCAGGGGACGTGGAGCAGGCCGGAGCTGGCTAAGCGGAGGGAGCGGGTTGGTTTAATAATAATTTATAACTAAATAGTTTAATAAACTAACTGAGACTAGCCCAAATAAAAAGAACTGGAACCCAGTCAGGGCACTAACACTCTCCTACAGGAGAGTAGGGAAGAGGGCAAAAAGTCAATAAGCAAAAGAAACAAACCACATTACTGATGCCCCGATATTGCCACTCAAAAAAGGCTGTTCCTGGGTTCTAAAGATGACACCACTTAAAGAGGCTTTGCCATGGAAGCCATTCTTAAATTAAGCATAATAGTCAATAGCTTCCCTATATTTCACCTCTTCCTAAAGTCTGTTTCCAAAAAATATTGGTTCCATTTTCCACGCTGAACATTTATTTTTCCCTTAACATCCTGTCACGTTTTACAAAGACTATATTCGGGCAAGTTGTAAATACAATTAGGTTTTCAAGTTTTGTCTCTTGCTCCTCCCAATCCAAATGCATCTCTTCCTACTCTGTGCTGAAATCAAGGCGCTATTCTTACTATTGCTCTCCCAAGAGCTCAAATTGTGCACTGTCTTCCCTCAGTTTCCTCTTCCTGTAAACTAATGACTTTGAAAACCCATATTTAACTGGTTGTTGGCTTACTTTCAAAATACAGTCAATTCACTTTACAGTGTATTCTGTGAAGCGCTTGATGTCTCAAAGATGTGATCAGCTGCTCTGTCAAATGCAAAGATTATTATTGTACTTTTCAACCTTGGTTACCATATTCTCCTGAGCTTCTCAAGTTCTTCCAAAAAAACATCTAAAGCGTTAACTGTGTTACCACAGTATCAGTCCACAAATGACAGCCATCTGTTGAGCCTTGACCCGTACTTTTCTACGGATTTCCATGGAGGTAACATGAATGTTTGGCTGAACCTGCAGCATCGATGTTCCAACAATCTATTTCTCAATTTGAGGTCAATAGCTTTCAGTACATTTGAAAACTAAACAAGCGCTCATTACAGTTTACTCTGATTAAGAGGTCAGAACCACAGCAACATTCATTCTGCTGCCAAACATCTTGCGTGCAAAGCATTTTGTTCTGTACAAAAGGGAAACAAAAACAATTGCAGAATTTCTGGACTAGACACGGTTAAATGGATTAATGAATACATATCACAGTGTATCTGTATTCCGGGAATCTGGAGTAATGGGACTAAGCAAACGTTAGGAAGCAGTACTGCAGGTGTAGGGAGCATTCTTGCACATTGAGAGTCTGTATTTCAGTGATTTCTAAAGCATTTTATTGTTACATTCACCACTGATAGATTCACCATTACATTCACCGCTATTAACTAGTTGCATGAGCAATTTGCATGAAGAATGTCCTTTGGCTCATTTGATCTTATCCTCTAACAGGACGGGGCCCCACGTCCCAGTGAATCTGCTCCCCCAACAATCAAACCACACAACAAACCCTTCTCACCACAAACCAAATCCCGCCACAACAATCCAGAGGCAGGACAGAGACCAAGGCAATCAGTGGATCAGGAACCCATTCATTCACTGCAGATAATTTGTCTCTAAACAGGGCTTTCTACTTAGAAGCTGGAGGACCAACAACCAAGCCAGGCCAGCAGCTAACACAAGCTTAACAGGAAAGGGAATCCCATGAATACAAAATACTGTTTTCCTTACTTTAAATATAAACAGAGTTCAGGCAATTTCAGAAAAATTGTCATAAACAACCAAATGAAATTTTAGTCATAAAAAAAGCACGGAAATCATGTACCATTGTTCGAAAAGGACAAGATGAAATTTCTACAAGCCGATGGGCAAAAACAAGCAGAAGACCACAGCTCTTCCCATTCAGCTCCTGCTAATCTCCATACCAAAGCCTTAATGGACAAAAGCAGGAAGCTTGCCAGACAGTGTTCAGTTTAAGCACCTTGGGACGTCCTCCTGACGTAAAAGGTGTTGCTGTATAAATATACATTGTATTATTCACAACAGCAAGCTGCACAGTTAAGACTGCAGAAGTACCCCAACACCCACTCCACACAACTCAATTGAAGGCTTACCAACTGCAAAGTTTCCAGTGTTAAGTGAGAAAGCCACGCCCCTCAGTTGACATGCGGGTGAAATATTCAGTAGTTTGGACCCTCTTAAGCATGATGATGGGTCGAATTCAAGATCCTCATCCTCACCTACAAGGCCATTCACGGCCTTGCTCCCTTCTACCTCTCCGACCTACTATCCCCCTACCTACCTGCCCGTACCCTCCGTTCCTCTGGCTCTGGTCTGCTCCACATCTCCTGCCCCAACCGCCCTACCATCGGTGGTCGGGCCTTCAGCCTCTCAGCCCCCAGGCTCTGGAACTCTATCCCCCAGTGCCTTCGCCGCTTCCTCCCTTTCCTCCTTCAAGGCCGGTCTCAAGACCTTTCTCTTTGACCGTGCCTTCAGCTCCCCTCTCGACTCTCTACCCCCTCCTCGCTCCCTCCCCTCACCCTGACCATTTCCCCCCTGCTTGGGTCCCGACCCAACTGTCCAGCGCCTTGGGACGTCCTCCCGATGTGAAGGGCACTCTATAAATGGAATCTTGTTGTTGTTGTTGATGGGTTTCTGCTTGTGTTAGACACCCAGGAGAGAACAAACAGAGACCATACAAGACCAGCAGGAATCCCTGGTATCCTGTGAAGCGCTTTGAGACGTCTCAACGACGTGATAAGGCACTATATCAAATGGAAGGATTATTTTTGTTATTCTTATAGCCTACCTGCTGGTGTCTGCTGTTGGAGAAGGTGTATTGTACAGCATGTGCTGGAAACCGGTTCGGTTCTGCACTGAATGGGCCCTGGCCTGTAGGGTAGCCTGAACTTGACATTTTCAGAGAATCAGTCAGTCAAAAGCCAGCTGGGAATCAAGGTCACCACGTGATCATGTTTCTTGGAAACCACCTGAAAAAAAAGATGCAAAGAAAATACATCAGGCGAGTGCTGAGACCCTGCTAATGGATGTTTTTTTTCCACATCTTCCAGTCGCCACTTAACCCTCCCACTATTGAAGGTCCTTTCAGCTGCAATAAAGATGCCTCATGACTCAAATAACATTTCTGTCAATTCTCTTTATTGTTAGCATTACAATGCAGCACATCTCTTCGAATAATGGACCAGTACTGAATAGACGTAACCTTGCCAGTCACTGTTGTTGTACAATGTTAAGGCATTCCAAGAGTTACACAGTTCTTCTGTACAAGATTTGAAGCTTCACGTTTACAACAATTCAGAATTAACATAAAAGGCGTATTTCTGCTCAACACTCCTTCAAACTCGTATTGTAGAAGCTTTGTGATTATATTTCTGGGCCCTTTCCTCATTTTGCTGAAGTACTAATACGCCCATCTTTCCAAAACACTGAAAAGTTATAACTGGGCTGAGAATAAACCCTATTTAAGCCCTCCTCACACTGTGCTCCTTCCCTTACAGTGCTGTAAATAGCTTCACTGAACTGTAGGACTTTAGGGTAAAATCCACAAAAAAATCAAATGGCTTTTTATTAAATGAATTACAATAAAATAACATTCCTGCATTTGATATCGCACCTTCCCACCTCGTCAAGAGCTTCTGAAGCAAAGTACTTCACAGGATTCACTGTAAAGTGTAGTGACTGTATTTGTGAGCCAATTTCTACATAGAAATCCCCCCATAAAACAACCATGAAGTGAATGACCAATTTTATTTGGTGAATTGTTGTCCAGGACACCAGGAAAAACTCCAGGAGAATTAGTCGTTGAGGACCAGAAAGCTTGTTGGTAAAAAGGAATACTATAAAATCATCAATATTGCTCAGAACTGATTTTTAATAATATTTTAGAAGGATTTGGTGGGGCACTGAGACATCTATTAAACCCTCCTCATGGTGTGCTACCTTTCTCGCTGGACACCATTTAAAATCTGCATTCTCTCGGATGATGGGATACGTTTATGTGTAATCCATTAGCCAACCTCAGCAGATAATCAGGCCATTCGCAGTACTCAGCTGCTAATCTGTTCTCTGCAGGCTTTCCAGACGTCTGCTTTTGGGTTTCCCTCATAATTTACACTGGATGCATCCAGCCGTGCCCAGTCAGCAATTGCTTTCACATTTACTGCGAACGGCTCATGGTCACTGTACAAGGAGTAAATTCACGCGGGGCAGTGTCTTGAAGGGCTTAACACTGGCTCTGAACCCTGGTCAGAGATGGTCACCCCCAATATCAACTTGCTATGAGCTTGGCTCAGTCAGTAGCACTGTTCCCTCTGCATGAAGGTTGTGGATTGAAGCGCCTTGGGACGTCGTCCTGTCGTGAAAGGGACTATACAAATGTAATTTGTTGTTGTTTGTGGAGTTGTTGACGGCCCACCTTGGGTTTTAAGCCTAATAAATAGGGAGCACTGCAGTGAGGAAAGCACTGTCCTTTAGGAGATGTTAAAACTGAGGTCATGTTTGCCTGTTCAGGTAGACGTTAGTGATCCAGTTATATTGTGGGGAAAAAAGAAGGGGTTTCTTGTGGGGCACTAGCCAAAAGCCATCAAGAAAAATGGGTCATTCACTTCATTGTGTCCTGCACAAAATGGCCACTTTGTTTGCCTACAAATAGTCACTAAAGTTCACAGCAATTGCCAGTGAAACATTTTGTGACGTGATGGGTGCTATATCAAATGTAAGGATTATTAGCCTAACTGTGCAGTACATCTCTCCCTCTACCTAACTCACATCAATCTTTGGATGGGTCTAATCACTCTGTTGCCCTTTTAATCATTTCTTATTTCTCTACACATCTCCAACATCCCCCCCACCCCACCAACAGTCTGTTCATGTCTGTCCTCCCTTTATCCCTACTTTATCCCTTTATCTTCTCCTCCCCCACGGGCTCCAAAACGTGACCCTTCCCCCACCCCCAACCCCACAGCCCCTCGGCCTTCAGGATCTCTGAAAGCCTCCACGTTAATATTGATAAACTTGCTATATGATCTGGAACAAACGCACCTTTGGAACAGGTTTTCTTCTACCGCCGGTGAGAAGAAGTGACTTTTACCGAAATTTCTAGCTGCATTTCAACCTACGTGAACCTTGGCAACCAAAGCCCCGTCAATTTCTGTCCACCCCAAAAAGAAATCGTACCTGCACAAAAACACATTTTTCAACTTTCAGTGAAGACATACAGTTAAACGCTGACAACACTGACAAGCTGAGCTGCTCTTCTGGCCAGCATGGATTCCAGTCCTGAGCTTGATTAAACACAGCAACAGTCAGATTCAATGCAACTGCATTACATTTAAAGGAACAGCACACATAGATGGTTTTGCCTTTTGGCTTGGTGCCTTGGCATTAGCATCTGCTGAGCACATGTTGATGAAATGAGTTTCAGAACAGCTGCCTCTTCAGAAATAAACACAAAGAAAGAGACAGACAGATTCTGTCCCACGTCACACAGTGTCAAACACAGCGACTCGTTGTTATGGAAACTCGGCAAATCAATTGCACACTTCCTGGTTGCCTACAAATGAACTTACTACTTCTGAGGAACAAACTTGGTGAATTATTCTAAAGACGCATTTTAGTTTCTTTCATACAGATTCCCACTAATATATTTTCTCTCCTCTTTCTTCCCCTCCTAAGTCCTAGATATAATGGAGGTCAGTGTCAGAGCTGCGCAATCTAATCACAACCTCAACCATTTATACCAAGAGAATTAATACTATGCAAGAGATTATACAATAACAATATTATTTGCATTTGATATAGCGGCTTTCACATCAGGTGGATGTCTCAAAGTGCTTCACAGGATTTGCTGTATAGGTTAGTGACTGTTTTTGTAGGTGAACATGGCAGCCAATTTGCACACTGCAATATCTGACAAACAGGCCACAAAGTGAATGACCAATTTATACTTGGGAGATTGTTAGCCAGGACACCAGGAGAAACTCCCTTCACTTTTCAGATAGTGCTATGAAATCTTCGAAATCTACCTGAACAGGCAGACAGTAACTTCGATCAACATCTCATCCAAAGAATGACACCTCCGACAATGCAGCACTCATCCAGCACTATATTGCAGTGTCAGACTAGAGTGAGTTATAAAGTCCTGACCCGGACTCAGAACCAACCTTCTGACAAGACATGATCTTCAGAGGCAAGAGTGCTACCAACTGAGGCACATTAACGCTCTCTCCCTCTCCTCCCACTTATCGCCTCTTCTAAAACTATGGGTGTTGTGTTATAGGCTCTTGGGCTCTTCTTATCCTGGTTCACAGAGCACTGTTCAATTGTGGGGGCTTCATAGCCAAGCTCTATCTTACACTCAATGTCCAAACTCAAGCACTTACCCGAGATCACTGGGGGACAAACCCTAGCTGATTTCCCCCCACACTAGCTCAAGAACACGGGGAGCAACTGCAACAGCCAAGTCCAACTCCCTTTCCCACTTTCTCGGTTGAGGTCACAAACTCAGGAAATCCAAGAGCAAAACCAGAGGCCCCTCTGAACTCTTTTGGTTCAGTTCAGCACCACCTTGTTTCTTTAAAGAAGAACGTTACCTTGCATTCAGAGTCCCAGCTCGAGTTAATATGCCTAACTCCCCAGGTTAATCTTCCAAATCTCAAGAGTACCAAACTCAGCGCATGATATCATACGTTAGGATGGTAGTGATGCAGGATTCAGCACGACTGGAGCCTTTTGTGTCTACAACCAATATTAACAGACCCACAAAAGTTAAACATATACCAGTGCATCGTTCTTGAAACTAGGCAGTCAATCCTATGGCGGCAGCTTTGATGTGCAATGGATTGTGTTCGACTGGAGCTGACACAGCACTAACCCTTATAATGACAGTTAAATAAGGGTAGGACAAAGCGCACGCAGCTTATTTAACCCATGGTGATAAAGTACTGTTTCAAATATTAAATTGAAAACTGTGTCTGTCATATATTTTTCGCCCCTGAAATATACAGTCAATTCACTTTACAGTATATTCTGTGAAGCGCTTTGAGACATTTCAAAGACGTGATAAGGCGCGATATCAAATGCAAGGATTATTATTATTATCCACTTTCTGCCAGAAACCTCTAAAATAATTGCAAATGAAAGAATGAGACATTTTAAGAAAACACTGAAAGACACCAGATGTGGGTAGTCCTGTTTATGGTGCAATGCAGCAGTGTAGACAAGAGAGAGGTGGACGGAGTGAGCTGGTCCTAGTCCAGTAAATGAAACGGGATTCAATTAAAAACCTCTTCCACAGTAACCCCAACAATAACAGACCGGTGAGGAGCGAATTGGAACATCGAGTTAGGAGATGATGAATGCGCAGATAATATAAATGCGAGTTGTTGTTGTGAAGCACTTTGAGATGTCCTCCCAAAGTGAAAGGTGCTATACAATGCTGAGTATTTTTTTATAATTTATTAAGGCACTATGTATTTTTATTTTGATTGCAATGATTGGGCTGCAGAAGCCCTTTGCAGCAGGGACCAAGAAATGAAATACACGCAGAATTTTAAAACTTACAATCACGAACCACAAATCCAATAAACAATGTGTCTAGTTTTTAATTGAATTACATTGCAAAACTCCCGTCACATTTGTATTGCTACCACTGATGTTGGTATCAACTGCGCTGGAATAAGGTTCGTCAATCCTTTTGGGATGAAGGCAAATACACACATCTGTAAAACTCCAAAGCACACTTCCATCACTAAGTCACAAGAGAGGTTTGGATGAAGCAGCCCATTTGATCACATCCTTCCTGAGCACCAACTCTATCATCTTTCCATTCCAGCATTAAGATGCGTTTTTAAATGAGTCCAATATCATGCCCTCTACTCCCTCTTTCTGACATGTTCCAGTTGTTGTTTTTCTTCTGTGAAAAGAAACTGCTCCCACTTCCACATCCTAAAATTGTACTTTACACCTGAACCTGTCTCTTGTCCTGTAACCTTGATATACTTGAAATTATTGGTCTGGGCTTACTCTCCCTATACTGTTAAGCATCTTATACAGTAAAACTCACAGAAGTCATATCAGTTGGGACCATAAGACTTAATATGAGTTACGCAAAGGTTTCTATGGTTTAATCCTCTTTCAGATTATCCAGCATTCTGACACGCAGACACAGATTTGCTCCTGATTCAGGAACAATTTTCCTCAACAATTGTAGTAAAAACAATGGGACTAAATTCAATGTTCCATAAGCCTTCATTAAAAATGTGTGGATGTGGCAGAGGTCCACAAATTGCATACTATACTGATTTTAGTCCCAGGGCCACTCATTTCTTCCTCCTCCTCATCATCATAACATTCTGGTTCAGAGTTAAATACTCAAATGTTTAAGATACCAATTGTTTTAATCCAATATAAGACCACTGATTTAACAAGCATAGTCACCAGAAATCATTAATTATTCATGCCCATTCTTATTCAAGTTGTAGGCTTGAAATGATTATATATTTTGTGAAGCGCTTCAAGACGTCTCAATGACATGATAACGCCCTATATCAAATGCAAGTTTTTTTTTATTATTGTTATATGCTTTTCCTCAAGAGACATATGCATGTTCTTCTACGTATATGGCTTCAACATTCTTAACTTCAATTCAAGGACAATAGCTGTCTGGTCTAACCACCTGTCTGCCACCAAATCCTGGACGAGACCTATACCTCCGTTAACAAGACTGAGGGCATCTTGTTTGCCTCTCATCATCACAACCCACTTAAATCTGACTCTAATTCCTATAAATTCCCCATTTGCTTAACCAGGTAACATATGGTGGTTTGCAACCTTATCATTCGCACCACCTCTGCCATCGAAGCCCTTATTCATGTCTTTGCCATCTCGAATACCGATTTCTACAATGTCCTCTGTTTACCTAGCAGTAAATAGGAAACCTGTTGTTAGTCGATTGGCAGATCACTCTCCGGGGGTAATAATCCCTTTAAAAAAAAAACAGAATTTGGTCACTCATTCCACGACTGTTTGTGGGACACTGCTGTGCACAATTGGCTACCGTGTTTCCCCACAAAATATAGTCAATTTAATTTACAGTGTATTCTGCAAAGTGCTTTAAGAGGCATAATAAGGCGCTATAACAAATGTAATGATTATTATTATCATAGTTCCTCCCAATAATCACACCTCCAAAACCATAGTTACTACACTTTACAGTAAATCCTGTAAAGAACTCTGAGATGTCCTTCTGATGTGAAAGGTGCGAATATCAAATGCAAAGATTATTATAGCATTATAAATATTCCTTGCATTTGATATAATGCCTTATCACATCAGCAAAACATGTCAAAGCTCACAGGATTCATTCTAAAATGTAGTGACTACTTATTTGTAGGCAAACTCAGCAGCCAATTTGCACACTGCAACAAAGTCATGAATTGAATGACCAATTTTATCTGGAGGGTTGTTAGTCAGATTATTGGGAGAAACTCCCTTCTTTTCGGACAGTGTCACGGGATCTTTAACGTCTGTCTGAACAAGCAGCAGGAACCGCTGTACAACATCTCCAGGAACGGTTGGTGGCAGCGAAAGAGGCATTCAGTAACTGAAAGCATTCAACGTTCAATTCAGTATTCGCCGCAGGACAGACCAGACCCGTAGTAACACCACAACGAGACCCTAATGTTTATGTCTCCACAGCACTTCCATTTGTAAACCAGAACACTTGCAATCTTGGCATGCTCCAGTTTACAACTCACAGTATAAAGAACACTCACCAAAGTACTGTGGTTTCTCCCAGAGCTGTGATTATTAGTCTGCCAAGTCCACTTTGCTTATCACTACTTCAGCTTTACGTTATGTTGCTCAAAATGTTCAGTCCAGATAGAAAGACAAACATCTGCAAATTATATATATTGGTCACTTTTCACAGTTCAACTAAACAACACATTTCATCATAATTATTTTACCTCAATCCTAGTTTTTTTTTTAAAAAAAGCCTGCAGTGCAGTAAAGCTCATACGCCGAACCAATCACTAAAACCCAAGCCACAAAACCATCTCTAACTTCACCTTCATCAAATCCTGCAACATTCAGCCTTGCGTTAGTAGTCGTGTTTCAAATATAAAAGCAGAGGTAACAGATTGTACGCGGTCTACAAAGGTTTACAAAAAATTGTTCGCACTGTTCTCCAGCACAAATGCTTTGGGTGCAAAGCCATCGATACTAACAGCAAAGGCAGCATTGTTGGCTCTGCTGAACACCAGCCCCCATCAGATGAAGGCTCACCTCAGCCCTGGTGTCATGGAGGCACCAGCAGGGGACAGAAGCTTCCTGGGAAGGAGTCACCCCCCCACCCCCAGCCCACCCCACCCCCAGCCCTTCCCACACAGCTTACACAGCCCCTACTCAACAGCAGGATCCAAACTCTCCTTTTAGGACCACACGCTGGAAGAAGATACCCCCAGGGGCAGGCAGGGCGCTGGGAGCATAACGCTGCAACCCAAAAAGGTTGCAAACCTGCCCAAAATCAGGACTCTGCCGAGTCTTGTGCGTTTTTCCCCTGAAGGGCCGGTTTCAGAAGCCGCCTCTCCAGCCCTAAACCTGCGACCACCACAGCAGCACAAGGCTGGAGGCGGGTGCACCCCCCCGGACCGGGGCTGACCAGGCGGGTCTCCCACTCGCAGAGAGGAGGAGGCGGCGCCGGTGCGGACGTATCGATTCATTCAAAGAAACAGCGGATAATCGACGAAAACGCTCTTTTCCCCCATTCCATTCCCAGTCAAATCTGTGATAGCACCACCAGTGCAAAGGTGCGGGCATTCACTTCCTGCTCCAGCAGCAGCAGTCTGCAGTCTGCAGTCTGCAGGCAATAATATCACAACAAACAAGGACCACTGGGTTTACTGCCTGCCACATGGTGCTGGCCAGCCGGCCGGGGAGTCCTGGTCTGCATTGACCCCAAACGATCCTGTTGCCACAACGTGTGCACTGCATACTGCACCCGCCGCACGTACACAAAGTGAATAAGACTGCAGAACAGTCAACTGTGTGGGGGGGAGGGGGTGGGGGTTGGGTTGGGAATCTGAGCAGCGTTTGGAAAACGAGATGTAGGGTGATTTTTTAGGGAGAGAGAGAGAAAGAGAGAGAGAGAGAGAAAAAAAAGAGCACTTCATTTGTTTTAAAACCGACACGTTGTCTCAACGTGGGGCGATGCAGTGTTTTTGGGCTCAACCAAATAATTAGGAGATGTATCCTGATACCGGTCTCCATACATTCCCCCAGCACCGATTTTTCACCAGAGCCTTGAACTGTTCTTTGGACCAGTCGTGTACGTGAAACAGAAGAAAAAAAAAGGGGGGGATGAAAGACAAGACAATGAAACGTTGCCCCCCCTTTTTACATCAGGGCCTCTTCGGTCTGGTGCTGGTGGTGGTGGTCGTCGTCTTCCACTGGATTTCTAAGATGCTTTTATAACGTTATGAAGGGGGAAAAAATGCCAATTCAAGAGCGAACTGGGACATGAATGGAGTGTACGCCTCTTATTATCAACGTCGAACAGATTAGATAGAGAGATAGATAGATAGATAGAGATAGATAGATAGATAGATAGATAGATAGATAGATAGATAGATAGATAGATAGATAGATAGATAGATAGATAGATAGATAGATAGATAGATAGATGGCCACATCTCCTCCGATCGTCACGTTTTGCCAGAGCACAGTGCAAAAGTGATGGAAATAAAAATTAAACCCAGACTGGAGAGAGAGAGAGAGAGAAACCCCGCCCTCCAACCCCTCCTGATCCCAATCCCCCGACTGACTGCCCGGCGCCTTGGGACGTCCTCCCGACACGAAAAGGACCGCCGGACATGTCGGGAGGACGTCCCCGAGGAGCGACTCCTGACCTGGAGATTAACGTTAAAAGCTGAAGGGTTGGGGGGGTGGGGGGGAGGGGGAGGTGTGAGGAGCTCCCGGCTACACTCACCCTGTGAGCCGCCCGAAGACTCGGCCGCAGACTCCGGCTTCACTGTCCTGCCCCCCCACTCCCCACTCCCCCCAGTGAGCTCAGGGGCCTCACAGGGCCACTCGTCCTACCCGTGGAGGTGCTCGGCGGTCGGTGGTCGGGACCCCCAGCCAGGCCGCCGCCACCAACCCCCTCGCGGGCGTGTCCTGCTCGGCGGGTGGGCCTCCCGGGGCCCCGGGCTCCCCTGTCCGGTCCGGTCCGGCTCTAATCCCGGTGGGCAGCCGCCGCCATCTTGAATGCGAAAGGCTGAGGCGAGAAGCCGAGCTGCTGCCGCGGGGCGGGGGCGGAATATGGCGATCGTCAGCGAAAGCGGCTTCAGCATTTGAGCCGCGCCATCCCCGCGGGCCCCGGGGTCTGGGCCGCTGGCGCTACCCCCGGTGTGTGTGTGTGTGTGGGGCTCCGCTCGAGGTGCCGCCGCCGCAGCTCCGGCCGCTTCTGACCCCGTTTCTTTCCGGACCCGATTCCGTCAGACACGCGGCGCTCTGCGCATGCGCCAGGTCCTCACCGGGGGGAAGACGGAGCCGAGCGGTGGCGCCCCGCGGGTCAGCGGTGGCCCCGGGGAACGGCTCCCGCCCACCCATCGCCAACCGCGGGCGCCCCGGGGCGCTCGGGGCCCCGGTACCCGGTCCCTCCGGTGATGGGGCGCTGGTCACGCTCCTTCTGTATGTCCCAACAGGGACCCGGCGGTGTAACAGTAATGTCGTCCGGAAGACAACAAATGCTCTGGAAACCCCCCCCCCCAGAGAGCCCCCCCTCCCCTCCCCGCTCCCTCCACCCCCCAGCGCGAGATTATGCCCATCGGGGCGGCCTCACTGGGGGTCAGTCACGGGACCCCGGGTTTGACTGATGCGGCAGTGGGGTCTCTCGGGGGAGGTGTGGCCCCGCGGGGCGAGACGGGGCGGAACGTTCGTGCGGGGCGGCGGGTGACGGTTGGCGGATGGAGCGCGTGGGGAGGAGGTGAGGTGTGCGCGGTGGCGCGGTTGCCCGCTGCCATGGAGACGCCGGGCCTGGCGGGAGCCGGGCTCCTGGCGGCCGCTCTCTGCCTCGGCCTCTCTCTGTGGATGCGGAAAATCAGCGGCGAAATCAGGGGACGTGAGCGGCAGCGCCTGGGCTTGTGGTTGGCGCCGGCGGCGGGAGAGGGAGAGGGCGCGGCGGCGGGCGGGGGCCTGTCCCCGCCTGTGACCGGGGGCCTGAGGCCGGCGCTGCTGGTGATCGCTCACCCGGACGACGAGTGCATGTTTTTCGCTCCGGCCGCGGTCAGGCTGGTGGGCTGCGGGGTCCCCGTGCGGGTCCTGTGTTTGTCGGCAGGTAATGGCGGCGGCTCGGCCCTGCGAGATAACTGCGATGAAGAGCTGTCGGTCGTTCCCACTTGACAACCCGAGGCCGCGCAGTGACGGGGCGGAGGGAGAGGCAGCTCTGCTCTGCTAACATTTCTGGAGTCCTGTAGCTCAGTGGTTAGAGCACTCGCTTTGCGAGTGACAGACCTGAGTTCAATTCCAGGCAGAGGGCGAAACCTCGGGCAAGTTTCCTTACTCCACACAGAGCCTAATAATAATCCCTCCAAAAAACCCAAAACAATAATAAATTGGTCATTTTCAATCCACGACTGTCTGTGGGACATTGCTGTGCGCCATTGGCTGCCGCGTTCGCCCATAAATATAGTCAATTCACTTTACAGTGTGTTCTGTGAAGCGCTTTGGGACGTCAGGAAGACGTGAAAAGCGCTATATCAAATGCGAGGATTATTATTATTGCTGTGGCTGACCGGGTGGAGAGTCCGGGCGGGGATTCCTCCCAGGGTGGGGGGGGGGGGGGGGGTAACAGGGTCAAAGCCGTCACTGGGAGGGAAGGGACGATTCCCGCTCCGCTCCTGTGAACACTGCAAACCGAAGCCCTAACGGTCGGGGGTGGTCCTTGGTGGGCGGCGCTCACTCACACACCGGGTGGTTTCAGCTCGTTACACTGCCATAGTACCCCCCAACACACTCTGGGGTCCCCAAACCTCAGCTCTCGCCAACCTGAGCCTAATTCCCTCCGGGATGAGGTAAGCAGTATATGTCCCCCCCCCGGGGGGGAGGGGGAGGGGGGAGCATTCACATTCCCTCTACACGCAGGTGTCCAGCCTCGACATCTGTCTGATGTGGACACTCTTTGGCTGGTGATAGATCTGCACGTGTGTCAGACACTCAGCTGATCAAAAAGAAAACCTTATCCCACAGCCCATGCTGTTGCCGACTTGGCCTGGGAGGACCTGTACCGCGTGTCGCGGTACAGATGTTCAATATTCAGCACAATGCCTTTCGCTGACGGCTCCCAGATAAACATTGATTGAGTTGTTAATTAATCTTCCCTGTGAGTTATATGGAGAAGAGGAGTGCATCGCAGATTCGTCCAGCTTTTTAATAGAGGCTGATTCGGAACGCTACCGTTGCAAGCCCGTTGCTAACAATGAATAACTTCACTGCTTGAAAGTTATCAAACGGGACGTTTAGCAATGGCGGAGCCAGGATTTGAGGAATGAGGAAAGAGAGCGATTTCCTATTGAAGAGCCAATAAACTAGTATCACTCTATCTGACGTCTGGGTCACTTCACTCTCAGCTCTGATTAAATAAATCTAATCGCCAATTTGTGATGTAAAACAGATGGAAAATATTACTACTTGTTTTAGGTACGTTTAATATTTTCCAGCAAACGGTATTTGAGCCACTTAGCTCTCTATCTGAGGTATCCCATTCTCCCATTTGCCAAAATTGCAGCCAAAGTCTTTAACGTTTAGAGAAAACAGATGTAATTAAATTATTACTGTTTCAATGTGAATACAATACAGTACTATTTTTGTTGGTTTGTCAGCCTGATCTGGTCACACACGGACACTCATCGCCATTCTGTGTCCAAAGCAAACTGAGAGTTTCATCTTTGCATGGAAATTTCCCTGTTATGGAATAGAATGAGAGCACCCTTCCAGGAACGACACACCCTACTTATCTAATTCCAGAGAGTATAAGATGCAGGTTAACTCCAGAATATGCATTGGTGTATCACTGAGATTTAATCAGCTGAACCGACATAGCTTGGCATTGAGAGCACTGTCTTTGTCAAGCTTTCCTGCTGCTTGTCCAGCAGTACTGATCCCTGCCTATACCAGGCAGCTCTTGCCCTTATTGTACCACACTGACATTCAACGTCAGCTCTTTGAATTTTCTCTGAAAAACCCAAATGAATGGATTTTAATAACCTAATTAATTGAAATCCTGGTAATGATTATTTTTAATTAATTATAATTTTCCCAAACCGTTGAGTCTCTACATTTGGTGATGTTTTAACTATAATATATACTTTGCACGGTTCTGCAACAAAGCAAAGCAGCATTGTAATAAACCACAAATCCACAATGACCGGTCTTGACTAGATTTTTATCACCAGAACTATATATAGAACAACTAAGATTTAAAACAGGTTATTTTCCTGATTTTAAGATAAATAATGAGTTAACGTTGTGTGGATGTTCTGTATTTTTTGCACACCCTCAGTGCTGTGAAAGTGAGAAACTGCGGCTCTTTGATGCTTTCAGGGAATTTCTACAATCAAGGGGAGATTCGTAAGAAAGAGCTACTGGAGAGCTGTGGTGCTCTAGGAATCTCCTTGTCCCATATAACCGTCCTAGACCACAGGTAGGTGACTGCTGCAGTGTTAATTAAAAACACATTTGCACTGTCCTGAGGGTTTCGGCAGCCTGCGGAGTGAGACAGTGGCAGAGCTGGGTGATTATTGGGGAGGTGGGGGAAGGCAGAGTGGGTTATGGCGCAGCCAACTGTACCTCTCTACCTCTGTCCTCACCTTCAAAGCCCTCCATGGTCTTGCTCCCCCGACCTCTGTGATCTCCTAACCCCCTACCATCCTGCTCACTCCCTCTGCTCTGCTTCACGTTCCCCACCTCACTTGCCCCACTATTGGCAGGTGGGCCTTCTGTCACTCTGCCCCCACTCTCTGGAACTCCAACCCGCAGTCATGCCACCTCACCCCCTCCCTTGCTTCCTTCAAGACCCATCTCAAGACCCTCCTCTTCGACCATGCTTTCGATCTCCCTGCTTCCCCACCCTGTGCCCTCCTCCCCCACCCCCCACCGATTCCGACCCCCAGCTCGGGTCCGAAACTCTGTCTGTCCGGTACCTTGGAACGTCCTCCTGATGTGAAAGGCGCTATACAAAATGTAATTTTGTTGTTGTGGTTGTTGTCTCACCTAAAGCTCTTAGTACTGGACCTCCATGCCCAAGATTTAAGCTTTGTGTTTTAGAGAATTCACTGTGGGTTACAAAGTGCTTGTTTGGATGATCTTTCTGTAATAAAGTGTGTTGTATTACGCAAACACAACGCACAATCTCTTGTGGCAGAGTGTGTTCACAACATTCCCAGGAATGCCTTTGTCTTGGCAATACCAATGCCAACTTTCTTTGCTTGGCATCCACATGCCAAGTTCTAGATGGCGGCATTCCATTCAACTAAGCTATGGGTTATTTTTCTCCCCTCCTTAGCCATTTTTCAAACCTCTTTTGCTGCTCTGGCTGGCATCAACTAACTCAGGTCATCAATGGAACCTTGACCTTTCTGGCTTTACTGGCTTAGTAGTACACTGATTTATTTATTTTATTCATTCATTCACTGCCATCAGGGAACACTTTTATCTTTTTTTAAAAAATGTTAAATGCAGAGTCAATAGAACATCAAACTAATTCTTTGGAATATGGTCATGCTTGATGTGTGTGAAAAGATATTGGGTCATACCAACTTACATAGAGTTACATAGAGTGATGTGGCATGGACATAAGCCATTTGGCCCAAACTCCTGATGTTTCTTCTACACAAACCCCTTACCTATAAATCATAATAATAATAACGCGATCAGGCTGTATCAAATACAAGGATTATTATTATGATAAAGGCATGATCAAAGAAAGACTTTTAAGAAAGTTTTGAAGGCAGAAGGGAAGGTACAAGAGAAAGGCAATCTTTTGTGATGAGATAAATCGGGAAGGCGTCCCAAAATAATTCACCAATAATAGGTTGAGGTTTTTCCTCCTAATTCATCTTTGCTTCAAATGACCTATTATATAGAGAAACGTTTGCATTTGAGGGTTAATTGTTTTATGGGGAGCCTTGCTGTTTCTCTTCATGGCTCCCTGGCTCTGTCAATGTTTAGCAATGAACATGCTAATACTGAGCTTTATGCTTGAATAGGAAGGCTGCGCTGACAGCCCTCCTATCCTGGGGCATTCTGGGTTCTATTATAATCGGTAGATACGTGCACTGTGCTCTGATGCATTAGCAGTGAACTGACCTGACCCTGGGCTCTGTGATGCTAAAGGAAGTGCTGGATGGATTGCTTTGACAGCACGCTCGGAGGTCCTGCAGACTCACAACATGCTGCTGCTTTGCATTCTGCAGCAAGACACTTTGTTCACCCGTCCGCGAGGACTTCTCGCGAGCTAGGTTCCCCGTTTGATTAAAACTTTAACGTAAAGACCATCAATGTAAACCACAAGCAGAGATACCTTCACAATCTGCCTCACAGATGTCACATTTGCTGTTTAGTAGTAATAATAATAATCCTTGCATTTGATACAGAGCCTAATCACGTCTTCGAGACGTCTCAAAGCGCTTCACAGGATAAACTGGAAAGTGAATTCATTGTATATTTTGTGGGCAAAACAATGTGCCGGTACATCAATTTGTTGTGACGCAGTCCAGCTGTGTATTACCTCTGTTCAGGTGTTGACAGACTGACTGGCCACCTCTTAGCTCTTTTTAGCTTGAACCTCTATTCAGAAGGCTGGCTCACTGCAGCTGCAGGGAGGTGATGGGCATTAGCATTGGCGAGGAGCCCCTGGACAACATACGCTGCTGCTATGTTGTGAAGCGCAAGGAAATTCCTACATCCAACCACAGTAGTGTGGCCACACCGAGGTGCTGCACTGCACTGCACTGCTGGGGCCCCTTGAGTTGCAGAGTCTGTGTGTCTGTTGGAGACTGCATTCTGGGGACTGCTCCACATCAACATATTTAATTCGTTGTGTGACCTTGTCTCCCAAGGCAGTCAATAAAGACTGTTGCTGACAAGTCTCCTTTTATACACAATCTTGGAGGCTGTATTGGTGTGCCCCGCGAGACCATAATAGATTTATCAATCGTAAAGAACCCTCCCCACAACCACCCACCCACATACACACACACAGACACCCACCCACCCCCTTCCTGTAGGTCAGAGTTCAGCAGCTGCATTTCAGAAGCCACAGGCTATAAAATTAGCATGAGAAGCGCTCGCTCGCTGCCAGAGGTTACTCCGGGTCATTGGTGCTGTTGCCATGGCAAAATCATTGCGTAAGGTCTTGCTTTCCTGGAGCAGTGTTGTGAAGTGCCATCTCTTGCTGGCAGCAGTTCAAAGCATTTGGCTTGACAATGTTTAACTCTTTGACGACTGAGGATTTTATTGAGCGAAAGTTTTTTTTNATTCAGGCCCCGACCGCAATCGACTAACAACCAGATTCCTACTTACTGTGAGCAAAACAGAGGCGTGTGCAGTAAGGAAATCTGCCCAACGTTTCGCCCTGCCTGGGAATCAAACCTAGGTCCTCCCGCTTGCGAGGAGAGCGCTCTAACCACTGAGCTACGGGACTCCGTATGTGAGCTGTTTCCTCAGCAAAATTATAACCTTCTGACTCATTCTATGGCTCAGTTTGCAGCATTCTCGCCTTTGGGTCAAAAGGTTGATGGTTCTTGCCGCATACCAGGTCTTGACATTATGTAGGGTTATGATCATAACCTGGAGGAAGTTCTGCATTGTCAGACACCAATTTTTGGATGAGATGTTAAACTAAGGTTGGGATGTTAAACCAAGCCTCCACTGTGACCACTCTAGTGCTGAGCTAACTCAGGCCAGATCAACTCAACACAGACCGGGGATTGAACTTGGGACCTTAAAAAACAGACATATCTCAATTTTACCCCTTTCATTCCATCCGGTCTTAAGGAGTAAATAGCTTTTGCGTGTGATGGCTTGGAGTCGTGCTCCGCCACTGTCAAGCACTCTGGGACGCTACCCTACACAAGCTGTTGTTGTTGATGGACTTGACCCTTGAACCAAATGTGATTCACAGCAAGTAAGTTCTAGATGTAAATACTTCTCTTGATGGATTGTGTATTTGGTTTGTGATTAATTTCCCTCCCTGGCCCCAATCCCCCTCCCTCCCCCCTTCCACCCTCTTCTGCTTGTGACCCAGTGACCTCCGCAGGCTCTGATTTATACATTGATCCATCACCCTGCCTGACTGCAGTAACTGCTGGAGCTCCACACTAGAAGCTGTCAGGATCCTTTTGAAATCCTCTGTATAATGGGTGCACTGTGACCTTGAGCTAACAACCGAGCCTCCAGAAATGCTTGACCAAGATATGATGCAGAGAGAACTTAATTTTTCAAATGATTCACTTTACAATTCAGAAAACACAATGATGATGCACTCTTTTTCCTTATTGACCTACATAGACTGATTGGTGCTGTGCAGTGTGTTTGGGGAGTCTGGCATGCAATGTCAGTGATGGGTCACGTCTGGAGTTGGGCATGTGAGTCCTAGGGTTTGAATTTTAGGTTCCAAAGGTCGGGGTCAGGCAGTGTCAGGAGTCCTGTAGCTTAGTGGTTAGAGGACCCGTCTCGCAAGGGAGAGAACCTAGGTTTGAGTTTCCTTACTCCACACGCCTCCAGCAGTAAGTAGGAACCTGGTAGTTAGTTGATTAGCGGATCTCATTTCCGGGGGTAATAATCCCTTTTAAACATAATTTGGTCACTCAATCCATGACTGTTTGTGGGACACGGCTGTTCTAAATTGGCTGCCTGGTTTCACCCACAAAATATATAGTCAATTCACTTTACAGTATATCCTGTGAAGCGCTTTGAGATGTCTTGAAGACGTGATAAGGCGCTATATCAACCGCAAGGATTATTATTATTATTTTCGCCCTTTCCTGCAGAGATCTTCCGGATCATCCAAGAGTGCAATGGGACCGGGACCTTGTCTCGTCACTTATCTTGAGATACATCCAATCGCATCACATCGGCCTGGTGAGAATCCAAGATCTGCCTCTGTACTTTTAACCCCTTTGTGGGTCCCCTCAACACTCACTTTCCGTCTATTACCTCGGAGAATTACTTTTTTTAAAAAAATCTGTCCCCTTATTCTAAAGCCTTTCAAATCGATGCCATTTTAATTGTGTTCTTATTGTCATCCATTTTGCCTTTTTAGCACTGCTTATTTTCTAAAGTCCTCTCAGGTTTCTCTGGTTCTGTTGTGTTGTCGGTTTCTTACCGAACACCACACACCCTTTGCTCACACAGATGTCTCCAGTTATCAGTGTAAAGCGCCCTCCGGTGGTGGATCTTATTAGAGCACAGTGAGACCCACTGCAGGGAGGTCTGGGTGGTATAATTGCCATCCCACGCGCACAATTCCCAACTCCCAACTTTGCTCATCCTGATAAAGAAGGCCAAGGAAAATTCCCCTTTGCAGTCCTCTCACTTCATAGTATATTCTGTGCAGCGCTTTGAGACATCTCAAGGACGTGATAAGGAGCTATATCAAATGCAGGGATTATTATTATTGTAAGGCGATGTATTGAGTGAGTGTCATTCATTGTTGAAATGTACTCTGTGAATACATCTTCCTGTCTGTTTCTTAAACCCTGGACAGTTTAAAAATAATTTGCGTCTTAATTCTGGGAGCAGCAATGCCCCCTCCTGTTTGATGTATGACAAACTTCATCTGAAATGCTCAGTTACTAGAAACAATGGGCTCTATCTGAACAAACAAGGGAGCTCACCACAACATGCACTGCTGCCACTTCCTCTGAATTACTCTGGTCCAGATACAGAAATGGTTACATTTAAATAGTTATTTTCATATAAACGAAGAAGCCCCAGCACTGACTGAAGCCAAGTGACTTTTGTTGTGATTCTTGGATGGCCCACTTCCTAAAGAGGAAGAGAAAGTCTGCTTTGCGTTTTAGAAAGTTTACCAACGCTGCGGTTCGTGTCTCAGACAGAAAACGCTGGAGCCAGGAACAATAAGGAAATGATTGGTTTTCCATTCCTCTTGCATTGGCCAAGTCAGAAGGTTGGACAGTTTGCAGTTTGGGTCCCAGGCGTTTTGCTTTTGCAAATAATGAGGCAGATTTCCTCCTCCACTCTGGAGATTACTTGGGAGTATTCCTTGTTTATTTTGGCTCCATTACAAACAGGCAGCAGTGAAGCTCTTCAAGTTACTGTCTCAGAGGGTGATTTGTAGTTTTGCATCAATGAAGATTAGCATTCTGTGCTGTTTATATAATGACCTTTGAAGAGATGGGTCATTGTGTGAAAGACAGCAACAAAAGAGAATTCAAATCTGCATGTTGTCCCTCACTGTGTTCATCATAATTTGATGAATCACTAAAGCTTGAATTTGTTTTCTTGCGGTCCCCAGATGGGGGACTTCCCTCCTGTTCCGAATTAGTTCAGTTACATAAATAACCCACTTACACAGTCCTGTGTCTCAAAACTCTGGTATAATCCAGACCTTCAAGCCAGCCCTAATGTTGTGCTGCCAAAAGGCCGGAAGGCGACACAGGCACACCGGTTCCAAGCTTATAACGCCTCCACCTTCATCTCAGTATGACCTCGACATCCATAACCGCGCAAAGTTAAAACTACACTTGATCCTAGGCTGAAAATCACTGAAACTGAAGCAAAGCTCTCTCACCAGAGATGTATCCTTTCGCAACTCCTGATCTCTCCTCACAGTGCCATGGAGGCAAACCAATGCCACGGGGCATCCGTCTGTAGTCATCACATCAACAATTTTTCCTGCCTTCTCAGGTCCTTGTGGTAATAAGGTTTTATGGCAGAGACCAGTTCACCCGGCCCTGGGATGAAGTCTGTAATAAAAGAGAGGGTGGATTGAAAAATATGGAAACACTCATTTAAAAGCAGTTTGTGGCATCTCTATGGTTAATGCCACCAGCCCCATCCCAGTTGGGGGGTGCACACCTGTCACCTGTCCCCACCTCCCGTAGTACTGTGACTGGTTATCAGGATGTGAAAAAATGAAACTTGCTGCACCTTTTATGCACAGCAGTATCTTTTTGCACTAACGCCTGGTCAAAATCTTGCCTTTAAAAACGTCAAAATACAATTGCAAAATAGTTTGTTCCTTGTCAGCAGACTGTTATAGCTAAGATCTCACCCTTTGCTATGTCATAGGTACTAACATTCGATGAAGGAGGAGTGAGCGGACATGTCAATCACATCGCTGTCTACTATGCTGTCAGGTAAGTAGTGAATTGTGCCCTTTTTGAGCACTCTTCTCTCCTGGAGTGCTGCGGACGCTCTTTGCTCAGGAGCCAGATTTCCGAGACACACCAAACAGGGTTCACTCAGTTTGAATATTATGTTACCAAACACGTTTGAGGGGTACGACGATGTTCATCAACTTGTTCAAGAAAAGGTGGGGAGCAAGAGGTTTCTGTGGATGTTACCTGGTTAAAATCCAATAGGAATTTTGAAAATTGAACAGTTCGGTGCTGAAGGGGTTAACACGTTGCCGCTCGCAGTCTGGGAAATGTCAGCATGTCTGGAGCCCCCAGGGCCTGGAACGCTGCTCTCTGCTCTCGTGTTCTACCCTTTTCTTGCTCCACTGCACGAACCAGTGACCTTCAGCCCTAGTGACATTTCTGCCTCCTGTCAACAAGTCTGTGGCTGTATCGGTGCCAGCAAAGCCTTATCGGGAAACAAAATTGGATAAAGAGTACCTGTATTCTGAGAGTTGGATGCCCTCTGATTGCATGTTGGGGATGGGTTTGTATACAATCTTTTGAAGAATGAAGCTTTGTACAAAAAGCCAAGGTCACAGACTCGTTCACCTCCCATTTTCTCAGACCATTGCAACTTATTGCAGGTGATCGGAAAAGCAGGAATATTGTAATTCTCAGAAATTTGTGTGGAGAAGGCAAAAAATTGCTACCTGCAGACCTTTCGCCTTCAAAGCCCTCCATGGCCTTGCTCCTTCCTAACTCTGCGACCTGCTAACGCCATATTAAAATGTGTTAAGCTACAAAAATAATAGCTGTAAACATTTATGTAGTACAGCACAGAACTAATGAATGTTTGACTTTGCTGAACCTAAGCATCAGGTATCTGCTGAATATTGATTCCTATAAAAAGTCAGGACATGGGGGTGTTACTGAACATAATTGTGCTTCGGTATTGGTGAGTCAGTATTGGCAAGAACACTTTAAGCCTTTCCACCAAAAGGGATTTTATAAAAGGGTTTTTTTTTTGTCATTTTTTTTTTGTCGATCCTATTGGCAAATGAATTGATCCACGTGACCAATGCTCTGGGCACTTTTGTGCTGTGCTGCTCAGCAAGATAATGTCATTAGCCAGGTGGTTCAACTCCCCCGAGCAAAACCTGATCCTGCAATGGCTTGGGCGAACCATTGGGTGGGGCACGAGGAGAGATGATGAGAGATGTTTTTTCAGGCAGTCAGAGAAAGGTGCTGCCCAAATGGTACATGTTATGCTCGACTCACAGAGTAGCAGCATTAGACCCATTAGACCTGACTGAGCTGGAGGATGGAATGTGCCGCACTGTTAGGTGAGGAATAAAAATGTCACATAGGGAGGGAGTCCTGTAGCTCAGTGGTTAGAGCACTCGCTTTGCAAGCGAGAGACCTGAGTTCAATTCCAGGCAGAGGGCGAAACCTTGGGCAAGTTTCCTTACTCCACACAGAGCCTAATAACAATCCCTCCAAAAAACAAAAACAACAATAAATTGGTCATTTTCAATCTACGACTGATTGTGGGGACATTGCTGTGCGCAATTGTCTGCCGCGTTCGCCCACAAATATACAGTCAATTCACTTTACAGTGTTTTCTGTGAAGCGCTTTGGGACGTCGAGAAGACGTGAAAAGCGCTATATCAAATGCAAGGATTATTATTATTGTATCTAACGCCTGTTGTCCTTTTACAGGAAGCTTTGCTCAGAGCGGAAGCTACCGGTGGGTAAGTGATCCGCGATATACGTCCATTATTGTACATTGGATATGTGCTCGGATTAGTGCAGCGCGTTTGTGAGCGGAGGTGCTTGATCTACCGCTGGGCTATTCCTGGATCTACTTAGTGATTTCAGAAAATGAATTGAACTGCTTCTGCCTGCCTCTCGCAAAAGACAAAGTATCCAGAACCAAGACAACCACGGTCTGTATTTAACATTCAGCCACTCTCTGATCCTGTTTAGGGTGCCGGGTTCTTGTACTAGAATCCACCAACATCATTCGGAAATACATCTCCATCCTGGACCTGCCGATCAGCTGGCTAAGACCTCATGATATGATATACATATTATCTAGTGAGGAATATCAACAGGCCAGGGTAAGCAATTCATTTTGTGTCCTTTGTTATTTTTTGTTTTACATCTTGTTTTATCCTCCGTGCTGTGTCCTAGAAAAATACAGTCACTCCAATCTCCATTACATCCCTTGAAGCGCTTTCAGACATCCTTCCAATGTAAAAGGCAGAGATACCAAACATGAGGATTATTATTATTTCATGGAGTTTTTCTTTGTTTATGACTCTGTTTAAATGTTATGCATTCAGCCACATTTAGGCCTGAAATATTCAGCAGCTTTTATCTGTGGAATAAACATACTGGGAGTGCATGTGGGAGCTTTACTGTAATAGAAAATTATTCCATTCCTGTCACTGATAGCTCTCATGTTATTGAGCAGAAAGTTGTATTGTAACTGTTTTTTGTTTCAGAACGCTATGCTCTGTCATCGAAGTCAGCTGCTCTGGTTCCGCCATATCTACCTACGAATTTCTCGTTACATGCTTATAAATACACTGAACCAAATTTCCTGATAAACTTCGGATCAGGATCATTGCCCTTCAAATGTATTGGATTCTGTTTATCAAAGTGATGAAAAATCCTGTTTTTCTGGGCAGTTTGATTCTTTGCAGAGATGTTTGAAGATAGTGGGGAAAAAAGCCCAAAACAATATTATCAATAAGCACTTTAATACAAGTCTGAGCGGTATCTAGTACATGAATACCAGGCACAAAGTGTCTTTCAAAAGCAGTGTCAAACAAAAATCAAGGATTCTATAGCAAACTGTGTCTGAGTGATGTAATTGTGGTTTCAATTTCTGGGACTCTGAACTTGTTTTCTTTTTTTTATTCTTGTGAGAAGATCTGAATTGTATTTCTGTCTGCCTATGTGTCAGTTATTTTATCTTATTCAAACGGGTGAAATAGAAAAGATATTGGAAAATCATGAGATGAGACAGAATGGACCATACTAGCTGTTTTGTAGAACAAGTGAGACAATAGCATGGAAGCCAGAATAACCTTCTGAATCCAACAATGACTTCATACTCAAGAGTTATTAATATGGTATGTGCTTAAATCATTGCTTTGGACATATTCTTAATGGTCTTGTGCTCCTTTATGGTCTTCTCCCACTCTTTGCCATTGATTTTCTCTACATTGATACTGTGGACTGTCCCATCATCCAGACAGTGAGGCATCACCCCTACAGAGACACAATAGGTGTTATCCTAGTGATAGAGCAAACAATGGAATAATACATACACAAAGGTAGGTAACATAAACCATAGGCAGTGCAGATGACTGTCAACCTGGTTGAGATGTGTTGCAAAACATCTAAAGTAGTTTGAGGGCAAAAGAAAATTGAAACGTGGATACTTTGCAGCGATGGAGCTGAGAATGGAAATCTGATGTTTGGAATTGTGTAAGACATTAATCATATCAGGAATTGCATATGAATTCTGGGATCTAACCCACAATATGTGTAACATGATGGTGGTGTTTCACGGTAGATTTGTGAGGTAACTGAACTAGAGCCGAGCCCTAACTGCAGGAGCACAAATTCATGAATTTACAGAAGGTATTTGCTAAATTTCTCTTTAATAATAATCCTTGCATTTGATATAGTGCCTTATCACATCTTCGAGACGTCTCAAAAGCGCTTCACAGAATATACTGTAAAATGAGTTGACTGTGTATTTAAAGATTTGGATTTCACTCTCATTGATCTCTCCCCCCTCCATTTTCTCTCCTTATTTGAAGGCTGATGCTGGGTAAGGTTTCCTCAGTAATGCTGAGGTAACTCACCTAAATAGTCTTTCCTCGTGAGTAACTCCAGTGACAGGCCTAATGGACTCATCCAATATCCATAATTGCATTTTCCAGTAGAGTCAATTTAATGAAGTGGGACAGAGAGACACTGCATTTGAGCTCTGGTGTGAGAGCTAATAGCATTACATATGCTTCCAGTCTGGTTGAGAGAGTTCATATATTCTGCAAACAGAATAATTCCTCATCAACATTCCTGAATGGATTATTTTCCTACCGTATCCATCAGGGTTGGAGCGTGGGGAATAGAAACTCTGCACTCCACAGGTTTTGCAGAAGGTATGTTTGGCTGTTTTTGTATTGAATGTATAAACAGTCAGATTGTCGGTGCCCTGAAAAGACAAATGGATAACATCTCATAAAATCGGATTGATTCATTTTAATTGATACATAAACCAATTCTGTTGTACAATAATATTCTGATGCAGAGGCAAGAGTGCCATGAACTGAGCCAAGCTCCTATCTATGTATATTTACAATAAAAAATTTCAATTATTTACTATCTTTCATGTTGGGAGGAAGTGTCAAAGCATTTGCACAGCTGAATGGGAGATAATAATCCTTGCATTTGATATAGAGCCTTACCACATCTTCCAGATGTCTCAAAGCACTTCACAGAATATACTGTAAAGTGAAATGACTATATTTTGTGGATGAAACACGCAAAATGAGATGGAGAGAAAGGTGGACGAAAGCAGTTGAAAGGATCGCCAAAATGCTGTCCTACATGAAATGCGCCATATAAATGCAAGCTGTTAATGTGGTGTCGATGGGAGGGAGGGGGAAAGGTTCATAGACTCTGGGAGTTGTAAACCAAAGGGGCAGAATGGTTGAAAGCTCGCCCACCGATGGTAGGACAAATTGGGCAGTGAACATGAAGCAGGCTGGTGATACCATGAGGAGGGAATGGATTGAAGCCACAGATGGATTTAAAAATGAGGAGGAGGACCATGAATTCAATCTGCTGGGAGATGGCCTCCCAGAGTCTGGTGTGGGAGAGATTATACAGCAGCAGAGTTCTTGTTGATCTGTAATTTGTGTCGTGAGCAGTGGCAGAATCCAGCAAGCAAGGTGTTGAAATGAGCTTGGACGTAATGAAGATGTGGATGAGAGTCTCTGGGGCCATGTTCCGGGAGCTAATTTGTGGCAATGAACTGGAAGACGCACAGGTTTGCTGATCCATCAAGATGTGGTAATAAATTTTGACAACAATTAGTAAGATTTCTAGAACAACATATTTCTTGAGGATGAATAGAAACACAACTTTCTGGGGTTTATATTTGCAGTTAGTTACCTGGGTCAAGCCTACCTTTAGGAGTCTGAAATGGGAGGCAGGGACAATAAAATGTTGATTCTGCTTTCTTGTACAGATGCTGCAGCTGTGAGAGAAGATTGTTAAGAGTGAATTATAGCAGTAACTCTATGCTTTGTAAACCTGCCCCTATTGCAGTGAATGCTGAAGTGCCATATAATAAAAAATACCTTGCATTCTGTATAGCGCCTTTCATGTCTGCAGAACATCTCAAAGCGCTTCACGGGATTTTTTTTTACTGTTAAGTGGATTGACTGTATTTGTAGGCAAACACAGCAGTCCATGTGTGCGCAACATTGTCTCACAAACAACCATGACGTTAAGTAAATCTCCAATATTAATTGGGCGACTGTTGGCTTGGACTCTTGGAGATCTCCTTTCTCTTTTTGAGCAGGAGCAAGTGACAGGAATAATGTAATAATTGCCATTGTAGATTCTATATAATGCAAACTGCTGAGGGAATGTGTCGTATGGCTGCATAATGTTGGCCTCTACCGGAGTTAAGATGCTGTGAAATAGTGCCTACTGCATGTCCTAAACCAGACAGCTGAAATGCTGGAAAGTGATCTTAAGATGTGAAATGTAACAATAAAGAATCTGTACCATTTACAGACATCAATAATGCCCCTTTTATTATTTTGTATGCATGATAACATTGACAACCTGTTGTGCGTAAAACACACCATGTATCAACTATCTGCTGTACTTACTGCACATTCTTTACCTCCTATGGTCCATGTACCAGCCACATGCTATTTCAATTATATCGTTCGTAACAGCTACCTGCCAAGCCCACTGCGGTCCCTGAACTGCTACCTGCTGTACTTGTTTGCTGTGCTTGCTGCAGTGTGCTTGTACCTACTTGCAATCAAATACATGTAAATCTGCAGATGCCCAGACTTCGAACCGCACCGCTCCACAGTGGCATCCTCCAGTGTGTTTCACAAGGTCTCGATATTCACTGAAAGCACAGCAACAAACATATCTCACTTACATACAATTAAATGTTTGTGTGTAATATACAAGGGATTATTTATTTAAATTATGTTAGCAGATATAGAACAAAAAATAACAGTAATAATCCTTGCATTTGATATCTGCCTCGTCATGTAGTCATGACTTCTCAAAACGCTTCACATGATATACTGTAAAGTGGTTTAACTGTATATTTTGAGGGTGAAACCAGGATCTGCTATTCAGGAGGCATCACTCCCTCACCTTATTGATAGATCGTGATCAAAAAGGTCAAATACAATAAAGGGATACTGTATGTCCATGGATGTTTGTGGGACATTGCTATGTGTAACTTGTTGCCCTGTTTTGCCCACTGTACAGTATATCCTGAGTTGAAACACATCTAAAAGTTTCGGCATAGGACAATTGGACCGATTGTATGTGTGATATGCAGTCCTCGCTCCCCTCCTGGCGCTGATTCCATACCCCTTCTTCCTCCGTACACTACAGAATCATTTCACATCATTTATATTACAGAAACGCGACAAGGCGCCAGGTCGAATGCAAGGATTGTTGCATTTGATTTCTGCAGTGGTTTTTTTAAAAAAGAAAAAAAAAACTAAAACATTGCAAGTGCGGTACAGGAAAGCGTAGCATTTGGACAACGCCGTGGACGGTGAAGCTGAGTTTGCTCCCAGCCCCGCGCCTACAATGTATCCAGTAACAGCCGAGCCGCCGCCTCCGCCGTGTCCAGCCGTTGGCTTTTCTGGAACGCCCTCCAGCGCTCGGCCTGGTTTGCCAACTCCACCGCGGTGTCCGGGGGCTGCAGCTCCTTCTCCAGCCCCCGCTCGGCCCCCTGGCCGCCAGCGAGGCCTTCCAGCTCCGGTTTCTGCTCCTTCCTGCGGGTGACTTGCTCCTTCGCAGCTGATCGGCCTTTCCGCTGAAGTGACCCCCGCCGCGCAGCGCCGAATTTCCCCATCGCCTTTAGTTTTACTTTTGAAAAAGAAATCCCATGTTTACAGCCCCAGCCGAAGTTTGCTAAGTGCGTGGCTGTTTCTAAGGCTGTGCTCCTTCAGGAATGGCTGAGTCCGCTCCGGGAGGTGGGGCCCTCTCTACCGTATTATATCAATCCAAAAGTACTGCACTTCAGAGTCCGGCCGCCCCCCAATATGCATTACCCGCATCTGGTGCTGAGGCTGGAATAACACACTCAAGCCTTCACGGGAAGGGCCCTGGTAGGAAGTTGTGTGGCAAATCACACATACAATAACGCATCTTTCAGCCCATATCACGCTGAAACATAAAATGGCTCCTCCGAGATGGGACCATTAGGGTTGTGGCTTGCTGAATTAATGGGAGCTGGGTGGGAGAATCCCTATCTACCACAGGGGGTTGATTTAATTCGAACTTTCCTTTGCTAAGCATGTCACAGTAGCCGGCTCAGCTCCAAGGAAGCGCCACTTTATCTACCCCACCCCCACCAGTGGATCCTGTCTCGAAAGAACCTTAACGTTCCTCAAAGGTCACACCGGCCTTAGTCGTTAATGGCATTTTAAGTGTACGGTCGCACCACAATCCCCTATGGAGTCCTGTAGCTCAGTGGTTGGAGCACTTGCCTTGCAAGTGAGACACCTGGGTTCAATTCCCGGCAGGGCGAAACCTTGGGCAAGTTTCCTTACTCCACACGCCTAATAATCGCCTAATCCCTCCAAAAACAAACAAAAAATAAAATTGGTCATTTTCAATCCATGACTGTTTGTGGGACATTGCTGTGCCCAATTGGCAGCCGCGTTTCGCCCACAAATATACAGTCAATTCACTTTACAGCATATTCTGTGAAGCGCTTTGAGATGTCTAGAAGACGCAAAAAGCGCTATATCAAACGTAAGGATTATTATTATTATTTGTGCCCGTTTCTTAGTGCTGTCTTTCCAAGCCTCGCACTACTGTTTTTGAACAGTTTTCTAGTGTTCTACACTATTCTAAGTGATCCTCCTTCCTTGTAAGAAAGATGAGCTCCATTTAACACTACAGATATTTGCAGATAATCAATGGGCAGAGTAGCATATGCCAGTAGGAAGAAAATTAGAAAAACACTGGACAAGTTGAAATTTAAAAAGTCTTCATTAAAAGGGAGTGAAAGAAAAAAAATGGAGAGAACAAATATACTTTCAATTGTGCAGCAAAGCATTCTGAAATACAGCTCCATTCAACACCGCAGTGATTCAACTTCACATCGAAAGCACGGAGAATTACGTTGATACTAGAAAGACAAAGAACTTTCATGCTTGTTTCCGGGTATGTTCAAGTGAGTCACGTCATGAGGCGATAGACGTACCTATGTACGTCAGTTTGTTTCGTTTCACATTCCTTTCAGGAAAGGTCTCTTTGTTTCAACCAGGATAGTAGAAACACAATGCAATCACGAGTCACCCCAGCAATTATCTGGAGACAGAATTTTTAGGTTTCTTTTTTTGCCTACGCGGCTCGATTTCCTAACGTCAGATTTTTTTTTTNAAAATGACACATCCAGAACAGAGGTCACGGATACAAACTAGTGACAGTCCTTACGGGGCTCAACCCAATCGCTCTTTCGGAGACCGTACGGCCTCCTTTACGTCCCGTTAATTTCTAATGGCTCCATAACAGCAGTTTTATTTATCGCGTCAAATAAAACGTCCGGGGGACGGAGCGCTTCACAAAACCTGAATAGAAAGGTAGAATTAATCAAGGCGCGGGAGATTTAGTCAGGCAAGAGGCGTAACTCGTCTATGATGGTTGTTTGCAGTCGGTGCCAGCAACCTCCCGTGACCAATCACAGGTGAACGGCCAAACTCATTTTAGCACAAAAATGGGGAAAACGATACTACCGGCGGGATGGTCGGGCAGTCGCCATGTAATTCGAGCTGAGCGGGTTGGACCATTCGCCCGGCAAGCGAGAGAGACCTGGGTTCGATTCCCGGGCTGGGTGAAACGTTGGGCAAGTTTCCTTTACTCCGCACGGCCTCGGTTTACCGAGCAGTGAGTAGGAACCCGGTCGTCAGTCGATCGCTTTTCCGGTGGTGGTGGTGGTGGTGGTGGGGGTAATAATTCCTTCTTTTAGAAAAATGGCCACTCACTCAATCCACGACTGTTTGTGTTCGCCTCCGCCGCCGTCAATCAGCTGCCGCGTTTATCCCCCCCCCCCCACACACAAAATACAGTCACTACACTCGAGAGAGAGAGACCAGAGTTCAATTCCCGGCAGAGGGCCAAACCTCGGGCAAGTTTCCTTACTCCACACAGAGCCTAATAATAATCCCTCCAAAACAATAATAAATTGGTCATATTCAATCCACGACTGTCTGTGGGACATTGCTGTGCGCAATCGGCCGCCGCGTTCGCCCACAAATATACAGTCAATTCACTTTACAGTGTGTTCTGTGAAGCGCTTTGGGACGTCCTCCCGACGTGAGAAGCGCTATATCAAATGCGAGGATTATGATCATTATTATTATTACACTCGACAGCGTATCGTATGCCCGGCGAAAGCGCTTGGAGAACGTTCTCGAAGAAGCGCCGGATCCCAGCGCGAGGAGGTATTGCTGCCGTCCCCGCACGAGGTTCGGGTCGAGTTTCCTTTACAGAAGTAATTCTTTCGTAAAAAAAAAACGGCGGCCGCCGAGAAACGGTGCGACAACAAACAACACTCACACATTCGTACATACTGTGTCGGGAGTCAGTTGGGACAAACACGGTAACACAACACAACCTAACGCAATGCCGCCGCCCCCCTCTCACCCCCCGGGTCAGGCGCCACAGCGGACACCGTGGAAACTTCTCGACTTTCACCCCGACTGCTTTTGGCGGTTGAAGCACGAGGCGGTCACGTGCCTCCCACCTCCTCCCCCCCCCCCCCCACGGGCCGCACGCGGTGTTTCTCGGAGCAACAAACGGCAGCTGCTTTTTGCACGTGACAGGCTCCGACCACGTGATCCGCTCCGCCCCCCCCCTTCGCCCCGCCCCGGGGGAGGGGTCTCCTGGTCCACCCGCCACTCACAAGGCAGGAAAAACACGTCTCGTCACTAAGCGTCGATGAGGGCGGGATTATGAGCCACGAGAGGCCGTCCGTCCGGAACTTTTTCAGATATTGCCTCAGCTCCACCTTACTGGCAGTTAAACAAATCACTCCGCCCCCTCCTCCTCCTCCTCCTCCAAAAAATCGTGACCTATCCATCCTTCCCTTCACGGCCCGACTCAAATCAAGATTATTATTTTTTTTTCGAACGCAGTAAAATGCAGCCGTTCAAACGGTGCGAGAATTTCCGCAACCGGAGCGTCGAAAGCCGTTCCCGGAAAGGTGGGACCTATTTTGTGAATGCGGAAGGCAACCGATAGGTGGGGGAGGGGGGGGGTGGGGAGAGTAGGAGTGACGTAGCCGCCCGGGGGAGGCTATAAATGAGCGGCGCTCGGAAAAGCCGACAATTTAAGCGGAGTTTGAATCCCTACCGGTGCTGAAGATTTGCCGAGAGTTAAAGCAGCGTTGCCGAGGTTTGTGGCGTTGACGTTTACTTTCGCCGTACGTTTCCGTCGTGTATTCGATGTCCGCAGGTTGGGGAAATGATTCCAGCGCTGAACCAGTTTTTTTTTGAGGGGGGGGAAGAAAAAAGGAAAATTTTTTTTAAAAAAAACCGTCGCAGATCCCCGTCGCTTTCAACCGCCCGACGGGAGGAGCTCTCGCTTCGGAGCTGCGGCCCAAACCCCCCCCACACAGCGCAGCGTTTTCGGCGATAACGTCGGTTTAAGAAAGGTCAACCCCACGTTCACCCAAAACCCGGGGAGTTCCGAGTGAAAATCCGTGGGTGAACTTGTTTTCCGGCGGCGCGAAATCATTGTTAATATTATTGTTGTTATAATTCATGATGATCTTTGCGTTTGGTAGAGCGCTCGGTCGAGAGAGGGTGTCTCAAAAGTATTTCACAGACTATACGGTAGAGTGACTGTATGGTGTTGGTGGGGGGGGGAGAGCAAACCACAAATCTGAGTGGTTGGGAGGAGCCACAGCGACACTCTCTATACAATAATAATAATGATGATGATGATGATGATCCTTGCGTTTGATATAGCGCTTTTCACGTCTTCTCGACGTCTCAGAAGCGCTCTCGTGAGGAGAGGACCTGCGGGACCAGCCCGAAGGGGTTTTCGGACCGAAATGCTCACCGTCCTCTCTGTCCTTCGCTCCCAAGATGAAGGGTTGGATAGCTTTAGGAAGGAAAGGACAAGCCTTTGGAGTCTGTGATATTGTTCAGGGCTCTCGCTTTCTTGCTTAGATTTCGCAAGCTAGGATTCCACCCGGTGGCGAAACCACGATTAGTAAACATAAACTAAGCTTTTGAACCTTCTGAAAATAAATCTGGTATCGAGGCTTTGACATGTGCTTACGGAAGCAATCCAGGCTGTTGGTCATTCTCCCCCCAACTGCACTCTATTTTTCTGCAGATTAATGCGAGAGCAAATTATGTAATCTGTCTTTCAGTTTCAAAATGCAAATCTTTGTGAAGACCTTGACTGGCAAGACCATTACCCTTGAAGTTGAACCAAGTGACACCATTGAGAACGTCAAAGCCAAGATCCAGGACAAAGAAGGCATTCCTCCTGATCAACAGCGTCTCATCTTTGCTGGCAAGCAGTTGGAAGATGGCCGAACACTATCTGACTACAACATTCAAAAAGAATCCACATTACACTTGGTGCTGCGACTCCGTGGTGGTATGCAGATCTTTGTGAAGACCTTGACTGGCAAGACCATTACCCTTGAAGTTGAACCGAGTGACACCATTGAGAACGTCAAAGCCAAGATCCAGGACAAAGAAGGCATTCCTCCTGATCAACAGCGTCTCATCTTTGCTGGCAAGCAGTTGGAAGATGGCCGAACACTATCTGACTACAACATTCAGAAAGAATCCACATTACACTTGGTGCTGCGACTCCGTGGTGGTATGCAGATCTTTGTGAAGACCTTGACTGGCAAGACCATTACCCTTGAAGTTGAACCGAGTGACACCATTGAGAACGTCAAAGCCAAGATCCAGGACAAAGAAGGCATTCCTCCTGATCAACAGCGTCTCATCTTTGCTGGCAAGCAGTTGGAAGATGGCCGAACACTATCTGACTACAACATTCAAAAGAATCCACATTACACTTGGTGCTGCGACTCCGTGGTGGTATGCAGATCTTTGTGAAGACCTTGACTGGCAAGACCATTACCCTTGAAGTTGAACCGAGTGACACCATTGAGAACGTCAAAGCCAAGATCCAGGACAAAGAAGGCATTCCTCCTGATCAACAGCGTCTCATCTTTGCTGGCAAGCAGTTGGAAGATGGCCGAACACTATCTGACTACAACATTCAGAAAGAATCCACATTACACTTGGTGCTGCGACTCCGTGGTGGTATGCAGATCTTTGTGAAGACCTTGACTGGCAAGACCATTACCCTTGAAGTTGAACCGAGTGACACCATTGAGAACGTCAAAGCCAAGATCCAGGACAAAGAAGGCATTCCTCCTGATCAACAGCGTCTCATCTTTGCTGGCAAGCAGTTGGAAGATGGCCGAACACTATCTGACTACAACATTCAGAAAGAATCCACATTACACTTAGTGCTGCGTCTCCGTGGTGGATTTTAATTTTAAGTAGTTTATTGCTCTGCTCTCTTGCTTTGGTGTTTTTTTCAATTCACTGATGTATAAATCATGAATGGACTTTGGATTCTTGTGTGCACATGTTGTAGATAATAAAGATTTTTGGCATTACCTCGAATTGTTGAGTATTGGCTGTAGAGGATAATGAACTTTACAGAGTTTATGTTCCCACTGATAACTAACTTTAAAATACTAGAAAATGGAACCTTGTAATGTTAAAATTCTCAGGCCTTTAAACATGACTGACTGCTATATTAAACTATCAAGTTATGACCTCTGAAGAATTTGGAAATTTTAGATGTTCTGCCTCTTAATGCTTTCAGTAAAGTAGGATTCACCACTATAATAATTTATTCCTAACTGAACCTGCTTTAAACTACTAAATGGGAGTTTGTGTTGACAATATGAATAACAAATATTTGACAAGGATGCAATGCTTTCTAAAGCTTTGCCGAGCAATGCTCTCCTCCCATAGACCCCCCCCCCCACCTGCACCCCCAGGGGTTATACGTGGCCTCCATTCTGCACACCATTACATACTGATGATTAGGAAACATGGGAGTGGTGGCCTGTGCATCAGTTCCTTAACTGAAAAACAACCAGATTTGTGCTTTAATGAGGCAGCATTGGAGTACCTTCAATTTTTCTACCCCCAACTCTGAAATTCCATCCTGGATTCCCTCCACCTTGCCCTTCCACATTCAAGCTGTCTCAAGACTGGCATTTGAGTTGGTATCCTGAGGGCACTGATTTAAAATAGTTAAAAAAAAACAGGGTGGGGGTGAGCAGAAACTTTCGCACAGCGAGTTCGGATCTGGAATGCATTACCTGAAAGGGTGGTCGAAGCTGATCTGATAACAACTTAAGAAAGAAGCAGATAATTATTTGGGGAGGTCAAGTTTGCAAGGCTAATGGGGAGAGAGAGCGGGGGAGTGGGATTAAATTGGGTAGTTCTTTTCAAAGAGCGAGCACAGAGACGATTGGCCGAATGGCCTCCTTCTGTCCTGTATAATTCTCGGATTCCAAGACTTCTTTGATCATGCTTTTGGATACCTCCCACTCCATTACTCTCGATTCCAAACCCCAGCTTGGATGCAAACCCTTTGATGTTGATTGGTTTTGTGTAAAACTCACTGGGAAGGTAATAACATTTTCAAACTGACGTTGAGTTTGTGCATGTCTTTTGTCTTGAAACGCAACGTTAAGACAGTTTTATATGGGGCTACATTTTCATACAAATTCTTAGTGCTGAGGTGTCATTCTCAAAATTCCTTTGACACCCAGCTAAAGACACAGGACTACAATTGCATTATGGATGAAAGGGATGAGAATCTAAATGGGTGTGATCACAAGATTCATTTGGATTAATCTCTTAATTAAAATCCCTTAATCTCTTCCCATATTCCACCCTTCAGTTCTCCCTTCACATTGAAGGTCCATTGGACTCTAGGGGGAGCTGTTCATTTTAATTACAATGGCGATGCAACTTCATGCGTTAAAAAATAACACAACACGTGGAAATAAACAAAGGAAATTCACTGGATCTTCTTCCCCCATCCCCTGGGACAGAAAAGCATAATTGTGGAAGTGTGAAGTTAGCATTTTGATTACTGCTTTGCTGGCACTCCAGAAGATTGATTGTTCATTTCTTCAAAATCCAGAAAGGCTTTACTGATTCGAATTGCTAGTGTAAGACCTACTGATGTCAAGAGATGAAACTTCTAGCAGAGTGAAAAGCAAGTATGGTTAATTTTACTGAGTTGGAGAGAGTAATACATTCAGCTGTGTATGTATCGCAGCACTATATATTTACTGAAATATACTGCAGTGAGCAGACTTGATTTTTTCAAAAAAAAACCAGCAATGCTTCCGTGAAGCGCTCTGAGACATCTTGAAGACGTGAGAAGGCGCTATTCAAGTATTATTGACTCATTTTTCTTCAGTGGCCATTGAAAAGATTACCTTCTCATTTAACGGATGAATGATTGAACTACATCACAAATGGCAATCACTTAACGATTGAATTTATATTTTACCTTTGCAGGAGCCTTCACTTTAAACGAAAGTCAAAATACTCATCCCGAATTCCACGCTACTGTTCTCCCTTCACATTGACTCCAGGGGGCACTGTTCATTTTAATTACAATTGCAATGCAACTTCATGTTAAAAATAACATCAGAACGGGCAAAAAGTTGTCGAACTGAAATGTTAACGTTTTCATAGATGCTGCCTGGCCTGCTGAGTGTTCACACTGACCTGTTCTTGTTTCCCTTTATACTTGCCTGTCCGATAGGCAATCTCGGAAACCAGGACCGAGGAGCCATACAACGCACATTCTTCAATGGCGGTGTGACGATTTGGGTGAGCTGTTGCTAAGGAAACTTGCAAGAAAGTAGTTGGTGTCCAGAGGTTGCTCCTGGAAGGCTGAATTGTGTGATACGAAGATATTCTTCGATGCCTTGGCTGCATCTGGAAGCAAGCACACTCACAAGATTAGTTCAGATGAAGGAGGCCCTTCAGTCCATCTGCTCTCCTAAAATGAACAAAACGACCAGCCAAGTGCCTGATGTGTGGAAACCCATCACTATGCTTAAAAGAGTTCCATGCATTTCACCTACACGCGAAAACTATTCTATCTGGAATGGAATGTGTACTCGGAAGGATGTTTCCCTACTTACCTAATGCTTATCTAATTCCAAAATAAGATTGCACATCTACAGGAAGGTTAATTTTAAACCTAGAATTCCCGCTGGTTGTCTGTTCCTGAAACATTTAATATCCCATTGGCTTTAATTTCGGAGATGCTAGCATTTTGAATTACAAATGTTTGAAGGTTGGCTCAGATGACGGCAGTAATTCACATTTCAGCAAGATCTCCGAGTTGTTGCTGTACTGAGCAGGGATTGCTGAGACTCTTGAGAAGTACTCCATGCATGCATGCAGTAATAGCCCGCAGGCCGAAAGTGACTCACAGAGCCGTCAAGAAGCGCCCCCTCGAACATTCGCATGAGATCAGTGAGTCTGTGTTTTGATGTGTTTTGAGTGTGTGTTTTCAGTTTTTTCTTGATTGAATATTTAAAACCACGACTATTTGTGGGACCCCTGCTGTGGCAATTGGCTGCCGAGTTTTGCCCACAGGTACAGTCAATCCACGTTACAATATATTTCGTGAAGCGCTTTGAGACGTCTTGATTTATGGCATGAAATCAATAAATAATCGAGACAATTTGTTTTGTTGGCCATCCATAAAGGTTGGCCACAAAAGTTGTACGCCACTGCTGTAAATAAAAGATTTCTTCAATGTAAAAGTACTTTCAGATAGTCAACAAATACAGCATTTAGGCAGCTCAAAGCACAAAAAAGATGTTCTGACGAAGGGTCGTGGACCCGAAACGTTGACTCACTTTACTTTCTCCATAGATGCTGCCTGAACTGCTGAGTGTTCCCAGCGACTTCTGTTTTTGTTATAAAAAAGGTGTATCGATCAGGTGCCTATGCAGCAATTAATTTCAAAGTATACTGAAGCCAAGATTAAAATTATGGTTACATTTGGCCAGGTTCCAAACCTCTACATAATGCACTGCATAAAAGTTCTCGTCGAGAAATAGTCTGCAGTTCTTTTCTAAGTAAGCAACCTGCAGTATTTCCTGTTTGCATAACAGAGGTTTGACATAATACACTTTCTGGAGTTCTGTAGCTTAGTGGTTAGAGCGCTCGAGAGACCTGGGTTCTATTCCCGGCAGGGAAACGCTTTAAGACATCTAGAAGGCGTGAAAAGCGCTATATCAGACGCAAGGATTATTATTATTCTGTCCAATTTAAATTGGAATACTTATTTTACCAATGAGGGAAAGGAGGGTGGAAGTAAGAGGTGAGTGGGGTAAATTGCTTTGTAGGAGACTGGTCATATAATAATAATAATCCTTGCATTTGATATAGTGCTTTTTCACGTCTTCTCGACGTCTCAAAGCGCTTCACAGAATAGCCTGTAAAGTGAATTGGCTGTATATTTGTGGGTGAAATGCGGTAGCCAGTTTCGCACAGCAATGTTCCACAAACAGTCGTGGATTGAAATGAGCAGTTTTTTTATTATTTTTTTCTTGAGGGATTATTATCAGGTGTGTGGAGTAAGGAAATTTGCCCAAAGTTTCACCCTCCGGGAATCGAACTCAGGTCTCTCGCACGTGCTCTAACCACTGAGCTACAGGACTCCACAAACAAGCAGCCATAAAGTGAATGATTGACTATTTTATTTGGGCGGGTTATTGGCCAGGACACAGGGAGAAACTCCCTTCTCTATTTGAATACCACCTGGATAAGCAGCCGGACAGCAATATCAATGGGAAGCTATGTGGTTTTAGCTGGTTAGACTCCCAGCAGTACCCCAACGCGCATTCTGGGGTTCCCAAGCCCTGCCTCGTGCCAAGCTGCGCCTAATACGTTTCCGGAATTAGGTAAGCAGGAAGCATCCTTCCAGAGAGAGAGAGAGAGAGCACATTCCATTCCAACAATCTATCTCTGGGATTTCCATGTGGAGGTCGGATGCACGAAATTCTCAGTTTGATTTGGATACAGTGATGGGTTTACGCATGTGTCGGATACCTGGCTGACCAAGAAAAAGAGTTCACAATGGGATAGTCTTTCCAAGGTCTGTGGAACAAGGGGATGTGTGTGTGGAAAAGGGCGTGATGAGCTGAATTGTTAAGGTTTTTTTAAACTTTTTATTTTCTACTAGTATCGGCTCATTTAGTTTATAATTATCATTTAACTAAATTCATCAAAGCTCAGTACTGTGTTTCCCAGATTGGCCTCACTTTTATTGAACAATGTGACCTACATTACATAAAGCCTACGCTGAAGCCCAAAGTAACTGCTGTCTGCAGATGTTTGTGGTTTTGAAATGTTATCTCATGTCTGCACTGTTTTTATAATGGGGTTTGAGCGCCGCTGAGACATTTTGAGGAAACGTTAAATTTGTCTCAAGGCTGCAATTTACAACGGATTTTTTTGCTGAAAGCATTTATAAATGTATCACACAGTTTTCAATATCTCACATTCTGCAGTCGACAGTGTGGTTTGTACTGGCACTATGCCAGTTCTATGCCAATGACTTGCCGTCTGTCGATTGCAATGACTTGTCATCTGTCTGGAGACAACGTTCTTTCAGCTTTCTTCACTGAAGAATCCGTGATGGCTCCCTGATAGCTGCCTGTGCAGAACATGAAACAACTTTGTAAACCAGCGAAGACACCATATTCACAGCTTCGTGGAAAGTACAGCTCAGAAACAGGGCATTCGGCCCATCCAGTCCGGTCGTTGTTTATACTCCACACAAGTGTCCATCCTAGATCCTATCTCTAGTTCCTTGTCTCTCCGATCTCCTCATGCCGACCTGCTCAAATGGCACCTGGCCCTCAGCAGCCAACTGATTTGAGCCAACGTCAATCATGACGTTTTTCTATTTTATTTACGTAATACACGTTTCATGTGACTAAAACCACATCCTCGTTGAAAATTGTTATCTGAAAAAAAAGAAACAATGTGTGTCTGCTGAGCTGTACGAACAGACTAACACATGGTCTGATATCTGTTTTACTGGAGGATCACTTTTCTTAAACTTGAACGCTATAAGGAATAAGTCTCGTGTGTCGTTCTCGGATGTTTTGCAGATTAAATTGAAAAAAATGATCTCACTCCTACTTCTGTGGCTGGGTAGGTACATTTTGATTTCTTTGTATCCACATGTTCACAAGAAGACCAATAATAATAATCCTTGCATTTGATATAGCGCCTGATCACGTCTTCAAGACGTCTTAAAGCGCTTCACAGAATATCTTATAAAGTGGATTGACTGTAATTTGTGGGCTAAACATTATGACGTTATGTGATGCTTACAGGCAGCTGTGTAAAGCAAATTTTATTCTAGATTACTGCATATGGAAATGGCATACCTGAGCAGAGCTATTGTTTTCTGAGTTATCTCACAGAGCAAACAATTCAGTGACTTAATTTAGATCGTTTTGTAATTGTGACTAACCCCAAGGTGAGATTTGGCAACAGAATGGCAGAATCAAGCGGTCTCTGCGACGGTTTTAGTAATCCAGTTCCTGAGCCAGGCAAGTCCGCAGTACTCTCGAGCCCAGCCTGACTGATCGGTAGTACTTGGAAGGGCAAACCAATTACTGGGGGCAGGAAATCCTCTCACTCAACTCCTGTCAACCCTGCAAACCAAAGCCCTATTTGGTAGAGTGATCCAAGCTGGACCGGCAATAGGAAGCTTGACAGTCAGTGCTTTCGGTGGCAAGCTGTGCGATTTTAGCTGGTTAGAGTCCAGCACTACCCCAACCACGCATTGAGGTCTCCAAGCCTTGGTTCTTGCCAACCTGCGCCAAATACTTTCTGGAATTAACTAAGCAGGGCGGGTCCCGCCAGGGAGCCATTCCATTCCAATAAACGTCCCTGGAATTTCAATGCGTAGGTGGGATGCATGGGATGACTCCCAGTCTGGTTTCGAAACTCTTAAGCATGGTGGTGGGTTTCCATATATGTTTGACGCCCATAAAAAATCCTGATTGTTAAGAATTAGTCTGTTTTATCTATGAGTTTAAGGGTTTACATTGCTCTTAAATGATTTTTAAAAGTACTGTCTTCTCTTGTTGTGAAGTCCTGTAGCTCAGTGGTTAGAGCACTCGCTTTGCAAGCGAGAGACCTGGTTTCAATTCCCGGCAGGATGAAACTTTGGGCAAATTTCCTTACTCCACATCCTGATAATAATCCCTCAAAAAAAATAATGAAATTGGTCACTTCAATCCACGACTATTTGTGGGGCACTGCTGTGCACAATTGGCTGCCGCGTTTCACCCACAAATATACAATCAATTCACTTTACAGTCTATTCTGAGAAACGCTTTGAGATAACTAGAAGGTGTGAAACGGGCTATATCAAATGCAAGGATTATTATTATTATTATTGCTGTTCACTTTGATTTCAACTGGAATATTGGAATATCCAATGCACTTTTATTATCTAAATTACATCTCATACAGTTGCAAAAATACTTTTCGATATTATACGTAGAATTATATAGAATAAACGGTACAGAAACAGGCCATTCGGCCCAACTGGTCTATGTTGGCATTTATGCTCCACGTGAGCCTTCTCCTCTTCCTTAACTAAGCCTAACCTTCCGTTCCTTTCTCCCTCATGTACTTATCTAGCTTCCCATTAAATGCATCTATGCTATTCGCCTCAATTACTTGTGATAGCAAGTTCCACATTCCCACCACTCTCTGGCCTTATTCCTATGTTGATTTTTCTTTTGTTATTTATGTCTGTAGAATATCTTACTATTTCTTTTTATATTCCTTGATAATTTAATTTCATACTTCCTGTTTGCCTTCCTAATTGTTTTTCCTTTCCTAAACGCTTCGTATTTTTTTTGTCATGTTGTTGTTTATGTACTTAGTGAACGCCTCTTTTCTCAGTCTTAACTTTGATGGAAAAAAGTGTGTGGAAGAAAAACATTCTCGTCCCCAATCTATTACCGTGGTCTTTGTCATATTCAAGTTCTTCTCAATCTTTATCTTAAACCTTATTAAGTTACGATCGCTATTGCCTAGATGTTCCCCTACCCTTCTCTTATCTGCTCAGGTTAATTATTAAATCCGGCAGGGATTCCTCCCTTCTTACATGCTAGGTAATACATATTGTAAAATGTGCTAGCTGCAAAAAAAANTCTACTGCAGCCTCTACAAAGAGAGAGGAGTTGATTTTCTGCTAATTTTACTGATCTTTGGTGGTTTGAAAGCTTCAGTTCTTCCACTGTTTAGTAAAATGACTTATTTTTAAAAATTATTTTTTCAGAGGAACCGATATGATTGAAAAATAAATGTAAATTGTACTGTATCAGAATGCCGCGATAATTGTGAACATCAGGCGTTAACATTTCTGTATTAATGTCCCCAAAAAACAGGAAATTCTGATTATTGCCTTACATGGCAGTTGCTCTTAAAGTTTAATGAAACCAGACTTCAGAGGAAGCAGAAATTACTTTTGCAAACTTAACCTCATTAACCTCAAACACCAACGCGTCAGCTTATATTATTCGTGTTGTGGCTTTGTGCAGACAGCAAAACCTGCTTTGTCTCGTAAGTAAGCTTGTCTGATTGGTGGTGGGATCCATCTTAGTTTGGGTCATATCAGCACGACAATTAAAATGGGCTTATGATTGTGAGCTCCTGAAAGGGTGATGGAAGCAGATTCGATAATAGCTTTCAAAAGGGAATTAGATAGGTACTTGAAAAGGAAGATTTTGTAGGGCTATGGGGTAAGAGCGGGCGAGCGGGACTAGTTGGTAGCTCTTTCAAAGAGCATGCACAGACATCATGGGCTGACTGGCCTCCTTCTCTGCTGTAAAATTCTATGATTGTATGATTCTATGAAAGCTTGAAATAAGAAGAGGCTTTTCAGCTCACTCCACAGGTGATGCAAGAATCACCCTATCGTGCTCCATCCTAGATACTCCGATCACCTTGGGAAAATTATACCTAAGTAATTCCCTGAATTAAAGGCTATCAGGCAAAAAATACAGAATATTGATCTATTTCTAAATCTTCACTAGTTAGCCATGTTTTGTTTCCCTTCAAAGACACATTCCCCAGATTTCAGCTGCACAGAAAGCATTATGTCTTGTGTATTATTTAAGTCATCTACCATGTTTCGCCCACAAAACACGCAGTCAATTCCCTTTACAGTATATTTTGCGAAATGCTTTGAGACGTCTCAAAGATGTGATAAAGCGCTTTATCAAATACAAGGATTATTATTATCTCAGTTTGCATATAACTTTAATAGGATCTGAAGTCCAGATCCCTTGTTCATTGATTCTGCCACTCAAGATCAAAACAGTCTGTCATTCTGTGGTTTATTCCACTATATTGAAATATAGTTTCACAGCAGCTGGAAGCCTATACAGTAGTCTGTCAAAGTAGCGTCCACGTAAAACAGTCAGGTACAAGATACTTAGATGTGGGATATTTCTCTCTATTCTCTCATTTCAGCCTCTCTACCCCCACACTCTGGAACTCCACCCCATGCCTCGCTTCCTCCCTTGCCTCCTTCAAGGCCAGTCTCAAAACCCTTCTCTTCGACTGTGCCTTTGGTCTTCCCCCCGACTTCTCTGCCTTCCCTCACCCCTAACCCGACACTTGACTGTTCAGCGTTTTGGGACGTCCTCCCGACGTGAAAGATGCTGTGTAAATGTAATTTTGTTGTTGCGTTTGTGTACTGTTGCACCTGTTCTTTAAGATCTATTTAGGGTCAGGCTCACAGACAGCATCTGTGTGGCTTAGTTAGTTTGGTGCTAGTTTTAAGGAAGATCTGAGAATTAATGTTCACGGTGTGAATTTGCACATGGAAAATGTCTGACCTGTATATTGCATCACTAAATATCTGACTTGGTAAAATAATGTGTACCCAGTGTGCAGACCTGTTAATTCTTCAGTCAGGATCATTTAACCAAAGGCACCTGAGGACCCCTATCCCAGTAATAACAGTTGTGTGCCTGACTTCAACTTAATGTAGCCCCTACATACCTGGTTTTTAAGCACCTACCAATTTCAGTCGCACCCATGCTTATGACTCCCATGGGCCCGTACCATGTGTGATGATAACTGTAGGTACATTTATTGTGTCGTTAGCTCAGAACCAGCTGCCAATACAATCAGGATTATCCAGCTTAGTCACTTGTCGTGGGAAAAGAAAAATATTACTAATGTCTCAGGCTGCAACACAATGAACAAATTAGTCTTTTTAATGGTTACAAATGACTCCGTGATTTACTATGAAACGTCAGAGTTGATAATAATGATGAAGTAAATGGAGATAGAAAATGTTTTAAAAAGCATCTTTCACAAAGTTTTTCTTACTCCTGAGGAGGTTTATTGAAAATTACCATTCCATCTCCTCCACAACAGATTGTGGATTTTATTTTCTTTAAAACAAGCGCTTTTTCTCTTTGGCTCTGATGAGCTTATACTCTTTCTCTCTCTCGTGCTCTGTCCCCAACTGACCGGCCTTTCCAGATTGTTCTTCCGAAAAATAAAATAAAAACAAACCAAAAATAAATCTTCCTTTCTTTCATTAATTCTATGTTTGCTTCTTACAGCCTTGAAATCATCAGACAGCTTCAACATCGATACTAAAATAAAAGCGGTCTTTGAGGGAGAGAAGACAATCTTGTTTGGACAGAATGTTCTTCAGTATAAGGAATGGTAAGCGGATTTCAAAGATTAATGTTGCTTTCCCATTTATTTTGTTTTTGGTGCTATTTTTAGTGTATAATTCACTCAGCTTATTAATGCAAAACTTGATATTTTCATCCTTAGGATTTTGATCAGCTCTCCACTCTATACGGATAACAGTAAAACGTATGGGAAAATGGGGAAGTGCAATGTGAAAACAAAAAAGTGTGATCCTTTCAACTTCAAAGGTAATCCATCAATACAACTTGCGTTCAGAGATTCAAAAGTTTGTCAATAATAGACAAAGCCAGATATTTCTATGCCTATATTCTGATTTCTGTTGGTATGCTTTTTGGCACAGGAAGGAACAAAGTTCAGATTTAGCATATTCCCTTAGAATATCTGAAACCAACAAATAGGAATAATAAAAATACAAGATATGGAAAAAAAAGTATGCTACAGAGTGTAAAATAATCCCTGTATTTGAAATCATGAACAATGTAATAATAATAATAATAATCCTTGCATTTGATATAGCGCTTTTCACGTCTTCTAGACGTCCCAAAGCGCTTCACAGAATATACTGTAAAGTGAATTGACTGTATATTTGTGGGCGAACGCGGCGGCCAATTGCACACAGCAGAGTCCCCACAAACAGTCGTGGATTGAAAATGACCAATTTATTATTGTTTTGTTTTTTTGGAGGGTTATTATTAATGTAAAATAGAATGTTCATAAATAATGTGTAGCATTTATAGTCGCTCCAACAAAAATACCTTTTTGTGAATTCAACGGTGGTGTTACGGGCAACGGTACCCCATGGCGAGGGGAATATTGGGTTTTTGACAGTGATGTAGGATAGAGCTCTGTTTATGTACGGATGAGATGCATTGCAATACGGCTTGCATTGATCTAAAAATTGGACAGTGACAAACTTATTTATATGCGTGCTAAAACCAAGGGGGGAAGTGAGGAAACCACTTCAGCAAATTAAACTTTAAAAATGACTTGCGTGCATAGAACAGCAAATGGATGAATCTGCAGCTCTGTGTGGTTGTCTCATACTTTTACACTGTGGCTGTAATATAGTGGAAACAAACCGTATATAAAGTACGTGAACAGAATAGGCTTGTTTTCTTGATTCTTAAACTTAGTTAATGTGTGCTTATTGTTTTTTTCAAAAGCTGAAAATGCAAATATTAGACCCGGTATCACCACAGCTTTGGACTCCTTACGCTCAAAAGTTTTGGTAACTGTTCTACTTTTTTCATTAAAAATATTCCAAAAATATTTCAGTACATCTTTTTTAACTTGATGCAACACAAATAAGATGCACAGTGCACTACCCACAGCTTCATTACTACTTCCTTCATCCAATATGGCAGCTGTACTGAGGTTACACGCATACTATAACGTTTTAATTATATTCTAGATGTGCCGGCAATACAGGCAACAATTTAAAAGAAACACCGAAGATCTGAATGGAATCTGCACTTCCTTTTCTTCAAAGTTGGAATCAGATGGTTCTTTTGCCCCTGCAAAGTTAGGTTGGTATAAATCAGCTCAATTCTGATCTCCTTCGTACATTGATTGCGAGGCACCAAACCTGGCTCAATTGTTTGCATCCTCACCTCTGAGTCAGACGATTGTGGTTCAAGCCTCATGTCTCAGGCTGGGACACAGAGCTCATTCCTGACACTCCACTGTAGTGTTTGAGCACTGCATTATTGGAGGTGGCATTAAACAAGTCTCTGTCTGCCTGTTCAACTGGACGTTAGAGATAACATGGTGGTGTTCAAAAAGGGAAGGGAATTTCTCCCGGTAAATAAGTGCATATTGCTGGAAATTAATGTTAAAATGAGTTATTCTGGTACTCATGGATTACCATTAAACCAGCTCGTACTTTGCTTCTCACTATACATTAGAATAATATAGCATTTCTCATTAACGAATATGCCATCTGTTTTAACCCACATATTACTGATACTGATGACACATGTTCACCTGAAAACAAATGTCAGGTGTGAGCACCAGAATAGTATAAATGGGCATTTTTACCCTGTTCACAGAGTCAAGGAACAGTTAAAATGAGATTAATTTGATTTATACAACAGCCCATGTCTTATTTGCTTGTACCACTGATTACTGAACTGAACAAATCTCAGCAGCTAGATTCTATATATGGTATTTTCATTGAACAGAAATCATTGAATAAAAGGTTTTTTGTGTCTTAGTTGTAGCTGAAATTGCTCGTGCAAATGGCAGCAGCAATGGCAACAACAACAACAACAACAACAATGATAACAGGGGCAAACTCTCAGGTAAGCCATTTCATAACCATTTGGAATGGGAACATTTGGGCAAGGCATTGTGACCTGGACAAGATAGGGAAATGTAAATAGGTGAATATTGGTAGAAATTAATCTTAAAATAAGATATTCTGGTACTCATAATATCTGCCCGGGTGAATACTGATTTTATTACTGTGTGTCTCAATGCGATTATCCCATAACCAGTAATGTCATCGCACAAACAAAAAAATTGCAGTCTCTACCTATTTAATAGTCTGTACCATTTAACACTGTCCCAATCCTTATACAAGCTGGTCCCCAATATCTTTCTCCATTTCTGTCCTGTGTATTAGAGCATCAGGTTGCACATATTTCTTCTTAACCTGCCTGTTGTGATAATAATGATGTGCACAATCACTGCTTAAATAGATACTATCAATTGAAGGCTCCAGTGTTAAATGTAAATGTCCTGTAGCTCAGTGGTGAGAGCACTCGCCTTGCAAGCGAAAGACGTGAAAAGCGCTATGTCAAATGCAAGAATTACTATTATTATGTTATTACAATTTCAGGAAACGCAAATCAGAACAACAACAACAATAACAACGAAGAAGAAGATGGTGATGATGAATTTGTAACCTTTAACCCAGGGTTAATGTCAGGGGAAAAACTCCTCGATGTTGATTAAAACAATACATTTGAATCTTGTAAATTTACAGCTGGTTAAGTGTCTTGACAGTACCAGAGGCAAGGAATGTAAAAATGAAGCTAAAATTAGGGTACGATTAGCTTGATGCTCACTGAACGCAGATTCCTCTTGGGAAATTAATGATTTGCACAGAATGTACATTTTTGGACAAACTTGTGGAAAAACTTTTACATGAGGGAGATAGAGAGTTTTGGGAGGGAGTAAGCAATGGATGAAGACTTATGTAGAGTACAAACACTGACCGGTACGGATTGGTTGGGCCAAGTGACCTGTTTCCGTGATCTTTAGATCTTTTGTATCTGAGGAGCTGAACACATTGACAAACATATCAGTTCATTGTTTGTTGCCTAATTTCTTAGACCTTTTGTTGATGCTGTTTATTAAGATGGAGGAATGGAGATTGCAATCATTCTGGATGGATCTGGCAGTATTGATGCTCCTGATTTCCAAAGAGCAAAGACATTTATCATAAACATCATAACAAATATTTGGAAAGTATGCTTTGAGGTAAATGAGAAAAGTGATCTGTGCTTTGACTTCAATTTATTTCTTTATAAATGATGGAAGCAATCTATACTTTGCTTTCTATGCACAGGGGAACTCTGTTGTAATACCCTTTGCTGTAGCCGTGCATTGCTTACAGAGAAGGCCCACTGTTGACTTGCACCAACTGAAAATGTAGTAAATCCAGGTGCCGGTGCTGACGAGCTGTCTCCTCACCCTGACAATGGCTTTAGCCACTGACGTCCAAATAGTTTTAATATATAAAATCTACCGCAAAATATACAGTCAATTCACTTTACAGTGTATTCTGTGAAGCGCTTTGAGAAGTCTTGAAAATGTGATAAGGCGCTGTAGCAAATTCAAGGATTATTATCGTATTTCTAATAAAATCATTCGCTGATGGCTGTAACAGCTGTTGGGTGGTTGTTAGGTTTGGTTTTGAGATTTGAAAGCCAGAGCCAGCGACCAGAGGGAGAGAGATAAGATGTGAATGATGTTATATTAAAAAGATACCTAAATGGAATAGAGGGAGGGCAGAGGAATAATTTATGTTGAAACCACTTCTTGTACTTAACTTTCTTCTCTAATGGCAACCAAGCCCAAAATTAGGGTATAGCTTTAGTACCACCACTGGCCAAACTGTTGAGTTCTGGATCACTGTGGCCCTTACCTGTCTCTGCAGACGATGATTTCTTGTTGGTAAATAGTTTAACACTCACGTAAAATAGATTCAAATTAACGTTTTTTTTTAATTTCTGTTAAAGTGTGATTTTGCACTTGTGCAATACGGTACAAAAATTGAGACCATATTTGATCTGAATGAAAGTCGTACAAACAGTTCTGGGATTTTCTCAATTGTCAAAAATATGAGGCAATTGGGTAACGTCACGAAGACGGCATCAGCGATACAGCATGCTCTGTAAGTATTAAAACTGTTGTCTTAATTGGTGTCAGAACGAAAGTATAAAAATTACTGATACAATTGACTGCCGTGTTTCGCTCACAAAATATACTGTCAATTCACTTTACTGTCAATTCTGTAAAGCACTTTGAGACGTCTCGAAGACGTGATAAGGTGCTATATCAAATGCAAGGATTATTATTATAAATATAGCAGAGAGCTGATATTGTTATTCTTACTTGTTAACAGTGACCACATCTTTAATGAAGAAAAAGGCTCTAAAGCGAATGCCAAAAAATTCATTGTTGTGGTGACTGATGGAGAGATATACCGCGATCCTCTGGATATAAGTGATGTTGTAAATTCGCTCAAAATGAACAATGTTGAGCGGTTTGCTATTGGGGTAAGCTTTTTATTCTTATTCCCTTGGGATTGTTAGTTAGTGACAGATTTATTAATCCATAATTATTTCCTATGAATTTGCAGTGAATTAAAACCGGGGACTTATGTCAATACATCATGCCAAAAATGTGTAATTATGCATCAACAACACAAGTGAGTTTAACAGTTCATTTTTCCTCAGAATACCAGTCCGACTATCTTCCTTTAATAGCATCAAGCTGTTTCCTAAGTGTATCCAGTGTCCTGGCCCCTACCGCCCTTCCTAGTAAATATTCAGACTGTTAATTATTCTTTTGTAAATAAATACATTTGGGGATCTATTCTAACTTAGCCCTCACAAGCTTTTACACAGAGGCTTATTTGGACAGTAGACTTGAATAATGATTAATTTATCATTGATGATAATTTATATTGGCTTTGTTTCAGGAATTATGGTTAAGTAGTACTCCAAGAATTGTCTTTGGAACCCCCTTTGGAACTTGATCCCACAGTCCCTTTGCCTTACTCCCTCCCTTTCTTCCTTAAGGCACATCTTAAGACCCTCCTCTTCGACCCTGCCTTCGACAACCTTCCTACCCCTGCCCTCCATCCCCTCCTCGGATCCAGATCCCTGACTATCCAACGCATTGGGACGTCCTCCGGACGTGAAAGGCGCTGTGTAAATTTAAGTTGTTATCTTTCAGTTCTTTGAAGATTTTCTACTTGTTGCCCACAAATCCTATCGACAGACACTTTTTTTTAAACCTTTGACGATTTCATTCCCTCTTCAACTACTAATATGGTTGTCCTCGTTTTCTCTACTCATATCAAGTGAATCTCACACATTTTCTTCCAAGATCTTCCAAGGAAGCTTGTTTCGGGCCAACATTTCTTTTCTCCTCGACTCAATAAAACCCATGACTGCCCAAGCCTTGAATTTGCTATAGTCCACTATTTTTCGTTTGTGGTTTATGTTCCTCTAACTAGGTTGGAGATGCCACTAAGAAACCAAAACCCGTGGAAGAACTGAAACTAATCGCTAGTGATCCAGATGATAAGCACTTGTTCAGTGTGGATAACTATGCTGCTTTAGATGGACTGCTGGAAAATCTGGAAAAAAATATTGTTGGAATTGAAGGTAACATTATGTCTATGGTTGTATTTCAATTGCTTATCTTGAAGTCACTGTTTTCCTTGCTCGCCACAAGCCAGTTAATGGAAATGATGATAATGATCTTCAGATTCCGAAGAGACCATAGTTGATTCGATTAGTCTTTCAAAAAAATTAACACTGAAATTACCAGAGCGGGTGACCTATGGCAAATTATTGTCCCATCCATTTGTACAGCAAATACACACTATCGAATCAAACAATTTAGCAGCGCAAAGCTTCAGTAATACTTCTTTAGCGCATTACATACCATCCAAGGAAAGCAACACAACCTGGAGTTACAATCAGAATTCGCTGGGAACACTCAGCAGGTCAGGCAGCATCTAAGGAGAGGAAGAAAGTGAGTTAACGTTTCAGGTCAATGATCATTCGTCGGAATAGTAAAACAATTTAAAGTGTTATGATTTCCAAAGTTCATTTCTGCTACCTTTGTGTTATATTAGTTTTGTGAATTTATTCAACAGGCACTCAAGGCGCCTTTGAAATGCAGCTGGCACAGGCTGGATTCAGTGCACAATATACCCAAGATGTAAGATTTTGTGACATTTACATTGTGTTATGTTTTTGCAGTTACTTTGTTTAAAGGTGTGAAAATCGGTTTGAAAAACAGTTATAACTCGCGCTCTAACAAAGTGCCTGATAATGGGGGTCACCCTCTATTACAGTTGTGATTTCATCACTTTAACCTGACATTGACTGCAGCCCAGACAGAAGGATGACATTTTCCTCCTTGTTTCTTAAAATATTAAAGTATTAACTATTAAATATCAAAAGTATTTGATATTAACGTTTTAAAATAACATATCCACGTTAGATTGGTTTTAATAAAAAAACAAAAAAAAATTATGACCGTGATTATCACAATTGATTTTTGTTGTAACGTCTTGTGTTATTACCCCCTGTAGGGCAACATATTAATTGGTGCAGTAGGGGCATATGATTGGGCTGGAGGAGTTATAATGTACAATGAAACAAGTCAAAAGGTACAATTTCTAAATGAGTCTAAACCATCAGAGGATACAACCTATGGTTACCTCGGTAAGTTTGACCCTAACAACTTGATATACGTCTATTTGCATAATTGTCAGAACTGTTTTCAGTAGCAGAACTGGGGAACTATGCGCCTTTTGAAATGTGTTGTAGCTACTGTAGTTAAGAATTGTCGTCGGCTTTTTTGTGGGTAATAATTCCTTTTTAAAAAAATTTACAAAACAATATGAATAATTTGGCCACTCAATCCACGACTGTTTGTGAGACACCGCTGTGCGCAATTGGCTGACGCGTTTCACCCACAAAATATAATCAACTCACTTATCGTTTCATTCTGAAAGTGTGTCACACAATGAATTATTTTGAAGTGCTGTGGGTGTATAAATCGAGCATTAATACATGCGTAGTCTTGAAAAACAGTTCTGTTAATATCTATTTCTGTGTTGCAGGGTACAGTGTCACTACAGTAAAGGGAGCAAGCGGGGACATGTACATTGCTGGAGCCCCTCGCTACAACCAAACTGGCCAAGTCCTAGTATTTGAAGCGGGAGCGTCCAACACAATAAAGCATCGTCTGAAAGGCAAACAGGTACTTTCACTTGTTTCAACTTGTCATTTAATACTGATAAATGTAATAACTTACTTTGGTGTGGAATTAAGTTTGAAATTTTAAGTCCCAATGTGATATTAATACCGCATTGGAATCTAATGATGTTCAGTGATAGGGGCTAAAGATAAGGTTTTGTGGGGTAAACCCACAAAACATACAGTCAATCCACTTTACAATATATTCTGTGAAGCTCTTTGAGATGTCTCAACGACGTGATAAGGCACCATATCAGATGCAAGCATTAATATTATTACTAACATTAATTGAACATTTCCCTCTTCGTTACAGCTTGGATCCTATTTTGGCTCAGAGCTGTGTGCTCTTGATCTAAATAGAGACGGTGCAACAGACTATCTGCTGGTTGGTGCACCGTTCTATCACAAACAAGGAGAGGAGGGAATAGTTTATGTCTACCATCTGAATGAAAAGGTATGAATTGTCTGGATTAAAAGGCCGGGTTACCTCCTTGCAGTCTGAAGTATGGAACAGCTGAGAACAATCTAAACTGTTCCCATCATGGTGTTTCTAATGTTAACTGCCTTAACTGTAAGGTTAAAAAAAATCCAGATATTATGTACCTATGCACCTGTAATCTGTGTGTGTGTGTGTGTATATGTGTTTCGCTTACATGTCCATCATATGAACTGTTTCCTAGAGAAATTCACACTTGACACTAAGCTCAATTTCTCTTGTGAAATCACCTGGTGGTTTAATAAGATAATAATATTCCTTCAACAGCTGATGCACATTGTGGAGAGAGCTGTACATAGCTCTCAGCACACAGGAGGGCAATCTAATAGCAATTACCAGTTCAGTTCCTCCAACATTCAAACTAACACATCCCCAGAAACAAGCAGAACCCGACAAAGATAAGTAAGTGGTTTAAAAGTTCCACGTTCACTGAGACTGAAAAATGTGGAACTCGAAGCTGCTTGTTGATGCGTGAAACCAATTCCTGACAAGTTAACTGGAACCAATTCCTGATCTGGAGTCCTGTAGCTCAGTGGTTAGAGCATTCGCCTCACAAGCGAGAGACCTGGGTTTGATTCCTGGCAGTGTGAAACCCTGGGCAAGTTTCCTTACTCCACACGCCTGATAATAAGCCCTCAAGAAAAAAAAGCAATAATAAATTGGTCACTTCACTCCACAACTGTTTGTGGGACGCTGCTGTGAGCAATTAGCTGCCGCGTTCCGCCCACAAATATACAGTCAATTCACTTTACAGTATATTCCGTGAAGCGCTTTGAGACTTCTGGAACACGTGAAAAGCGCTATATCAAATGCAAGGATTATTATTATTATTTTAAGTTCCATAAGTAAGATTTTCTGAGACCGGATGAACCGCAGGCAGTTTTTTTCTAATTCCTTTATTTTTGCTTATTGAACAGAATTACTTTGAAGAAAAAGGAAATCTAAGTGGTTTACTCCGATTTACCAGAGCCAGGTTTGGGTTTGCGATTGCAAACATAGGTGATATCAATAAAGATGGCTACAATGATATTGCTATAGGAGCACCTCTGGAGGAAGATGGCACAGGAAGTATCTACATCTTCAATGGGAATAAAGACAATGGGCTGGAGACCCATTCCCAGGTCAGTGTGTTCATTTTAAGACCGGTCTCATAATTTTCTAATGGCCTTGTTGTTTCATGTGCCAAATCTTACAAATGATTCATTCCACCTGAACCTTTCCTGTAGCATTCTATATGCGGATCTTTTCTGTAATATTTTGAAAATAACCAATACATTATCATATTAAGACACTGGTGATCCAAGCAAATACACAATGTCTGCTTTAACTTTACTATGTTTAGAGGATACCAGGAAAAGAGGTTAAAACTGGGCTGCAATACTTTGGACAATCAATTGGTGGTGCAACAGATGTGGATGAAGATGGGTTGATCGATATAACAGTTGGTAGCTGTGGTGCTGTTGTTGTACTGAGGTATGTAAGAACATAAGTTATTATGTTAGTCAATTGGCAGATCGATCCAGAGGGTAACAATCCCTCCAACAACAACAAAAAATTATAATTTAGTCATTCAATCCACGACTGTTTGTGGGGACGCCGCTGTGCGCAATTGGCTGCTGTGTTTCGCCCACAAAATACACAGTCACTACACTCTACAGTATGTTCTGTGAAGCACTTTGAGGTATTTCAACAATGTGATAAGGCGCTTTATCAATTGCAAGGATTATTATTATTATTTTTATTAGATTGCCAAATATGCTGAATTTCAAATCCCTAGAAATCATATTAAACCGTAGTGTTATATTCGGGCCACACCTAAACCGCACACAGTGTTGGGTGGTAGTTCTGTAGGCAGTGTAGAGGGAGAGCAAGGCATTTGCTAGGTTCCATCATTTGGGACACTTGGATCCATTTAAGTGATGATGTGAATAAGTATGTGCTCCTCAGGAACACTCAGGTATCAGTGCTTTGCAATTAATCATTTTCTTGAAAGGATATAATTCTATTGTATTTAATTTTATACTTTAATAAGTTACGACTTTTTTACAGCTCAAGGCCAGTTATCAATGTAATTGTCACCGTGACATTTTCTCCAGAAAGCATACCTCTGCCTTCCACAACTCACCAAAGACAGGAACAACTTATTCACGCAACTGTATGTTTTACCACTGGATCGAACTTTAAATCAATAGGTAATGTTAGCGCAATATTCTACGTTGCAGAACTGAATGTATTTATTTGTGTTTAGTCTGGTTTCAAAGGGGAGTGGAAGGATTTTGAGATCAGAAGTCAGACTTTCACTGTACAGTACTGATGATGGGATCAGAATGAGTGGAATATACAGTATAAATACACTGAAATGTGGAACATTGTGAGTGGATTGAGGTCCTATAGGAAATGTAACATACAGGGAAGGTCTGAGATCAGATTATGAAAGAGATAATATGAAGAGCCCTGAGTTATGCCATCTTGGACAGAGTGATAACAGAATAAATCAATGATGGCAAAACTCTAGGATTGAAGATGTCGATGTTTTCCTCAGAGTCTGTTATTCTATGTAATAAATACTGAATTGTTTCAAATGTATTTACCCTTGTGCTGCATTACTGATAGTTTAATGCTGATTCAACATCGGGTAAGGCAATAAAACAACTTGGGTAAATTGAGAGAAAAATCTGACCATTATATAATATACTGAAATATACTTATAATAAATTGTAAGCATTTTATTCTCCATGGCATTACAGATTTGAGCAACACGAATGCTAATTATACTATAATCCTGGATACAAAGCAGAAAATCAAAAGAGTGAAGTTTACAAATAACGTGAATCCTTACACTTTATCAAGTTTTGTGACACTCTCCTCTGATGTCTGTGAAAGTTATAACCTCACTATACAGGTAAGATGGGATTGTTTAATAATGCAAAAGAAATCTGCTTACATTTTCTATGCAATAATCAAATAGGTACAGATTTTTTTCCCCAGTAAATGTACATCAATAAATGTATATTTTGTAATGCAGTGTATATCTGAAACCTATCTTTAAAATGGCAAACCTCACCTCACCCTCCATCTGAGGGCTTTATCTTGAATGTGAAGTCCTGTAGTGTCGTGGTTAGAGCATTCGCCTTGCAAGCGAGAGGACCTGGGTTTGATTCCCGAGCAGGGAGAAACGTTGGGCACGTTTCCTTACTCCACACGCCTCTGTTTCACTAGCAGTATGTTAAGGGAATTAGCTATGCCTATGAGGAATGAATGAATGATTAGACAAGCTGGGGCTCTTCAGCTGGGTTCCAGATATATTTTACATATATTTGTGTATTTTATATTTCAGCGCTGCACCACTGACTGTGTCTCAGACGTCGATGTAGAGGTGAACTTTACACTGGACAACACTGAAAAGAAGAATGAACTCCCGTTACCAGTTCTTGATAAATTTAAGGATGTGTCTGTACATTTTCAGGTAAAACCCAGAAATCATGAATCATTTAGAATTATCAAGTGTAATATTTGGGGTTATTGATTATGACTATATTGGTCTCCAGCTATTTTTTCAAGGAGTTAATTGACTCAGCAACATCTGCTTTCACTTGAAATATCCAGTGTTCTATGGGAAGCAAATCCTAATCTTTGGTCTTACTTTATAGACTTGTTAGTTTTATGTTCATGGTCCAAGTCAAATAATCTCCTTACATGCACATCATTTTTGTCTCAATATTTTAAATATTGGATTATAACTTTCTTTTCCTTTTCTCTAATGTAAACAAATTCAATTATGTATGTATGCATTTGCACCCAACGTATTGGCTCATTTCTCAGCACTCACTCCGATAATAACGTCCACAAATATACGGTCGATTCACTTTACGGTCTATTCTGTTAAGCGCTTTGAGACGTCGAGACAACGTGAAAAAGCGCCAAATCAAATGCAAGGATTATTATATTAGGATTCTGAAACCAAAAATGTACATTGTTAGATCAAAACCCAAAGAGAAGTTATTTTCAGTCCTGGGTAACAAACAACTTGCAAAAAGGAATAGCTTCTGGCATTTCCACTATCTAAAGTTTCTATTTTTTTTAAACATAGTGCAGCAATATGAACAAAGAGTTTCAGAAAGCTTAAAAAATGTATTTCAGTCAAGGTTTACACATACGGTTTTACTTTTTTTTAACTTCACCTGTCAGCACAGGTGTTGTGCTTGTCTCCCTGGACCTGGCTGGTTTAGTTTGCTCTCAGCTCTGTGTTGCTGAAAACATTTGAGTATCATTACAATAATAAAACTAGTTCTATGGAGTCCTTTAGCTTAGTGGTTAGAGCACCTGCCTCGCAAACGAGAGGACCTGTGTTTTTAGACATCTCGAAGACGTGATAATGCTCTATATCAAATGCAAGTATTATTATATTAAAGTCATAATGGTCTTATTTTGAGAAAAGTAGATATTTGTTCTGATACTTTTGAAATTGGGCCATTTAGAAAAAGTAGAATGGTGAGTTTATAACTAGGTGTTTTCTTTTTATTACTTTACTCCGTGATTTTGAAAGTAGACTCTACATTTTAGAAACTTTAATCTATTTTGTTCATTCATCTACTAAAATACAAATAGTTTGTGATATTCTACAATTTCATAAACAATTTTTTCTGTTAGCTTCCATTTCAGAAGGACTGTGGCCCTGATAATATCTGCCTTGCCAAATTAAATTTGATGTCCACTTTGTCACCGTAAGTTAATTTTATTACTTTAAACAAATAATATCTGTCAACGGTGCTAATTTCACTTGTGCTTTTTATGTGAATCTGTCACAGCATTACCTCTGCATTTCAAGTGTTGCGCATGAGGTTCATAGTGTTTGCATTTGTGTTTTGTTAGCTATACAGCAGAGGGTGTTTTCCTACCAGGATTGACTGGAAAATACATGAGGACTGAGCTTGGATAAGCCTCATTTTTCACAATAATTAATATAATAGGTGTCATCTTAGCTCATTCAGTTGGGTTGCACTCTTGCCTCTGAGTCAGGACTTTGAACTCACATTGTCCAGGCTGACACTCTAATTCGATGATCAGAGTTACTGCCCTTCGGTTGAGATGTTAACCTGAGGTCTCGTTTGCCTATTCAAGTGAATGTTAAAGATCCCATAGGGCTCTAGAAAAGAAGAGTATTTCTCCTGGTGTCCTGGCCAACACTATTCAAGTAAGATTGATCATTTGTTTCACAGCTGTTTGTGAGACATTGCTCTGTGCAAATGGGCTGACGTGTTTGCCCTCAAATACACAGTCACTCTACTTTGAGTAAATCGTGTGAAGCACTTTGAAATGTCCTGATGTGCTATACTAAATTCAAGGATTGTATTTGATTGTATAATAATCCTTGCATTTGATATTGCGCCTTTTGTTATCAAGATACATATGGTGTTAGTAAAGATTAAAGCAGACAGGATGAATGACGCATTGATTAATTTGATTTGAAACTGGTTTACCAATACAAAGCACAAAATGATAACTGCAGCCAAAACCCTCTCGCAGTCATGTCAGAATGCAACTTGTGCCTACTGTTCATATTTATAAATGATAGGACAGAGGTTCTAACTATTGGAGACTATCATGACTCTGATAGAATAGTTACGCTAACAGTATTGTTAACTTCTGTTTGAATGTTACCAACACACATTCATTTCATTCTTCAAGCGCGAACTGGATTGTTGGTTCCACTGCAAATGTGACTATGGACATGTGTCTGTCGAACAAGGCGGCCTCGTATTTCACCACCATGGATATATCCCACCCAGATAATCTTGACTTCAAGTTTGTAAGATCAGAGGTAAGATAGCTGATTACTAAAATATAATAACTGGTTGGGTTTTTTTTAAACTGCGGGCAACTGCTACTTTAAAGAATTAGATGTGACCAACCCTGTATTTTGTTATTGGGACGTCCTCCCGATGTGAAAGGCGCGATACAAATGTAATGTTGTTGTTGGTGTTGTTAGTGCAGAGTGGAATGAAGACTGATGAAATAAAGTGGGTTATTCCTCGCTTAAAACATTTTTCCATATTTGTCAAATGCCTTGTTACTGATGTTACTGACGTGAATGTTTCTGCTTCCACAGACTGTGGATGTCCAGTGTAATACTGAACCAGCAACAATATCATCCTTGTCATTACTCAGGTGTCTGATTGCCCACCCAATACTCAAGAGCAAGTCATCAGTGAGTTTCATTTTTGGACATCACGTTACGAGAACATTTCTTTTAAAGGTCATTCTATTGGATGGTTTGAATTATGGGGACAGATGGATATTATTTGTTTTGCTTGTTTATTGTTGATAATCATGAAACTGGAGTTGTCCTGATGACAGCTTCTCTCAAACTGCACCCAACCAACCGCTTTAGAATATATAACAGCAAGTGCTGTATACAGAGCTCTACGTGAGCTCACAAACTACACTTTCTTTTTAATTGGTGTTTAAAATCGGTTATTAAATGTGTTTTTTTCCTGAACTTGATTGTCCTTTTTGTTTTGACAGATAACTGTTTCTATATTTTGGAGTCTTAGACAAACTGAATTCAAGGGAAAGAAGGCATTTATCAACATCAATGTCACCAAGTAAGCAAATATGACAATAATAATAATCCTCGCATTTGATATAGCGCTTTTCACGTCGGGAGGTCGTCCCAAAGCGCTTCACAGAACACACTGTAAAGTGAATTGACTGTATATTTGTGGGCGAACGCGGCAGGTAATTTTTATTAATAAATGACAATAGATGTTTCACAAAGTTAGTAGATTCATAATATTTTACTATTAATATTTGAAGGATGTAGGGGATTTATTTGCAGTTGATCCTTTTGAACACTAAATTTCTTGTACAATTTTGAAACACTATTTGATACCAAGCGTAAAAATTGCTTCCTATGAAATGTTCCCCACAATTATTTTGTTTACACCCAACATTGGATTATTTGAAGGGCAACTGATGTTTGTAAGCAGCCTATTTCAGAAGTATGAAATTGACATTGTTTCTATGCTCCTATCTTTTCATTAACACTAATTAATTAAGGACACAGATTTCAGATAATTGGCAAAAGAACCAGAGGGGAGATTTTTTTTTAGCCCTAGAGATGTGACGGTCTGGAATGCACTGCCTGAAAGGCTGGTGGAAACAGATTTGATTATCGCTTTCAAAAGGGAATTAGATAGGTATTTAAAAAGGAAAAATGTGCATGCCTATGGGGTAAGAGAGGGGGAGAGGGACTAATTGGCAGCTCTGTAAGGCACGATGGGCCGAATGTCCTCCTTCTGTGCTGCAAAATTCTATATTCTATAATTGATTGATGCTGATGGAATTGCATTTCTCTAGCTTTGGGAGAGCAGACTCTGTTATGACTTTTAGTGTTTTTTTTTAATGATTGGGAAACTCCTTTCTCTCTCTTTTTCATAAAAAGAATGCCGCCCGGAGTTGATTTCCATGTGCACCAAAACTATCCTGAGATGTTTCTTTCTCAAGGTCTCGAATTCCATCATGAATCACAGTTCATTCAAGAAGTTCACTGCACCTTTATAATCAATCTGGATTTCTCCTTTACAGTAAAAATGAAGCCAAGGAAGCTGCTGTTCAACAAACCCATGAAATTTTTGTGAAACACAGTGTCAACGTTGCATTGTCACCGAGGTAAGTAATTTTTCAAAGCTTTCACGCCTTCACAAAGTCTGAACTGGGATTTATCCACAAGTGTATTTACTCCGGGTGAGGGAGGCAAGAACATTTCACATGCTCTTATACTCTGTGTGATGCCTTCACAGTTATTTGAGCTGATTTGACATTCACACTTTCAAATGTTTTTAATTTAGGCTGATTATGCCTCTAATGATCTCCCTTTCTACTGGGGATAGTACATTAGGCGCCAGTAGTTTGCACCAGTAGCTACTCTTCACCTACAAAATACAGTTACTACGGCGTACGTAAGCACATTGCGTGGCTGAACTGGCACAGGCACGATGGGCTGAATGGCCTCCTGTGCCGTAAGCTCTGTGCTCTGGGATGCCACCGCGGTGAAGGCTGCTATATAAATGCAAGTTGTTGCTGTAATATTCTGATTCTGGGAGAATGCAAGTTTATGAGAAAGAATTTAGTGCCTGGTTTGGAAGGTCTCTCTTGTCCAGTGTGTTGAACTTCCTGATCAATGCATTTGATGTTTGACTCGGGCTGAATTTTTAAAAATTTTCTTCAGGTGATAATTTAAAAATTCTGTTGTGAAACTGCTTTTTTTTAATTAAAAAAAATTCAATACAATTTATTACAGACAGCAAAACAAAGTTATTCTCATTAATAATGACTGGAGCAACCAGGATGTACACCTGCAGTTTTTGGTATGCTACTTTTGATTTATTTTAACTCTTCAATCGATATTAAAAACTCTATTACAATACAGTAAACTCCCAACAACTCACCAGGAAATGGTCCAGTTTTGCAGTATTACAGCTTACTTACTCTTTCTGTAAATATTTAATGTACTTTCTGTCCTCCTGTTACAGGTGACGATGGGAAACCGCTACAATGCCGAAGTAAATGTGACTATTTCAATACCAGTGAAAATAAAGGGACTATATATTCTGGAACCTAAAATGGCAGAGGTATGCTGAATTAAGCTTATTTCCATTTTGGAGTGTCCTAAAGTAAATAGCTTTAGTATTTAATGCTGAAGGGCACTGAAAAGATTGCCTAAGACCCTGGCAATGATAAGTACACAGACACAGGGATATTACAGTCGTAATACAATTGTTATGATTAAAGGTACTTGTACTCTATACAGATCTCAGATGCTGTTATTGGGATGTTCCAGAACTGTACTGATCCCAGTGTTAGTATCTGAATGCATCAACATATGTCCAATAACTGAAACTTGAAACAATCCGTTTTCTTCACAGAATTCTTCACTTAATTGTTACAAATCAAATTCGATTGCAAATCCAATTCCAAAAGAAGAATTCAAAAATCAATGGGTACGTAAGTGCTAAAATATTCAACTTGTTTTGTTGTTCGTGTGATGCATCCTTCCTAACAATCAACTGGAGGTTTTGATCTCTTTATCCTCTCCTATGCTCAGACCTAACCTTCACATAAGAATTTTTTTTTCATGTTCATCCTATCTGTGAAATAATTCCATTCCCCCTTCTCAAACCGCCGCCCTGTGACCCTTGCATCTGTGTAAAGTTATGGAAGCTGCAGGCAACTCTCAAATTATCCATCACCCGGATAGTTCTGACCTCATTGCCAATATAGTTTTCAGTGTGGCTGCTGTATTGGTGATTTTGCTGTAACAGACCTCTAGAACTACTGTGGGATGCTTTAGCCATTTATCATTATTTCCATGGCCAGGTTAACAAAGTTGTCAACTTGTGGTCATCCACGAATTCTGTCCAGACTTATTTACCCCCAGATAAGTATATAAGCATTGTAGTTGATCCTTCTATTTCCATCAAGTCAGGATTCCCAAGGGTTCTGTTATTTCTCTTATCTCTTTGCTACATCAGTGATTTTCACTAATCTCCACTAATTCTTTGAGTACATCAAATACCGATACAGATTCCAGTCTGTGTCCAGATTATTATTATGAGAACTTGAAATACCTTACTGCAATTGGCTATCGAAGCTGGATCCACAACAGTATTGAAAAGACTATTAGATAAATACTGAGAGAAAATATTAAACACTATGGGGAAAAAAGCAGAATTCAAAATCTCCTCCTCCTGTTTTGTGAGTATTCTGTGCATCCATAAAATTTCACCCCTTCAGTATGCAGCACCTCATTCGTTTTGCAATACATCGGAATCACAAACCTTTTATGGTGGAATAATAACCTTGTTTCTTTCAATTTCTCTAAGTTAATGGTTTATTCATGGTTTTATACCAGCACATACTTTTGGTGGGAGGTGGGAAAGAGTTTCTATGACGAGTCGTTCAGCAAGAACTCCTTTCTGCTCCTTTTAACAATTCAGAATTATTTTCTAGTAATTTAAATATTCATCTGTTGATCATTGCTGAATGTATTTTCCAGGGCTGTGATGTAAAAGGATGTGAATGCCAACATTTCAGTTGTCCATTCATACCCTCTTCTGGAGAAATAACTGTAAAAGCAAGGTTATCATGGGCTAATATACAACAGGTAAGGGTGTTTGAGATTCTATCAAATGCGAGACACTTTATTTTATTTGTAATGTTTTCTAAACCTTTTCAATCCAAATTATTGTATTTTGTTCTTTCTTCCAGTTAGTGAAACATCATGCTCAGATAGTGGCCTTCGGGGTTATCACCTTCGATGAAGATCTCTATCAGGCAACATCTTCTGACCTACACAATGCTACGGTAACATAAATCTATCTTGTGCTTCCCTGAATCCATTCTCAAACACGATTCCTTAATAAGAGTTGAGGACCAAACAGTCGAATATTTCTTGTGTTTACTCAGTATTGCAAGTCAGCCAAGAACTTTCTGAATCATTTGAAACTATGGAAGTCTGTGCTGTGGCTGCCACCTGGATGCAGTACCAACACTGTTTGTGATGCAGGAAGCATCTAATGTGTTTGGTTGATCAAATCTTATTCGGTCCTGTGTAATTTCATTCCATTGTATCTTGCTATAGCTGCGCTCAGCGAACCTGGATTTTGTCTTCAAGAGTGACAAACGTGATCGTCTCAAATGTTTCGACTTTTGTGTTTTAGGTTTCCGTGAGCATTGTCAAGGTGCTGATGTTTAACACCATCCCCGTGGTCATCGGGGGTTTGGTTGTGGGGCTGTTTCTGCTCATTGTACTGGTCTTCATTCTCTATAAAGTAAGTGCTGAAGTGACAAGATTTTGAAAGCTGTGGGGTTGCTGCGGTTTTAGTTTTACATAACAAGTCGGCTGCACGCGTTCATAAACTTAAAGGGGTATTTGGAAGAACTTTTGTAACTTTCTCTCCCAGCAGTAAAGGCAGAAACAAACAGATGAAGCAGCCTGGGTCAGAGGGCAGTAACTCCCCCAGTTCTCTTGTTCTGCCCTTTTTTTTCCAATTTTGCTCTGGTGATCAGGTCAGCCTGGCTCAGTGGCAGGATCTGGAAGGGCAGACCAGTCACTGAGGGGCCGGGAATCATCTGCAAACCAAAGCCCTAATGGTCCTAATAGTGGTCCGAGCTGGACGAGAAATGGGAAAGTTTGCCAGGCAGTGATATCAATGCGAAGCTGTGCGGTTTTAGCTGGTTAGACTCCAGAAGTTACGCCAACGCACACTCTGGGGTTCCCCAAGCCTGGACTCTTGCCAACCTGGTTTGGATAATCTTAAACACGATGATGGGTTTCTGCAGACACCCGGTTGACCAAAAATAAACTTGCCCGTTGGCCACTACGTTTAGGTGAATTGCTGCAGGATTCCTCTACGGTAGCTGACACTGCAGATTTTTTTTAAACCTCTGGATGCCTTAACTCACCTACTCCTCCGCCATCGGTCGCCAAGGCAGTTTGTGCTGAGTCTCAGCTGGACCAATCCCAGCCCGACAAGATCATCTGCAACCCTGCCACCCGGAGCCCATTCTCCCTGCCACCCGGAGCCCATTCTCCCTGCCACCCGGAGCCCATTCTCCCTGCCACCCGGAGCCCATTCTCCCTGCCACCCGGAGCCCATTCTCCCTGCCACCCGGAGCCCATTCTCCCTGCCACCCGGAGCCCATTCTCCCTGCCACCCAGAGCCCATTCTCCCTGCCACCCAGAGCCCATTCTCCCTGCCACCCGGAGCCCATTCTCCCTGCCACCCGGGAGCCAACACCCTCCAGCCAGCCTCCCTGCTTTGGGTTGTGAAGTTTGATTCAGATTCTTGAGGAGGCACATTTATTACAACGTTTAAGAGCAATGGGAATACATTTAACAATTGTGGTATAAAAACTGATAATGCGGTTCATGCTGTCATTAACACTACATGATAGCACAGGTTCAGATCGAGAAGGAAGGCCCTTCAGCCCATCTGCTGCTTCCAGTACACCCACCCTCCTGCCCTTTCATCACAGTATCAAGCCGCTTTTTAAGCGATTCCAGTGTCCTGGTGTCAACCACCTTTTCTGACAACTTGTTCCCTAATAACATTTAGTGAAAACTCTCTTTTAACTATACTACTTAGAATGTACTTAATCCCCCCCCCACCACACTGCTCTTTACTCATGCTAAACTTGTACTCTTTCCCTCCCTCTTCAGTGTGGCTTCTTCAAACGAAATTACAAATATAAGATTGAACTGGAGGAAGAAACTGAAAAGTGACCATTGCTACAAACTGTACACACACACGATTTTGTGTGAATAATGAACAACACAGAGTATATTTAATACTTGATGTCATTCATGCTGTTTCTATTTAAAATCCTCACCAGGGACAGGTAGCGGGGTGGTAATTCAACCCAGTTAAAGGATTGGTTTCATTAGATGAACTGCCCACTCATCTGTACATACGGTAATGCTTTTAAATCACTGTAAATCAGTATGAACTGCTGGACATTATCATGCATACTGATGTTTATATTAAGTTGATAATTTTTCAGTTTATAGCTGAATTCATGTTTATAAAATGTACAAGGTAATTTCTCAATTGTTTATTTTTCTAAATGTGTCCTGTAGTTAGATTATTGGACCATAAATTAATGGGTAGGGTTTTATAAATGTTATTAAAGCGCTTAAGTGCACTTAGCAAAATGATCTGTGCTGACGAGTAAATTATTGGCAAGAAATTATGGCAGCAGAGGATTTCATTGTGCATCTGCCAGGGAGAATAAACAGGACCAGAGAGAATTTATTTTGTCTCCGGTTCTGGCAATGGTTTTGAGCTGCTTAAATAGGCTGTTGCCATAATGCAAGACCATTTGCAATGGTTAGACAGAGCCTCTACGTTACTGGGCCGTTTCTAACCAGCCAAATTAAGTCGATCCCCAACAGCCTGCATTCATGTCATGGATTATGAACGAACAATGGCCTCTTCATGTGTTGCATATTTCTACAGTTCCCCGTTACCTGCCTTCAAACCTCTCCCTTCTAGTGCTTTTGACCAGGCTCCCAGTTATTTGTGAAGCACTTTGTGACGACCTCCTGACCCGAAAGATGCTGTAACATTTAAAGTGCTGTTTTTTTTCCCCCCAAATTACAAATTACACCCCCAAAAAAAAGGTTTTATTCAATCTAATGTACCTTATGGTGTCTACTTATCATTCTTGATAATGGGCCACAAATCTCTATAAACCAGATCTTTTTTGCTAGCAAGAGATAATCAACTTTAGCGTAAGAATGCAACGGCACAAATAAATCTGCGGCTCCTGCCTTCCTGTGATGAGCAATTCCCCTACTTCACCGCAGGGTGGCAAAGCAAGTGTCAATACATTCTGATTCAGGAGCAAGATTCGAGTCACCGAATCCAGACTAAAATCGTCATCAATTTAATAAAATTACCTTTGAAACCCCTGCCTGCGCATAAATGGGTTGGCAAGACTCGGCGAGTATGGGAAATAAAATATTTAGTTTCTCCCCACGTTGCTTTCAAAGCCTCAAATACAGGAACATGACCTCAGGCAGTCTGAGGGCCTCTAACAGAAGCCAGCATTGTGCGCACTGCATCGCCTCACGACGCTGTACTAATGTGGAAACTACATTTTCCTTTCATTAACGTACCGCGCAACGGCCAAAAACCACTGAGCTGTGCAGCTAATGCCTGCCACAAAATGGTTAGCAGTTTGCAATCAGATTAGCCCAAAAGAAAGACATCACACTTTAAAAGGCTGCTCATGTTGGACTGAAATCTCAATCTCTGCATAACTTTGCATTTATTAATAAGGAAAGACCAGAGTTCATTCTTTTACCAAAAAAGAATCGACGAGCATGAGTAAAACAAACTGTCCAATGTTGTGGACTGACACAGCAGGGAACAACTTCAAATGCGAGAAGATACCTTTGGAGAAATGCCCTGAATGAAGCAGCTGAACTTTCGGAATGTTGGACTGCAGCACTTAAACAAAAATCAACATTTATTGAAAAAAAATTGTACTCACTGTGACCCAGAGACCCAATGGGTGTGACAGAATCAGCTCAATTTACCTTACTGTCCAGTCATCGCTGTGTTTGATGTGTATTTGATTAAAATTCCCTCAACCATCATCCAACAACTGGGATTCAGTAAGTAGTGATCCAACAGCTGAACTATTTTAATTTGGTGTCAGGTAATGTGAAGTTGTAAATTCTTCCCACACCCATCATTTTGTCACCAATTTCTAATACCTAGAAAATGTTGACTAACGCTTTGTTATTGAGGCTGGATTTTGTGTTGGGGTATCTATCCGCTAGATTTCCTCACTAAACTTCCAACTGCTCCCCACACCCACCAAACTCAGCTGTGACCAGTTCAAGTGGGATCTGGTGGGCAGCCTGCCTCTTGCTGGAGGCATAACGTTATGCAAGGTGGGTGTAAACTAACGACAGTTCAGAACTCCCCCCCCCCCCCCCCTCCCCACCCCGGCGCACAAATCATAACAGGGTTACAGTCACTTATTTCAGGATGGTTACATACAGACGTACAAAATGGTTTCCGATACAGTAGGTCAACCATGAACGTACAATATTTTAAACGAAAGATTTGTGCTAAATAGTGGTACAAAAGCTTTTAACATCCTAGACGTAGCAAGTATCTCATGCAGCATCTGTTTCACTTTTGCACTCTCTTTTTCCACTCGAAATACTTCAGTTCAACGCAACAGGCTTTATTTCCACAATAACATCAGGACGGAAGTCTGTGCAATAAACAAAGTTAATAAAATGCCACCAATATTATCGTGTACACCATGCACATGTGGCGACACACACGCTGAACCAGGAACTATATACCTCACTGCAAACAAACTAAATTGCTCTGGCATCAGTTTGTAACAACATCCACTTAAAAAAATATACCAACTAATGTTTATTTATGAAGCTAACATGAAATACAGGGAAGCACACTACACTACACGTCTCTGGATCTTGATCCAATAAACTAAAGAAATAGATTAAGACGATAAAACATTCACCAATAAGATGGAGGCCTGGCCCTGACTACACACAGAGTCACTGACTGACTCCAGGAAAGTCAAATCTAAAAATGTAAAGAAGGAAATCCAACACAAATTGCAAAACCTGAACTTTTTTGTGTCACTGGTTTGACTAAGAAGGCCACCATCATACATACATATATAACACACCTGTACAAGTAAACAAACAGCCACGTGCACCATTTGGTCACTTATTTGGTGTGTGCGATGGGGGGTGAATTACAAGATGCCCCCCAATAAAATTTGTATTTAATAAATCTAAAACCTGTGAATCAAGACTTGTCGGCCATGACGAGATTGCTGATCGACACATTCAACACATCCCCAAACTCCTTTATTTTAAAGAGCGTAAGGAAATCTGGAAGCATAACCCTTCCTCACTCGTTGCCCATCAGATCAGCAGGGAATCACTCTGGAAAATCAACCCAGATGCCTGGGGACAAAATAAAAGATACCAAGTCAAGCAAACACTCCCTGTGGCATCTCCTGCCTTCATGCCGAGAGGCTCAAAAGCTGAATGGATTTTTACAAATGTCCAAGAGGGAGGAAATGTGGGGATTTGTTCCTGAATTAATCCAAACCTGCTGTACAAACGTAATTTTGTTGTTGTTGCTTATTTTACATCACTTCAGAACTGGATTAAAAGTTTTGGATTACAGTATCCAAGGTCTACCTTCTTGCCCTTATAGACAAGATTGTGAACTGATGTGGTTAATTATTTAATTATAGGAAGCAGTTTTTTTTAACTGACGAACTTATAGGTGAAGATCAACGCCAGAGAGTTGGACCAGCAAGAATGAAGGGCAGAACATGAGGTAAACAGAGGAACCTGACTGTTCAGCGCTTTGGGACATCCTCCCGACGTGAAAGGCGCTTTATAGAAATGTAATTTTGTTTTGTTGTTGTTGAGGTTTGGTGAAGTGAAGCAAAGCTCGAGTTTTATCCTCTTGTTCATTTTAGGCGGAAGAGCAAGTGAAGAGGTCCATTGCTCCACTGTCACCAAATGAATTGCTCTGACAACGTCAGGGGAAGGCTAGTAACTGGGAACCTTTACTCACGGGGATTCAGACGATGATAGAGATTGTGTTTAAAAAGGTTTGCTATGCCATGTCTCAGATGGGTTGGAACATCAAGGAAGCCGGCTGGTCACCACAGAGGCTATATTCCAACACTGATTCCTTCATTTGATAAAATAATTGTTAGCAACAGGTTTAAAGGGTCAGGACTTCATGCAATAAGGTCTTTGGCCGTATTTTCTTCCAGAAGAAAACCCAACAGATATAAATAATTAAGATGTAAGATTTAAGATCAATTCCTGTCACTTTGTTTAAATCGCGAGCACTGACCTCAGTCCACTCACTGACTGGAAGGAGGTCTGAGGTTGACAGTGAGAGAGCACAGTGAGATTGTCAAACAGGAACAAGCTCCAACCGCCTGCAATTTGCTTCCATACAAACTTCCTCAACCCTTTAACCTCAATAAATAGAATAAACACAAAGTTGCTTAGAATTATTCATGACTTTTCTGATGGTTGCAGGGAGCCTGTCAGCGTTAACATGGTGGCAATTGGTGATCCCTTTATTCAAGCCCAACACACAGAAACCTGGGTACACACAACTGTTTTTTTGCATATTTATTTACTGTTTGCTCCCTGGAGTTTCCCCGCAGGTAATGCAGGAAAAGTCTGAAAACCAACCCACATCATCAGCAGCGAAGGGCTCCGTCTAAGGGGTTTGTCAGAAAGGCTGGAAAGGTTTAAGGCGAACAGTCATTGGGTGTTGGGAGCTTAAGTAACGGCAGCCACCGCAGATTAGGATTTCAGATGTTAATGTTAACGTGGTCAAGTGGAGGGAAACTTCCACCGGGCTCTCTAACAAACACGTGTAAGGTAGGCAGGGAAGAGGGAGGGTGCGTGTGTGTGTGTGGGGGGGGGGGGGGCAGAGAATTAGTAAAACGAGTTTCAGAAAATATGTCAATAACTTGTATTTGGTGCAAAGGAGGAGAATGGACCAAGCTGCAATAAGGTCAGCGGACACATGCTGAAAAGACACCGAGTATGACCACAGCTACATCGTTCACTACTGGGTTAAGACGTCGGTACCAAACTCACTGCTAACTGGTCTCAGCAGCAAATCACAGGTTCTCAGGTCTTACAATTGTGCTCTAGAAGGACAAAGCTTGAATGACTAAATCTTGCCTCAGCCCACATCCTCCCCTCATGTGAGCCAGTGCTCAAGCCCTTGAGTCCTTTTTCCGCCGTGTAAAATGAATTTTAAGTGTCTCTCCAAGTCACAGGTAACAATGGATGCTTCCCCCCCCCCCCCCGGCCAGCTCGTATTTCATCCCGTTAGTGGAAATGCCGGGCTGGAAACACTGAAATCTTGATGATTTCTTCATTGGAGAGACGAGGCAACGCAAATCTAACCGCTCGCGAGGACGTGAAAGCTACAGCTGTAAACCTAGATTCCCGAATAGAATGAGAGAGTCCGCTGGGCACCGCACCCGAGAGCAAGAGGCTGTAAGGAGTGGAGAGTTCTCTCCCCCCAAGCGAGGCTCTGCCATCTTCCCCCCCCTCCTCCTCCCTCATTTCAAACCACCTGCAGTCGGTCGTGACCGTCCAGTTCCACCTTCAGTTTGTGCAGCTCCTCGATCTCCTGGTGGTGCCGCTCGGTCTTGTGCCCGACCAGGGAGCGGTAGAAGTGGATGGTGAACACCACGAATATAAGGCCGACCGGCACCATGATGATAGTGGAAGCAAAAGCTGCCTGCCAACCCGTGTAGTCACCACCTCCTCCTCCCGTCCCCATTGTCCTATTCTTCGGAGCGTCGATCGGCAGGAACTTGATCCAGCAGAGCAGCACCACCTCAGTGAGGAAGAGGAGGATGCCCAGCGCGGTGGAGAAGCCCCAGGCCAGCTCGATGTAATAGTGCATGCGCTCGTGTGGAGACTCATTGACTGAGTTCAGGTTGTGGATATTGCTGACGGCCTCCACGTTGGGGAGGATGCAGGTGCTGATGAGGAGGGCAAAGAGGTGGACAGCAACTAGCACTGTGGTGCAAGCACTGAAGGCAATGAGCAGGAACTTGGGATAGGTGTACTCAATCTCCAGCTGGACTTCAACCATGGCCACCTGGACAAAACAAGGAGAATTAAGACACAATTTGATTTAAGTGCATTTCAATGCGGTGAAGAACTGCCTCAGGCTCACTTACCGGCTGCACTGAATTACGCACACGCAGTGTAGACTATTGATTAAATCGGATTTTATACGTTTGCCTGTAACTCAGACTTACTCAAGTCATATAAAACGTTATGGTCCAGACTGATAAGACTTATGTGAGGTTGACTGTAATTTGCATGATATCCAGGCTCTACACATACAGTAGTTCACTGGGCTGCGGATTAGTGAGAATTTAAAGACAGAGGATGTGGTCTCCTGTTCTGATATTTACTCTGTACACAGATCTCACCACGGCATGAAAAAGTTCTCCGAACTGTGAGTGAACAATTGATACCAGGAAGTAAACAGCACACTGAGCAGCTTAAAGGTCCATTTTCCTCTTTCCCAACCAAGGAAGGAGAAAGGAATCTGCAGCCAGGAACGTCTCTACCTCTCACAACAGCTAATCTCCCCCTTGACTATCCTCCCCACTGGAATGGCTGCAGTCCTTGGCTAGCCCAGAGGGGAATGATCTTTCCCTGCCCTTTGGATAAAATGCAACATTGGCGTGAATAACAAGTGGGAGTTAAACATTAAGCAATTAAGATGGAGGGCGGAATTGACTCACGCTTAGTAATCAACAGTAACTTGTGAAACATAACCATGTTGGGCTATTAAATCAGGCTCTCTGCCAATTCTATCATCAGCCTCCCCATGGGGATTAGTGCATTCACTGGAGCAACGTAATGCTCACCAGGGCAGGAACTCAAAATAGGCAGCGTCTCAGTAACTTCTTAATGGAGCTGGAAGTTCTCTAACCATAACCCTGTATACAGAATCAATCCTAAATGCCTCTATACTTTGCTGGTATTTTTACTGTGGATTTGCTGTGCAAAACCGTGATCTTACAGATTAACAACAACAACATGCATTTATATAGCACCCCTCGTGCAGGGTAGGTCCCAGAGCGCTTCACAGTAATTCCTGTGACGTCAGTCTCTATAACTCAAGGCATTATCTACGTTCTGTTCATTCAGACGCTCCTCAACAGTCAGAAACACCAAGTGGACATTCTTCCAATTCCAATCATCTTTGCTTTTAAGATAACACAATAGCACTATGACGTTGGGGATGGAGTTGAGTTGGACTTTCCAAATACACACAGATTTCCCACAGTGCCCTTTTTTGGACAAAGAACACAACTGGGATCTCTTATGCCGATCACTAAAAATAGCGATTTTTTTGCTTGTTTAAATAAGGATTAATTCACTGGCAGATGTTAACAGCACACTATTCTTAGCAATGAGCGTAAGAGAGGCCTCAGTATCTGACAACAGGAAATCATTTCTTCCATTTTATCAGAGGCAAAAAATGTTTTAAGTCCTTAAATTTCAGGCATACACCAGACAGTTTATCCAGAAAACACGGTAACTACACTTTAGTTTACAGTAAATCTTGTGAAACATTTAGAGACATCCTCCCGACGTGAAAGGCGCTACATTAAATGCAGTTAATAATAATGATCCTTGCATTTGACATAGCACCTTATCACGTTTTCGTGACGTCTGGATATAATGTAAAGTGAATTAACTGTATTTTTGTGGGTGAAACCAGCAGCCAATTGCACGCAGCAGTGTCTCACAAACTCAGTGACTCATGAGCAAAATAAAATAGGAAAATAGTCTTGTGTCCAATTACACTTGGGCTCGGAACCAGAGAGCAGGGAAATTGAAAGGAGGTGAAAATAGGGGCTCCATGGGCTCAAGTCACATTCCTCGAAGCACAAGTAATAATGATCCTTACATGCCAGATAGTGCCTTATGCTGTTGACTCACAGTGCTTCACAGACTTGATGTAAAGTCAGGCAAATGCGACACATCTTCGAGACTTCTCCAAGCGCTTCACAGAATATATTGCAAGTGTAGTGACTGTTTATTTTGTTCCCAGCAGTCTGCAAGGAATGCTCTGCACTGTCTCTCTCCAGCGTTTGTGGTTGAAAGCTGCACTCAGTGAGTAGAGAGTGTTTTGTGGCAGGATTTCCTTTCAAGCAATGTGCTGTTACCAGCACAGAACCAGCGCTTAGATGTGAAGGCAGAGAACTGGAGATTGGCTGCCGTTGTCTCACATACACAGTCTTCACTGTACCCAGCCTGGATCCTCAACACAATTTCCATGAACCCGATTCATTTGTTGCTTGTTTTAACACTAACGGTACATCAGTTACAGGAGGGAACAACACAAGCTGAATTATTTTGTTCTTTTCTTATCCTCCTCACCCACAAGCCTAGTTCAACCTATTCTGGGTTTAGTAGCTACAACGCAATGCTTGGAATTACAAGCGCACACACACACACACACACACGCCCTCAGGTAAAGTTCTAGTCATATGACAGCAGCTGTGTTGACGTTCATCTGTTTTGTCAGCTGGCTGTGAATCTGACAGCTTACACTGTGTTCACACCTGGATGCAGAGTGAGGACAAGATCACCTTTAACCATAATTCTCGCTCGATCATCAACTTTACTAGACAGCCTGTGACACTCACTGACAAGGCTGATACATCAGTCAGGGTGGGGGGTGGAGTGGGAGAGGCATTGTTGTGCCAATCCATTCCTATCCTCACAAATGTCAAGTCTATATTAAATGCAAGGATTATATATTACATACGAGAAATTTAAACTGTCTCCCTGTTCAGGTGGACATTAGAGAACTCGCAACACTCAAAGAGAAGGGAGTTTCTCCCTTTTCCTTGCCAAAAATCCCTCCAATTTAATATGTTATTCACGTGCGACTATTTTTGGGACCTTGTGTGAAATTGCTGCTGCATTTGCTTACAAAGAATAGCCACTAACTTAACAGTGACTTGCCATGGAGATGTGTTCACGGTCATGAGACACGATAAAAATGCAAGTTCTTTCTTTCTCAGAGATTCCCCCAGGCTTTTCTGACAGAGGATGTATTGTGAGGAGGTTCAAAACTAGTTTTTAATGTCTCCCTCAAACAAGGAGAACCGAGCAACGAACAGGGCAGGAACCTCAGCAACAGATACCAGAGTCAACACCCACTTTTGCCCACTTGACCAACAGCAACAGCAATGAACCAGCAAAGTACAGAGGTACAAGTGGGGAGCAAAGTGATGGATGCCCAGTGATGAATGAAGAAACAAAGGCTTATATATTGTTTGTGGGACACTGCTGTGCAAAATTGGCTGCCGACAAAATATACAGTCACTCCACTTTACAATGTAATCTGTGAAGCGCTTGGAGATGTTTCAACGACGTGATAAGGCGCTCTCTCTCAAATGCAAGGATTATTATTATAACATCTGCAACCTGCAAGGTCCTGGTTTTGAGACAACTACCGATGTGCAACCGGTGCTGTGATTCCACCCAGCAATCTGGCACCAGCTCGTGGGACTCCATAACCAGTTCTATATAACCTGTCCTCACAGAACCTGGCTTGGATCCCACAGTGAAACATGCCTTTGGACATCACTGGTGATCAGCTGTGTTCCTTCAAGAGCTGTGAATTTTCATACTGATGTGACAAACTGACCCCCGAGCGCAGTGGCACTCACAACTAGGACTTCTGATTTTCGTTTTTAACCGATAAAACACCCACCGATACAAAACAAAACGAAACCCGTCTTTATCCAATGAATACCAGAAAAACACCGGAGATGGTAACTCACTCCATAGATGCTGCCTGACCTACTGAGTGTTCCCAGTCACTTCTGCTTTTATTTCAGATCTTCAGCATCTGAGCCATTTTGCCTTTTGTGGCAGACCCTGAGGTTGGTTACCTATACCTACTGTTTCAGTGGAGCTGGGTGTTACATGGGTTTCACACATATTCCCAGCAGCTGATTCTGTAAGATACTAAAAGCTAGAACGGTCATCCTTTGTGAAGCTGCAGTCTCACAGTTTACGTTGCTGGCTGAACACTTTGATGTCTTGTCTCGCTGAGTTCTGTTTGAAGATGGAGGCTGGTACTTTAATTACCAGGCCACTGACCATAGAATCATAGAGCACAGAAGGAGGCCATTCAGCCCATTGTGACCAGGCCGGCTTTGAAAGAGGTGTCCAAATTAATCCCACTCCCCCGTTCTCTCCCCATAGCCCTGCAAGTTTGTCCTCCCCAAATATCTATCTGCTTCTCTCTTGAAAGCTGTTATCGAATCGGCTTCCGCCATCCTTTCAGGCAATGCATTCCAGATCCGAACAACTCGCTGTGTGAAAACACAGGGCTTTTTTGTCAAAGGGAATAAAACTTACACATCCTGCTCCTCACAAGGAACAGCACAAGACAGGGCACCTCGAGGGATACATTGAAAAAGGCTCTTTTCTGAGTCAGAAAGTTGTGGATTTTAATCCCACGTCAGGTCTTGAAGTTATAATCTAAGAAGACGCTCCAATGCAATGCTGGAGGGTGGGGGGGTTGCATTGCTGGAGGTACTGTCCATTGGATGAGACGTTAAACCCAGGTCCCATCTGTTAAATCCACGGCGCTATTCGAAAAGTAAAGGAGTTTCTCCCGGTGTCAATCCCCCAAAATAAAAAACATTGGTGATTTGTTTCATGGCTATTTGAGGGACATTGCTGCAAAGTGGGCTGCCACATTTGCCTACAAATACACAGTCACTTCCTGCCGACATGATAAGGTGGTACATCAATTGTAAGTAGTATTATTGCAATAGCACTTGTGTTACAATCTGGCTGTTGCAATTCCTTTTGCAACGAGTCTTTCAATATAGTGACATTGCACTAAATTGGGGTGGATAAACAGCAATGACAAGATGGTTTTTAGTTCCTCTTTTTAAATTCTCACAATAAGATTGGCAGCAGTACTCTCCTCCACCCCAGTATTAGACTTGTGAACTGCTAAACAGACAAACAGGCACCAAAAATATTAAATCCATAAACACAGAGTGAAATGGTGTGAAAGAAAATGAAGTTTAAAAGAAGAAGTTT